GGCAAACTGAGGGAATGCAGCATAATATGGATGATAACGAAGAAATCGACACTTAACAGGAGAAAGAGGAGGATAGCATCGACGGGTACGTGAGCCCAGGAGGATGTGATGATGTAAAGGGAAGATATTTCACCTACTATGGTAAAAGTTAAGAAAATTGAAAGATATGGCATTGCAAGTACAGCAGACACTAGGTTTACGGTGAGATGAGCTATCCGGTACTGCAGTAGAGTTATTGTGACATGAAGACAGGAAGCTCGGGTGTGTTGTTTGATTTTCCTGGAAACAAATGACAATTAAGTAATTTCAACGCCTAAAAACTCTGGTTTGACGACTATTGAAAGAACTTGAGAAATTGAAAGTCAGCAATTTTCAAAATAAAATTAAGTAATAATCCCCGAAACCAGCATGTCTGAGTACACTTGGTAATTAAAAAAATTGCTTCGCAAATGAATTGTTAGATTCATTCATGTATTTTGGATGTCTCTAGATTCTAAATATGCATATATAAGTACATACATAATGAGGCAATGTGCTCGAATGTTTGTAACCCAGTAAACTACATATGTACATCAGTTTACAGAATTATCGCACAAACTTTCATAGATTATGTATGGCACACCTCAAGGGTGCCCATTCGTACATAAATGGTCTCCCTTGATTAGCAAACTATTTAATTCTGTGCATACTTTTAACCCTGTTTGATCGTACAGATTTTAGAAAATTTGCTTTCTATTTTAATTTCCTTGGTATTCCGTCCAAAATAATAATGCGGAATCAACAACATAAAATCTCCTTTGCTCACCTTTCCAAAATTTGTATCCACAATTCAATCATTGCTGAAGGATGAATAATTATCCGACTTATTGTAACTGATACGATTGCAGATAAAACGTAAATCACAGAAAATTGAAACAGGCCATTAATACCGCGCCCAAGCCAGGTAGCCGTCTGATCTTCTAATCCATTTTCGCAACGTAGCAACGCAATACTGGCGATTGATGGTGGACTGCATGGTTTAATCACAACCAGAAAAAATGACAGTATCGGAAGTGCAAAGACGGATATTTTTGTCATTCCCAAACTGAATAGGACTTTCAACTTCACGTAACTACAAGGAGCTGTACATACATAATTTAAAAATTACAATGGTTAACGTGTACACAATCTAAACTACTAATTCCAACATATGTACATACGCACAGATGATTTGGCGCAAAGAATATTCACGTCAACTTTTCGACCGCGTAAGCCTTGTAGAAACATTGACCCAGGTTTTGTAAACTTAAGCACGCTATTGATACGAGTAAATGGTGTATTTTGAAAACCAGGAAAAAGTTCGACTCGACTTTCTCTTTGCAAATAAAATATATTTATGCTGAATAGCATGAAATATATTGTAGAATCGTGCCTGTACATACATATGTACAGTGCGAGCATACTCTTAGATACATAATTATGTATGTAAATTAATTTACTAAACTTCTTACCTTTGTCGGATAGCGCATATTTTTCAATCCAGTTAGTCGTATCGAATAGTAAATTTAGCTCGTGTCGTCGATAATGCAAGAATACTTGGCAACATGAAATGCTTACGTGAGTAAATAAAAAATAGAAACTCATCACTTTCTTCCACGATGATATCACTGACGTCGAGTCGTGAATTGGAAAAATATTTACGAAGAACCAAACGGAATTAAGCGCTGTGTACACTAATATCAAGCAGAATGTTAAAAAACTTGGGATTTTTGCAAATGTATGAAACTTATGATGCTTTTCACTTCGGGGAATTGCAAATGTTACATTGCTCCAGCGCGCAAGGGAAGTCATTATGGGAATATATGATGTAGGGATGTGACAACGTGAGAGTAAGTATTTGATCATTTGCTCCCGAATTTTCAAAAAATAAGAAAATATATGCATACTGTATAAACTCTTGCAAAATAGTTTCAAGAGAAGGATCATTAGATTAAAATTGTGTAATATCTACACACAAATTTTTCACTCTTATTTACTTTTTAAAAAACAAGCTATGATATGTACATGTGTATGTATGCTGATTTTTGTGTGAGAAATATATTATTTTAGAGCGAGTATAAAATAGTTTATCTGATCTAAGAAATTGTCAGAAATGCATATAAAACTTACAACTTAACAGTTATGAGTGGTTTCGTAATAGATAATTAGGTCACCAAATTGTCATAGATGTTTAATTACAAGGGTGTGACCTCAATATTTCTTTATCCTAATGTAAAAACTTTTACTGAAAAATAAATACTAATTAACTCGTGCACAAATTGTTTATCCAGTAACGAAGTTATTTATGTATACACACATAAACTAATGTGCATACTTATGGACACTGGTATACTTACATGTATTTACATAAATACGTATGTATGTTTGTCTTTGTACAAATAAATGATAAATAAGTAACAGCACAACTTTAATACATATAAGTAGTATGAATGCATGTACATATGCATGTGCATACATACATACATACATGCATACTTATCAGAAGTTTTCACTCACTTCTTACCCCAGACAAACTTAAATATGTAAATGAAGAATATTTGTCTCGAAACTTTCACTGTAACCGTGCCTAAGAATCATATGTAAAATTTGTGCAAAAATCTAACATCCAAAGTTGCAAAGTATAGTTAAAATATGTCGGTTATTTCAGAATTTTACTCTAATATAGTTTTAACTCAACGACAAAGCAAATAAACTGCGGCAACGCAGGGTACACAAGTAGCGCAATAATGCTGATAATGTGATACAAAATATAGATCGTAGAATCTGAATTATTTCAAAATAATTAAATAATTAAAACTTCCTCATTTATATGTAGCCACTCTGAAAAATCATGCATCTTACATGTTTTACTGTTTTATCAATCTAAATAAAGCAATCTTAATTAATTACTTAATCAATCTTAATTAATTAATTAATCAATCTTACTGTTTTACTTGTCCAACATGTTAGATTCATTTTTTATGAAAATCTCATTTTGCCCCAACCACACCCACTGGCGCCCAGGGCTGTGGTACAACTCAGAGACACTTAATTTAACTCTATTTCGTCCATAGATTCAATTTTTCTAAAAATCTCATTTTCCCCCAACCACACCCATTGGCGCCCGGGGGTGCGCCACAACTCGGGAACACTTAATTCAACTCTACTTCATCCAGATTCAATTTTTCTAAAAATCTCATTTTACCCCAACCACACCCCCTGGGTGCCAGGGGGTGTGGCACAACTTGGGAACACTTAATTTAACTGCCCTTCATCTATAGATTCAATTTTTGTAAAGATCTCATTTTGCCCCAACCACACCCACTGGGCGTGAGGGGGTGTGGCACAACTTAGGAACACTTAATTTAACTGCCCTTCATCCATAGATTCAATTTTTGTAAAAATCTCATTTTGCCCCAACCACACCTACTGCGCCCCAACCACACCCACGGGGCGGGGGGGGTGGCACAACTTGGGAACACTTAATTTAACTGCCCTTCATCCATAGATTCAATTTTTGTAAAAATCTCATTTTGCCCCAACCACACCCACTGGCGCCCGGGGGGTGTGGTCCGGCTGCCCCCAAAAGCTTAGGGGATCCTCCCCCTAGGGTCATACGTATGATGGCGAAAACCGATTTCGATTATCTCGATCCGTTCTCCTGTTATCGTGTTGACAGACGGACGGACGGACGGACAGACAGACTAACTTAGTCATCTAAAACTGTAACGCAAAATTAGATTACATATACTTCTCAAAGTTCAGACTTCGTGATTACGGAGTACCATTTCCTTAGGAAGTATTTAAAATTTCCAGTTTATTATTGGGTTATGGATTACGTTCAATGTAATGAGATTGATTCTAAAGTAAAGTAAGTAATTTGTAAGGTTGGCCTCCGATTGACATTTCCTGGCTGGGCGTCATGCACTTATTTAGAATTAATGCAAGTACTATGTCATGTTCTGCATTTTTTTTACATACTCTTACAGCTATGCTACATATTGCGGAACGGGATAGATACATACATAAATACTAATTATATGGGTTAAGCACGTGCATTTAGATAGTTGGCCTTTGGTTAAAATTTATTACAATTTCTCAGAAATAGTGTCGTTGCAGGTTCCATTTACTATATGCGTAAGCCGGTAAGCCGAGTAAGCAATATAACTATGTATATTAGCATAAAATACGTGCGCTGCAATAATGTACTTCAAATATGCATGCAGATGCAACAAAGTAGCAGAAGTGAAAAGCTTGAATACATGCATAAGTATATCAATAGAGACGTTGAGCGAGAGTACATGATTGTACTTTGCGATTGTAAACCCAGCGGGAAAATCAAATATTAGTCAGAATTTTAGTCAAACACAAAAATACAAATCTCCGTCTCCAACCAGCATTGTATTGTATGCGTTTCTAAACAGTCATCCAAAAATCACTGTTTTCCGAAAAAAATAATAAGTGAAAAAAATTGGTCAAAATATTTCTCATTGCTCTCTTTATATTTGAGTTGTAACGATTCATTGGAAGTGCAGAATATGGAACAATTACTTGCAGAGGTACTTGCAAATGGTTATTTATTTAATTCAACCCTATTTAAATATTCAATTATTAAATCGTTAGCAGGAAGAAGAGCGAAAACGAGACGACGCAGACGCTGCTGTTGCTGATGGGAGAAAGCAGAGGAAGAAACAATTTAGATGGAAATTGAATCATGACCTTGCCCTAGTTAAGGCTGTTTTGGCGCACACCCCATTCTCCTCAGTAAAACCGGGCGACGCATGGGCTACGATTGCTGGTTCTATAAATAAATTATTTGAATTATCACTGGATAAGCTCGCTGTCCATCGACGGTTTGATTTAGTTTTGGAAGCACACCGTAAGGAAGAAACAAAGAATAGATACAGGTGACAAATATTCAAACACATCAGAATAAAACCACTGGTTAGATATTTATTGACATTTTTTAACCAGGTCCGGAATTGAAGAAGAGGTTTGCGAAATAGTGCGGCTCTTAAACGACCTAATGTCCTTAATTGATGATCAGAAGCTATTGGAAAAAGGTCACACAGAAGCAAAACAGAAAAAACTTGACGATAGTAAATTAAAGGCTGAAGAGATACGTGTTGCTGCTTGTACAACGATTAAGAGAAGTGGTAATGCTAATTTAATTTGTATTGGTGTTCTGTATTGTTCAAATGAATTATGCTGGATAGTAGGTGACATTTTTAACCTTGATTACTAGGTTCGAGCCCCGAAAATCCTGGCCCTGTTCCAAAGAAGCGTCCAACTGACTGTACTCTAATCGATTTGTGGAAAGAGAAACAGGAATCAGAACGCCAGCAAGAAATGAAAAGACTTGATGTCGAACAGCAACGTTATGACGCCGAGCGCGCTGAAAAAGTGGTCGACAGAGATCTAGAGAAGAAAAAATTACACCTTCAACAGCAGCAATTCGAGTTGGAGAGGGACCGTTTTAATCATCAACGGGACAAAGATAAAGAAGAGTTTAAATTGCGACAAAAACAATTAATCCTTCGAGAGGAAGAACGCAAGAGTCAGATGGCAACTCAGACAGCCCTATTACAATTGCTGATGAAAAAAATGTGAAATATAGCATTTTAAATAGCTTACATGCAATAAACTGATTTATTTCCATTCATTTCTAGAACATGTTTGTGATTAGTTTAGATTTTGATTTCTCAAATATTCCTCGAGTGTCGGAGGCTTAACCCCAAAATACTTCGATGTTTGGCATTCATATAAACAATTTTGGCAATTCTTTAAAATGGTAGCTACAAAATAATATTTTGACACTGGTTGAAGAAATATTTTTAAGTTCTTTTTAAAATCAATAAATGCAAACTGTTTATCTGTCTCACCAAACTCCCATTCTACACAAACCCGCAATTTTCTCATCGTTAAGTTAAATAACTTTTGCTGGTCTGAAAGTTGGTTTCCAATATGTGGAGTGATTAAGCTTCTGTGGAGTGGATATCCACTGTCGCCATACAAGTACATTTCTTGACCACCCAAATGAACTGCTAATTTGTCAAGTAACCCACTTTCATGTAGCATGTATGAGTCATGCCTTCGCCCTGGGATAGGTCCGTATAAATTTGCAACCATTCCATTTGGAGTCACTACCGATTGATATTTCAGTCCGTGCGACCGTTTATGACCGCTATAAACTTCTTGTTGGGATCGAGTGGGCCGACAAGTTTTGTGCAAGGTTCCTGGCAAATTAAATCCAGATCTTGTAAACATGTTAAATGTAAAATTTCATAATTCTGTTATTTGCCATAATTTACCATCTATAAACCCAATACAAGATGGAATTGGACACCCTTTCCTGACCAAAGCTCCCGAAAACTCTTTAAGATGTTCAAGAGATAACCACCATAACTGGAGAGATGTCAGAAGATGATAAAAATTGCCATAAACATGATTAATCATTGAGTTAAAAATGTAGGACAAATCTTGAGGCGAAAATCCGAAGTACTTTTGTAGATCTGAGAGTCGATTAGGATAAGCAAGGCGTCGTAGCATAACACACAAGCCTGAAATATATGGAAAGGACCCATAAAATTATTATCAATTACAAGTGTAATTATTATGTCAGGAAAGCTCACAAATTAGTCCGCTGAATTCTGTCCTATTAGGCATTTTTAACACATCTGGAACCCGTAACTCTGATTTCAATCGCAAAATGTCCGCTTTTTCAAATCTAAAATCCAACTTGAAACGAGAAACCTCGATTTCATCAAAACAGAAAAGTGTAGATTTGTTAAATTTGTTAATCCGCTTTGCTGCAGCAGCCAACAAAAAGGCATCACAATCACCAGTGAGCACACCCAATTTAATTAAACTTGAACTTAAGGTGGACATTTTACTGTCTGTCACTTTTGCACTTGTAAACAATTGTTTATAATTTCAAATCTGCCGGCAGAAATTAATCAGAACTACAATCCTCCCATAAAATATTCTCGCTCAACCTCCGAAAGGTACAATCCAGGATTTTGATTGTGATTCTAAACTACAGTGAATTTTTTACAATCATGTACTCTCGCTCAACGTCTCTAATGTCGTTGTTATCCATGCAAATCAGAGAAATGCGCATCTTGTTTGATTTTTCAAGAATGCCTTAAGTCCGTAAAAAGAAACTCTGGACGGGCAGTAAATACATTTGAGGTATTTCAGGTCAAAGGTCTATTTATAAAGATAGGATCCCTTAAGATTTAAAATTTCGGCACAAAGTTTGTAAGACAACAATCGTAAAAAAATTGTATCGTTCATATGTACGTACATGAGTAAGGGATTTAGTCGTAACTCTTTTGCTAGATGCTCCGATGATAATTACTGTTCATGTGAGAAAAGTGTGGCCTTTGCTGAGCCAAATTTCTCTAAAAGGCTATCTGGCACATGTTTTAATTTTAAGGAATATCTTAGCAACTTCAAATTTTGTTGTACCGAAATAAATTTCTGCAAGGAATAAAATAGTAAAAATAAACAAATCCCGCCAGGTAACCTCTTATAATTTCTAGGGTCATACTTTTTTCACATGAACAGTAGTTAAATAATAATTAATTCCTGATACATACGTATGTACATATAATATGGGGCTGGGCTTTAAGAAATGTAAAAACTGAATAATTTTTTTTTGCTAGGCTAGAATACCAAAAGAATGAGCATGATATGGTTCCCGAATTCATTTTATCGCTACACTTGAAACACGCTAGCCCCAGTATTAGTCATACAAAAAAGTCACCCTGTTTTAAATACGGACAGACTCGCATTTCTATAAAGTGATTTCGTTCCAAAACAATTAGGCCATAGTTCAAATACTGCTTAATCATTGACCTTGTCCTTTATGACTGAGTCAATGAAGCCGTTTTAGAGTGGGGATTAGCATTGTTCCGAAGTTGTATACCCACCGCAACAAAAAAATCTTGTATAAATACCAACTGGACCTCTGCTTGGACATCTACCCTCCAGTGAATTTATACATATCACAATAAAAAACAATTCAAAATCATGGAGAAACTCACGATTTACTTGTTTCTGGTTGTCTTCGCAACAACTGCAAAAGGACAAGGTATCAACTTATATATTTTATACTGAATGGCTTACCACTTTTTCGGAGAGTTTGCTATGAAATTGTATGTATTATTCTGCATTTATATTTCCAGAAAGGCACTACAATGATATGGGACCTGTTGATGAAGACACCCCACCACGAAGAGAACTATTGTAAGAATCTGGGCGAAATTGCTTATCTGTACATGGTCCCATACCTCGTAAATCTGTACACTTAATTTTCCTGATTTTTGCACAGGACGCTCCAACTTGGCGTCAAATTCACCGTGACACCAACCCGACACTACCACAATGGCTACATGACACTTAGCAGACGTTCCGAATATGAATTGTCCTTCACGACGAGTGACACCTTCCCGAACTTCATCGCCAACGAGCGCACGAACAACCTAACGATCAGTGTTGATTTCACTTTTGAGGATGGTACCGTCGAAAAGAATGACTTTGGGTTCACAGTTATCGACAAGAATAACCACGAGGTTTGAATGAGTGCATTTATAAAAGGAAGCCATGCAAATTTGACCGTTACAAATATTTACCCATGTGATAATTATTATATTTAATCTGCAGCCCGTCTTCACCGGTCCGAGCGTTGTTCGTTTTCTGTACCAACCAAAGCCCGGCCAGTCGTATATTGATGTCGAGACGTGGATTACCGTGGCAGATGAAGACCTTGGTTCATTTGGGTTGCAAGATGTCGTCGTTGTTGATGACGAGGAAGGATTGAATATTCAATTGGTCAAGTACGCATTGTACGGTCCGGTTTCTCCGGCTGCGTGAGTGCAACAATTTAAATTTCCAAAAGTATGTACATACATAATTTTACAGGAATTTTCAAGATCTCTGATAAATTTATGAAGAACTCAGCATAAAGTTACTAGGTTTATGAATAGTGTGCCAATTAAACAATGGGAATTTTGCAGGTATGGGATAGTGTTTAGAATCCCGACAAACATTCCTATCGAACGTATGTACAATCGCATTATTTATCTTGCTGCCGTTGATGGAGAAAGCGGCACCGTGTTCCCAGCCCAACTTAAGCCGTACCCTCAAATTCTTTAAGATTAAAAATTTAATCAATTTAACGAATTGAGGTTTAGCTTAACCATGTAATCAAATTTATTTGATTTTTTATGGTTTACATAATAAACGAAATATTCATATTTTGCTTGTCTTATTTTCCTTCGAAGTGGGTATTTTTATACATGTTTTATGTAAAATGAGCACGCATTACTGTATTAATATTTAAATTTACATACTTACTCAATACAACTCTACATATATATGTATATATGAGCTACAAATTATGACAACTATTGTATGTACATTTGTACCATGTGTGCATTACATATACATGATTATGACCTGAGAAGTAAGAGCGATACGACCTGACTAACAGTAAAATTAAGAATTAGCAACGGTGTCAACTTATCTACAAAGCCACCCCCCAATTGTACTTTGAGGGGCACAAAGGATTTTGTCATTTTCTTGACGAGGTGCTTCCTCTTTATGGTTTGACAATTACTCCAGCTTCTGATCATGGAAATTGACTTTTCGCGCACATTTGCAGCCCTAGTGGTCATTATGAGGAGGGAAACGACACCATCAAACGCAACCATTGGGAAATATGAGAATCCTGGCATTGGAATTTTTCCAGGTAGTCTGATGCACGCGTGTAAACAGAATATCGTGAGAGCAGTCATTCCTCCAAGAAACAATGGAAAATAATGGCGACGAAAGCATTCGTTGACCTGTTTCTCCAAAATTTGCAGATATCGATATCCACGAAGCGGGGATAGTGAGACTGAGTCAATCTTCCCGGTCTTGATTAATGGGAAATTGCTGTGGAATCAAGGTTTGTATCAGAATCAAGATTTAAAAGGTTTGAACCCGAATATTAAGACTTATGTACCTGTTCAAAACTTCCAGGTAGTCATGAAGTAGACAAGTACTTAGAAAAAACAGCCCAAACATGGTAAATACAAAGCCCAGGACCATATCAAGATGCATCTATTTAAAACGCAACATTTCAGTCAATAAAAACTGTATAGATTGTAAATAATATAGAAACTAAGTTTTCATCTTTACCCAAAAATTTAAAAGTCCATGCCCCCAATACGACCACCACCCTAAAGTTATGCACCGCTTCTTCCCAACATAAGTGAAGAACACGGATCCCAGAAATGGTGGGAGGCACGGGTGTGCCATCAGGATTAGGAAAACCATTGTGGGGACGCCCAATCCAGTACCAATTCCAATCAAGAGCAAATTCTTCTCAAACTTTTCCCCAGTAGTATTTTCAATCCGAGGAGTAGCTGGTACTTTCAGGGAATATGGAGGAGTCTCAGGTTTCCCTTTGTCTGAAATGAGAAGATTTAATTACTTAGTGATTTGAATATTATAGAAATTAAATATTGACGTAGTGCAGTAATTTTTGAATTTTTACAACTCAGTAAACTGTGTACCTTTATTATTTAAAATTAAGAAAGATGCCCTTAATGCATGTACGCTTGCAATAAATTTGGACGCTAATTTTCCTTTGTAAACTTTATAAAGTTTTGTGGGCCCTAGCAAATTTACGAAATTTACTAAATTACAAACTTTCCAATTGAATATATTTTAAAATACCTTTAGCTTTCTTCTCACTGGCAGTATCTGATCTTCCAAATGAATCCTTATCCAACAACTTTCTCTCCATGTCACCCTGCGCGTTGACCAATTTGATGATCTCCTTCTCATTCAGCCAGCACACTACCCTACACCCGTTGCACATTATGTACCCGATCGTAAAATAAATGGCCAGCATGTGGTATGCTATCCCAAATTCGGAAATGTTTCTGGACAGAAGACTCACAATTAGGAAAACATTGTGCACAACGGCAATCGTGAGATGCACTTTGAACTGATAGAGTCGCCGAGGTGATTTTACGGAAGTGAGGCAACCCTTCTGGGCATCCCAGTCGAGCGAAATGCACGCAATTGAGGTGCACAGTTTCAAAAAGATTTTGTAAAAGTGGAGAATTTTGCGGGTGTACATTTTGACGATTTAGTTTTTGAATGAAAGTGGTTCAGCTTCTGTGGAGAAAGTAAGTAACGAAGTGCATACGCGAGGATTGCACTTATATGCAAATTTTTGTCGAAAATTGTTGAATGACGTTTTCGATGTTGTTGTTATTTTCTCTTCTGTCGTCTTAAATAGGTTGAAGTAAACTATGCATAAACATGTTAATGTCGCTTCTTAATGGAATTTATGTAACTACAAGTGTTTCCAGGACTTTAATCTGTTTTTAAGTTTTTCCACTCGTGGAGGGAGACGTCACTACTTACGTAAAATGTTGTTACCCGTGCATTCAAGGATTATTTAAATCATGCTTAGTGACAGCTTGATAATTGCAATATTGCTAAATAAATACGTTAAGAAAGTACTTTACAGAATTTTAAAATACAGTGTGTTTTCGGTTTACATAAGTTTTGATAAATTGTGCAATAATTGTGGCAGGAATACGTGACCAAAAAATAATGAGAAAGTCAAAGGCTAATCGGGAAATCGTAAAGTTCAGCGGACATACGCTACGCTATTTAATTGCAATGTATCAAGTTGTTTGAGTAGAAGTTGCAAAAAACCCATTTATAAAATTCGCAGCATTTTACGGTCCTCCACCCAATTCAAAAAATAATGAGAAAGATATCGCCTAGTTGAGCTGTCTATTTATACTTTTAACAGAAATTCTCATCTCAAATTCATGGAACGATTGACAGTATCGGAAACTTACATATGTGTCCAATTGACAACAGGAAATAGGACCAATTTAAATATTGTTACATGTGCATGTGTTTACTCCAGTTTGTTAACAATCTACACAATCTAAGAAACTTTCGTAGTTAATTTACATACATATGTTTTTATGCGAAACAGCAGTTTAAATTTAAGGCGCTAATTGCTGAGCCGAAAGTTACATAATACCGTAGAGAATGAGGACCACAATTTTCGCAAAATGTTGCACCTAAAATTGCATAAGGCTTGTTCATATTCGATTTAAGTACACAATAGTTCCTGGTGAGTCCATTTATTAAATAAGACATATGTATGTACATATGCCTACAGAATAGGAAGGTGGACACGAAGGAGCTTACGTACGAGTTCAAATTTCTTGGAACATGTTTGGACAATTACATGGCTTGGCAGTCCACTTAGAAAACTGAATTATTAATTGTTCAATTGCTTTCACTTTCACCTCGGGTTGGATTTAACGAGCCATTCATATCTACTTGTTTGAGACGTAAACGGAAGAGAAATATAGGTATGTAAGGTTACATAACCTATTTTACAATCGTAATTATCTATTGTTGAAATTTCAGCTGCAGGTTTTCACCAATTTTAAATTTCGGATGATCATTGCGTAGTTTGCGTTGGTTATAAAATTTCCAGTATTAACTGCGTTGTTACGTATTAATTTTACTGTTGCAGATTTGTCGGCTAGGAAAAGACTGATACTAAATTTGTTAAGCAGCTTCCATTAAATACGTCAAGTCTTTAGATTCTTTAGATTCCTGTTTGTCAACTTGGCTGATTTTGAACTAAAGATAATGATATTATGCTTTAAATAGCTTGAGCAATACTACAAATTCTTACAATGCGAACGAATCAGGTGTTGCCCTTAGAGCTCTAATCAGTCTTACATTCCTATGCCAGATCTTGCCACGTGTCGTAGACAGACTGAAAGATATTAGCTGTTTTTCAGTCGTGGTTTACCATAAAAGTGCAAAAAACAAGGTAATTTTGCTAGCAAAAATTGGCCTTGTCGAAATCTACGAGTATCATTTAGTGTCATCGCATTGTTACCTGTTTACCATGTTTGCTTAATCGGAATTAATTTATTCTTCCTTTAAGTGATCAGTCTTAAACGACATGATTTTGGCTCAGACTGATACAACTGGAAGATAGCGTGTCATTACCCATTGACGAGACTATTTACCTAACTAAATCAATAGACAGACACGTAATACACGTCGTAGTTAATCTCCAAATTAAATTTGATGCGTAAACCCAAATTACAAGAATTGTGTTGACACAACGTTTGTACATATTTTGTGAAACTACAGATGGGTCGATCTTTAACAAATATTTCATGTCAATTTTGCCTGGATGAGGCAATGCCATGACGATTCGTGTAGCCAGTTGTTCAAAACTGAACTCATCAATCTGATAATTTTTGCCCCCGATTTAGAAATATACTTATCGAATAAGGTATGATGTACATCTGTAATTTAGGTAAATTGCTTAATTTGTGTCTGTTTACAAAGACGGTATCTTTCTTTTAAAATGTCTGAAATACGCGTAACTTTATGTGTCCACTTATACAACTTCCATAAAACCAAAATTAGATTATGGAGTGGTTATGAAAATTAAAGTAAATTTAAACAAACACAATACGTAAACTAACATAAGTACATATGTCCATAGTTTCAAACTAAACTTCTTTCATGAGTACTTATCAACGCCCTCCGATAATGTGTTTTTAAAATTTGTTCAGCTCTAAATATGTACTTTAGTTTAATTTAATATCGTCTTCAAAATTATATGAGCAATCGATACTCTTTACAGATGCATATGTACATGTCGATGTACATAACCAAGAAATGTATCTTATGTATGTACATATTTCAACATATATACATATTTTCATATGTCTGAAAACTCAGTAACTATAAACACTTCAACGATTCTCTACTGGGGAAGAAAGACGGCTTCAATTTAAGTGTCTGAACCAGTTTCGACGAAAATTCGAGTATCTTACAAACATTTCTGAAGTATCATCAACCACTTCGTTTCCAACACCATGTTCCCAACCAGCACATATTTATTCTCATAAATCGATGAACACATACATACATGTACATTTATTCGATGCAGAATAAATTTGTACTAAATAATATTATTTCACAATTTTCAAAATTTATTTACAATTTAGACGTACGCATTATTATCACTAATAAATAGAGTTGGGAATATTGTCATAATTTCCAATGCGAGTATGGTTTCCTGCTGGAATGGAAATGGTCGCTTTCAAGACTGCTCAGACAATTGTCAAATTGGGGCTGCGTCCTGCTTTGCAAAATTATTTTTGTGGTGTAAACTAGTCAGGGAATGTTGGGCACGAAATGAAGGTATATAAGTAAGCAATAATTGTAATACATAAGTGCGAAAATCTAGTATTTAAAATATTTTTTTGTACACATATAATAGTCGATATCTTTGAACTATTTTCAGTTACGCCATCAAATCGGAAGGTATTGAATACGTCACTGCCCATATCGCAGCAACGTTTCATAATCCTAGTTAATACTGAACAGCCACGAGCTCTTGTTGGGAATCCTTACCCATTGAGAAGTTAAGCACATTAAGCAATTTCACACTTAAAATTCAACCCAGCGAAGTTGAGCGAAGTATTTATAACCCGATTGTATAAAATAAAAATTGTACTTTACTTAAAAATAAGATGCATAAAATGTATCTATTTTTGGTTTGCCAGATACCGACCCTTTCGTTGCTCAATATTTACTATAAACTTTTCGCACACATATGTACATATATATGTACAAAGGTAATATATGTATAAAGGTACATATTTATGTATTACTATGTATGCAATTACATTTATTAATATGAAACTGTGGAGAAATTAATAAATATGCAGCAATATGTACACTGTGCACAATAATGGCTCCGTATTATATTTTGATAACAAATTCTTCTGTGCAGGAAGTATATTCAAGTATATTTGAGTTTAATGTAAATTAAAATCATTCCTTATATCTTTTATTATATATCCATGATTATCTTACGTACGACGGACATATGCACACTATAGGTATATATATTATGCATTAATTATGTATATGCGTGCATATGCATTGAATATCACAACTTCAACTACACAATTAATTTGTAATCACAATCTAATCATTGTGATAAATTTTTTGTTAGTCTCATCATTTCTGCATACATTTATGTAAGACTGGTTTCCCTAGTTTTAACAATCAGTACATTGTCATCTTTCCACCAACCAAATTTACAAATATACTTTTAGCTAAATCAACCAACAAAGCAATGTCACGCGTACCAGACATTGCGAAAAAATTAGTTGATCACGACCCAGTTCTCATCAATGAATGGAGAGGTTTTTATCGTGCACTTGGTCTAGGGCCGGCTAAGCTGGCCCAATTGGAATACAGATTTCGAACAGCTACAATCGAAATGGAAGACTTATTCATTGAAATCATTAACGGCTGGGTATCCAAGTCAGGTTCGGAAGCGAGTATCACCACCCTTGTCGAATTACTGAGAGAATCTGGATATGTAAGCTCATCAGGTTCGTAAAAATAATAAAATAATACACAATTAATACGACTTCAAAAACTATTTCAACACATTTTGGTTAGTGCAACCGTTCGATGGCGTCGGGTGCTATATTACTCACTTCAAAATTTTTAACAGTGTTAAAAACTGATACTTATGATTTTTCAAATATTTTCTTACAGAACTGATCAAGAAAACTTTTGGGACAAACCTTACCGGAAATAATGACCAAATATGGCTCACAGACCCAATAAGTAGTAATTTTACCATAGAAACAACATCCACATCCACGCTTTCGTCAGGTCCAAAACTCCCCCAAAGAAGTCACCCCACTTGGTACAAGGTGGAAAAAGCAGACGCTGACTTTCAAGGACGCACCGAACAGCTCAGCCTCATCTCGAACTACTTTAACAACCAAATTGCTTCCGGTCAATCCGCCCGAGTTTACCTTTCAGGCCCTGAAACCGCTGGAAAAACCGAACTCGCCAAAAAATTTACTGCAAAATTCCACCAAGATGAAAACGCTAATTGCATCTGGATCGATGGGAATCGCGCCTCGGTGCAGAAGAGCTTTACGCGATTTGTGGAAAGCGTCCTCCCCTCAAACCTGCTCTCTGACAGTCCCACAAAAATATCCGCGGTCGTCTCCCTCCTCCAAGAACATGTCTTTAAACACTCCCAAAATTCGTGGCTATTCGTCCTTGATGGGATCGATGATTCCGAATCCGTCCAGTTTTTATCTTCCTTGTTGAAGCAATTTTCAAAATTCCCGCCCGTCCAAGACCCCCTTATTTTGGTAACGAGCCAGAAACAAATTGGAGACCCCAACATTCGACTGAACCACTGGACTGAAAATAATTTCAAATACTTGTCCCTCCATATTACCTCCTTATCGAGCCGATTTGTCAAAAATTGTCTTAACGACCAGGGCGACATGGTTCGCCATGTCATGTACAGATTGGCGTCCGTGTTCGATTCATTCATTGCAAAAAACCAGAAGGAGGAAAAGCGAGTTAAATTGATCTCGCTGTGTGTCTCCTTAATCAGTTTGGTCGCTTACTTCGTCACCGATGAGATCTCCGAGTCGTACCTCCTTAACATCTGGGCGTCCCTGGTTAATCAGCCTGACACCAACTTTACCGACAGGCGCGACATCCTCGACCGATTTAGAACCACGTTAGGCATCTTTTTACGACAACCCGGTAACTCAAACGTTCTAGACTCCCCCAAACCCGCGGTGGTCGCCATCTTTCGACAAATCCTCGTGGTCAGCGATCCATTCCGGAAGTATTTGGGCAGAGCAATTTCAGTCCCGTCGATTACAGAGGAATCCGTCATACAAAAAATATTTGTCATCGTTCTCCGTAATTATAAAGATAACGCCAACTCCGATAACGAATCTGGCCAGAATGTTAAACATTTAGTAAACAAGGTTTTATATGACGACGCTTTATTAAAGCTGTGTAGCGTCGGAGTTTCAAACTATTCTTGTTCGAGTAACAATGTCCCCCTGTTGGGCCAAGTACATGACAGATTTGCCACATTTTTTGGTCGAGGTCATGACGAAAGCATGACAGTTTTGAGCGCCTTGGTCGTCGCGCTGATGAAACAGTCAGACTATGCGAACGCGGTGGACAAGTGTCGAAACCTGTATGATTTGGCGAAGAAAAGATGTGGCTTATTTCACGACACGACATACGCCGCTTACACCAATTTGGTCCAATGCTATAAAGTTGTTAGTTTTGAAGAAGGGATAAAATTACGGGAGGAAATGGTGGTCATTTTTGAAGCAGAGTTTGGACCCCATAATATTCGCACGATTGAAGAGCGGTACAATTTGGCGGTGGCGTTTGGCGATAAAGATCCCGCTAAATGTAAGAAACGTTTGTCTGAGTTGGCCCCGATTTGTAAGCAATATCATTTCGTCCTGTATCAAAAGATGGAAGGATACATTAATCAGCCAAGTGGGGCAAAAACTAAGGTAAATAGTTCCTCATTACAAAATTCATTTTGAAAAATAAATGGCTAATCCTAAGAATTTTTGGATTTTTTATAGCTGATGTCATGGCTAAATTAAACATGTTCAAGAATTAAGAAAAACCATAATTGTTGTTAATTATTTAGTCCTTTAAACGTATTCGTTAATTTAAACACGAACTAAACAAATTATTTATCTGAAAATTTCCATGACGAATTTATGTAAGTATTTGCGAAACACAGATCCGGTCAAAGTATGACAATTAATCAATGTGTAACTTCTTATCGTCGCACGTGTACACATACATAAATGTTGAATACAGAGAACAATGGATTGTGATCATCCTTGCGTATTTTTATAAATTGACAAAGCACACATAATTACTATTATCTCGTATTTCTCTTCCAGTGTTAATCACAAATTATCTTTCAACACACTGAGAAATGAGTTTCGTATCAATCAATCAAATGCCGAAAGCCATCCTGTCTGAACTTTCGTTAACACTTGTTGATTTTACTTAATTGTAATTGCATCGTACTATATATTATTGAATCATACATAATGATCCCCGCAAATAAATTATACGCAGCCTTCAGCCATTTTTTGATATTTTCCGTCTACTCCATCCCACTCGTCGTCGCTCAGCGGACTCGTAAGACACCTAAAACCTTCTGTCTTAGGAACACATATTTAACTAGCTATTTAGTAAATAATGTGATATCTATACATAATTGTGACAGCTTTAGTTGAAGCTTTTCCCGAACGGAGAATCTCTGTATCGGAATCTTCACCAGTACGGGGTTTCATCCTTGGTTCGACTGAGCTGAACAGTGGGAAGTTTTTAATTAGCGTCTCACTCGTCTCGTTTTTTTGTCGGATAGAGAATAATGACCCTGCTCCACACCTGGATGTTTATGGGGTTAGTTTAATAGACATTGCATTGACAAATGTCGTCCAATTTCGTACAAAAGTTGTCGAAACTGTCGTTTAATTAATGTTGATGATGTGGGTAACAGGAAAATGGACTGTTTAAACGGTGGAAATGCGACGATTTGGCAAGTCGTCAGGTGTGGTTGACCCTTGATGCTTTAGCTGGCAGCCCATGGTTCAATATCACGGCTTCAAACAACACCGCGTGGGAGAAAGGGTGGGAGGCTCTGGTTGTGGGGACCTTGTACCAGACAAATTGTTAGTTACATACGCAAGCAAAATCATGATATGGTCGGAAAAATTGCAAACTTTCTCTTTTTTCTTGCTTATTCTTATGTATGTTCATAGACACCTTGGCCCGTACGTGTCCAGAGGGATATTTCGACTGCAAAAGTCCAAGCGCAATGTGTCTCGGGCAAAACAGACAGTATGACACGCAAAGATGCATTCCTGACGAGCTCGTATGTGATAAGATGCCTAGTTGTGGCATGTTGTGCAACGCCGACGAGGCAGACATTTGCAATCGTACGATAACAACACCGCGGAATAACAAATCAGGTAGACAAAAGTATATGTGAAGTCGGTATCAGCATTAAATTTTGTTACCGGCGAAATACAAAATACTGGTATAAAGTTGTTGTAGCTGTGTGTGGCTTATCTTTAGTATATATTTCAGCTTGTATGTAGTACAGGGTGTGTACTGACCAACCCACCAACCCATACATATTTAATTTTTGGTACAGTGCAGGTTAATGTACCCAGTAATCGCTAAGCTACTGTTACAAATTTTCCCGAGCAAATTAAGCAGACAACAAATTTTTTTAGAAAGTTGTACAATTGTAAGTTGTACACTTTTATTGAAATCTATAAGAAGCGATTTTTCGAAACTTTTTGTTTTGTTTAACCCCAGGGTATAAATATGATATCCAATCTTTCCAAACTCAGAAAGTCGGCATATGTATATATGTAGCAACAACGCAGAAATTTTATACGGGGCCAGTATTGGCGTGTTTGTTGGGTACTTAACAATGCTTGCAAAAAATAACCGTGACAACGAAGCGCTGTCAAAATGTCTCTTGCGTATGGTTACAACAAGTAATTATTATGATCACTTTTAGGGGACGACTCAGAATTTCCGACCTGGGGTTACTACGTTATAGTTGGATGTATCTTTGGCGCGTCTACTATTTACGGCATTTTCGTTTGGATTCGTAATAAAAGAATTCAGAATGCTCGCCTGATCAGTGATGGCATTCAATTGAAACCCGCCTCGATCCCAATCCCCGCGCCAATTGAACCTTCGTGGTCCAACGCTAACCAAGGTGGTGGGGGTGCAAGCAGGAGAAATTCTCGGGATGTCAGCTCGGTAAGCATACATACATACAAATTAATTTTACATACTCATAACTACTTAACCTCTTGGCTACCAATTACACACATTTGTGTAACGATTTTTTATCACTTGACTACCAATCTACTTTTCGAAATATTACTTTGCCTACCAATTACACACATTTGTGTAGCAAAATTATTTCTCTTACCTACCAAATTATTATTGGAAAACGTTGTCCGGCATTACACAACTTGATAGATTTCCATTGACTACCAGAATTTTAAAAATCCCCAATATAATTACACACATTTGTGTAACTGGTACGCAATGGAAAACGATCTCGTGTGTAATTGGTAATAGAAATAATTGTGCTACACAAATATGTGTAATTGGTAGACAAAGTAATATTTTGAAAAGTAGATTGGTATTCAAGTGATAAAAAATCGTTACACAAATGTGTGTAATTGGTACGCAACGGAATATTCCCGAAAAATAACTGGGAGCAAGGAGGTTAAATACATATGCAATACATGCAATTTTTTAACAATTTGTTCCAGACTGTAACCGTTCCAGTTTTCGCCCCGATGGAAAACTACGGTAAAAACTAGACAGCAAACTATCACTGAATTATAATTATCACAAATTTACTAAACTCTGGTAGTCATTACCGGCTTCTAAAATATCCGTCTTAACGCACGTATTTGTTTTGAAAGTTAATTACATCCTTGATTTTATTATTTTCCTGAAACCAGAATATGAATTATGGTATCGACAATTTAATAGCATATTTCTATTATCTATTCGCGTATCAATTTTTGGAGTTACGGGTGGACAACAAGTTGGATAATGTTGAATTGTTATGTACCTTACCAATAAATTATTCTGGACAAGTAAAAATTTCCACGCGTTTATAATTATTAGTAATTAAGTATTATTGTACATATTATTGATACTTATATTTATACATGCATTTGTATGAAATATTTTGCACATAACTCATCGCAGGAAACAAATCGTCACCATAATTTAGCATTTTGAACATCTGCTATCACTTAATTAAATATATGCAATTTTATTTTCTCGTGCACGGGTAGAAATTATTTTTAAACTTGTATAATTATCCCCACAAAGTCCAAAGTTTGCACATTTATGTAAATGAACCGAGTCAGGCTATGAAATATTCACAAGTAAACCAAATATCCGGCCCACCATAAAGTTACAACTAATGTCCTATACAATTACATACATACATCAGTATATGTAACCAGATAATTTCTCCAACAAGTCCCTAATCTTTTTAATCATAATTTACATACTAGACATAGTCTACGACTTTTTATCAAACCCGTAAACAATTGTTATATAGGTTTCAGTCTTTGAACCTTATTTGCTTTAAATAGAATCTAGCATCCTAAATTAGTCAAATTAAAATTATTCAAAGTACAAACTTTTCAAAAAACTTCAACGAGCACATTTCATTCATTCATTTCATTCTCAATAATATTATCCTCTACCGAAGATTAAATTTTTATCCAAATTTTCAACCATGATTTCAAAAACCCACGAAAGCTTGTTAATCCAGCTTTTGAAAGTGTCGTCTTTCATTTCATGCGTTCCCTGGGAATATGGTGGACACAAGAGATTCTTAATCACAAAGAAATCCTTAGCCAAATTTCACCTAAATTTAGCACTTATCTTTGCATACGTAACGTTTATAATTTTGCGACTCCCCAACACTTTAAACGGCAAAGACTCAATGCAATTTTTTCGAGTAATTATCCATCTAATCGCAATTGTTGGTACGTCGGGACTCATATTTATAACTTGGCCACAATTTTTGGTATCGCGTGACGATTTTATCGAGCATGTCAATGTAACGTTATTATACTGCAAGAAATTTGGAGGTATCAAAATTTTTAATGTCCTTATTAAAGCTTAATTCCAGATAAATATTTATGTACGTGATTTACTTTTAAATAACGCAAGATGAATTTGGGAAACCTATCACCAAGAAGAGCGGGATTCCAAGCGGGAAAGTAGAAATGCTGATGAAAACATTAATGTGCCTGTGTTTACTAATTTTTGGAATTGGTAACCCTTCCTTTGCGTTGGCTGAGCCGGATTTGAATATTTATTTTACGTCAATATTCCTCAAGTATTTAAAAAGCGGGGGGTTTGGTCCTGCTTTACTACTCCTGTTACTAAGCGGAATGCATTCTTGGATTTATACTTCCGGAGTGATCATGACGATTAATGTAGGTTTCTTTCTGATTCCACAAGTCTACCCGATCACAGTTATCCTGAAGGAATTAAGGTTTTCGAAAAATTTTATATAAAGCGTACTCACGTCAAGCTTCCCATATCTCGCAAATTGAACAGAAATTGCGAAGTTTTGAGAAATGTGTCAACCTTTTGCTGGAAAACCATGGGATTTTTTCTTATAGTTAGGCAACAAGTGGGACTGCTTTAATTTCGCAAAATTATTTCGTAAACTCATGTTCTCCATAACCAGGGAAATTACAGAAATTCATGGAAATGACGTCACAATAGAAGTAGATTTGCGAGATTTGTGTAGTCATATTTGCAAATCCCCCCACGACGCATATTTTTTGAGCTTCGCAAATGTGATAAATGGGTTGCAGTGCGAAATAAGAATGCATGAGGTTGTCCTGAGATGAGTATGCTTTGTATATAATCAAAATAAATGTAAAAAAAATCAGTACGTTTTTTCAAATATCTTGCAGTCCGAATTTGCGGCACCCCAAGGTTACAACGTGGACTGCTCGAAAACCCGAAAACGTTGTGAAAACACTTCGCGTAATTCAATTTTTACAGCAACGTTGCAACCGCGTCATAGGACCCCAAGCGGTCCCAACAACAATATCCATGTTCGTAGGAACATCCGTGCTATGTAATTATGCTATCATTTCAATTCCTGTTTTACCCTGTCGGCTAGTATCATTACTCGTTGGCAAGTTTTTGGGCGCAATGATGTCCTCGATGGCCACGCTTTTCGTAATTTTCGCTTGCGATGTTACATCAAAAGTGGTAATATCATACGCTAAGGTGGTTAGAGCATGGAAGAATGAAACCACGTCATCATATTACAAAAAGTTGTTGAAATCCCTGAGACCAGAAGGGATTAAAGTAGCGTCGTTTATGACGATACAAAAAATCACGACGGTGCACACGGTATTAGCGATTATCCGATATACTGGAAGAGTTTTGATTTGGCTAAAGGACAAAGGCATTAATTAAATAAGCAGGAATTCAGAGCAGAGGTCAACGTGTCGATTAGCGATTGTACGCCGCCATGATAGAAAGGTTGACAAATATCGATCAAAGTGTCACCGAAAGGTTGATGGATTCGATGCTCAGACGAATTCAATCGGTTATTGCAACTTATGTTTAAACATAATATTGAAACACCGTAACATTAATTATGTAACGTGCAATTCACCATATTTTGACATAAGGGTCGGTCCACGTCAATACCCACGATCGGGCGAGCGTCATGAGAGCGGAGATGTTGCCTCTCCACTCCGAGCGACACTACTGATGGTGGTGCTCAACAGCAGTGGGCGTAGCACGTACTAACTTTTTAAATGTCGACGCGGTCAGGGCTACATTTTTTTAGTCAGATTTTTTGAAACTCAGGGTTAAAAATAATCTTGACTGGTATGGCATTTGAATTTTGTCACTGAAAGTTTTGTTTACGCCTCTTGTTTTTTGATAATTTTTGGGAATATTCCCATACATAAGCTTGCATGTGTTAATGTGTGTCAGAAAAATCGATATAATTTTTTGCACCCTATCGTGTGCGACCTAACTTTTTTATGGTGGATTAGAAATTTAGAATTACGTTATAATTTTTGAAATTTGGGTTGCACACGACAGGGTGCAAAAAGTTATAGCGTTTTGAAGTTACCATTACAAGATGGCTAGAATTCAAATTTTTCAAATTTTTTAAATTTTAGAATTTAGTTTATGGTGCCTACAACAACTTTTAGGTTTAGGTAAACCTTCCCAAAATTACGGGACACTCAGTGCATCACATGGAAAATTTTTCTTAAATTTTTTACAAATTTAAATTCTCGGCCAATTTCTAACATAGAATTTTTATCTTTTCACTAGTAACTTTATTTAAGTAGTACGTATTTATGGTAAAATTAGCCCTAAAATCTGAGACTTGGCCCGCAACACATGATTGACATTGACGTGGACTGACCCATAAATATTAGTGGCTTCTACAATTTTATCTAAATTCTTTCAAAAATTAGCAATTGTGTAGTCTGATATAAATATGTACTAAATGGTATACAAATAATTTAGAAATATCTACCTGTTCTTGGGAAAATTGAGTTTTAAATAAAAAATCTTAGCATCTTAGCTACAATCTTAAAAATCTTAGCTTATACAGTATGTACCTACGTTACATACTGTATATAAGTTTTACACTGTTTGCGCATTTTCAGCATTTGTGGGGGAATTCTTGGAATTTAACTTGGAGGCAAAAATTATCTTCTTGTGGCGAAATTATTTCCACGGCGGTGATGCTCATTTTACCAACACTTTCTCCCCAGGGTGGGTGGAGAGAAGGGTTATATGTATCAACCTTTTAATTTATTTGAAGTAGCGTAAATCTTTAGAACAATTTCATTACGTGGGAATCGGAACGTAGCTTGCTTCAAGCGCTGCCATTGTTCGAAAATAATGGGCTTGTTGGACATACGTGGCGAGCAATTACATTTTTTTTTAATGTGCACAGGGTTTCGCTCGTGATTTGATGGCAAAATCACTATAACTGATATTTTATGATTTTATTTTGGATAATTGGATATTTTACATTTTGCGTCAATCGGACTACCCCCCCCCCTGGCGCCAGTGGGTGTGCTCGGGGACAAACTGAGAGTTTTAGTGAGGTTGAAGCTATAGACGAAATGCACTGGAATTAAGTGCTTCCGTCCTGTTTAGGGTGCAGTGAGACTACAGCTACACACACCTCGATATGTTCATTTGCTACAATTTATTTTTATTTTTTAGTTGGCCAAGGAAATCATTTATTCCCCGATTAATTTTATTATGCATATGTAAATAATATTTTGGTCGTGGACGCAATCGGGATAATCATGTTCTTAACGGCAGTCTCTGCCACAGCGTCGGAAGCGTGCCCGCCCTTCGTTCTCCTCCACGGGCTGCGGCATCCCGACACTATCGACCGCACCCACCGACTCTTCTGTAAGAATAACAAATTTTATTTATTATCGTTTCATTTCATGCATGTCTTAAATTTGAATCTTTGTTTCATTGATTCAAAATCAACACCTAAACACAATGCCACCTTGATATATATAAGTTCCACCGATAAATTACGTAGTTTCACCCTGTGACCATATTGCTTTAGAGTAATTTAAAAATTCTGTGAGCATAGAAACCAGTACTAATAATTAATATTTGGTGGCTCGTTCGGAGTTTTTGCTCAAAATGTTCTAAAGTTTGGGCCATTTAAAGAAATATAAGCTGTATGACTGGTGCTCGTCCAAACTTGTCAAATGTGAGACTCATTCGTGAAATACGTTTGAAATAAAATCGCCTAACTACGTCAAGTGGGGTCGTCAAATTGAAGAATTTAAAAAAATTATTGCACTTTAGGGATTCAATTACTAGATCGACTCTGCAATTATTGGACTCACCGATTCCGACAGGCTGAGCATCGCCCTCTTCGAAAGTTCCCGCCATAATGAGAACCACCATCAAAAACGCCGCCATGGACTTGTTCATCTTAATGTTCCCTGTGAAAAGAATTATATTTAGAAAATGTTGCATGGTAAATGTGTACGCTTTATTACGATTAAATTCCATTTCAAATTACTATTTTTTAATTCTTAATTTTCAAAAAATTTAAGGTTTTTGCATTTTTTTAAATTCAGAAATAACATGAAAATTTAAATTTTTAAAATTCGTATAAATGAATTTTTATAATTTCAAGGTAATAATTCTGAGCAAAAATTGTGTTTAATTTTCGAAATCGGGTTAAGATTCGAAAAGTGAGCATTTGGAAAAATCCTGATTTTGGCTTTGAAATTGTTAGTTGTAACTTACTTTCGTTTAAGTTTCCGAGCAGTTTTGAAAAAAGTTAGGAAGAAATTGTGAAGTAACTTGAGGTTAGAGGGGGCTGGTTTTTATACCTAACAAACAAGGACTCCAGTGACTTGGGTTTAATGGAAAACAATGAAAACTTAAGCCGAGAAAAAATTAATAGTTTTTGAAAATTTAGTGACTTTAAATCCAGGGTTTCGTAGTTTGTTATAGATGTTTTTAGAAAAAATGTGGAGGTTCAATGTTTTAATTTATGTCTTGATAAATGTATTCTTGTTGTCGTGTAGAACCTTGCTTCATATGAGTGGAGCGAGGAGGGGGGGGGGGCAATTTGGGGGGTGATTGAATCCATCTTCCCTGTTGCGCAGTGGCCTCATCATTATTTGCATCTCGACTTTCTCTTCTTCCACATGTCCAACTGGTAATCACGATAATAAAAATTTAAATAAGTAGTAAAAATTAAATATTTTCTTTGAGAAGAGAGAAAAAATCGAAATTCTAACCTCCTAACTTCGAAAATATTAGAAGACTTATCGACTTTTAGATGCAAAATCTTCATTTTTTTACGAAACGCATAGAGATCAACATGTTTCAAATTCTCCATATCAATACATGGAAGAAAGTTGAGACACAAAAACTCAAATTCAGGACCTGGATGTCACCTCAATGAAAATGGGTTGCAAGAACCTGAGATTTAAACACGGTAAATACATTTGCCTTCAAGCACACCCACAGGCGCCGAGGGGGGTGGGTGGCCAGATTGACACCACATCCAAACTATTCAGTTATCAAAATAAAATCATAAAATAAATTTACCAACCATAATGATTTTGACATCAAATCGCTTGCGAAACCCTGTGCACAGCCGTGTGCAAAAATTTTAATCGCCCGCCACATACTACCAATAGCAAGTCGTGTGCAAAAATTTTACATAAGTCAAACATGTGTAACCACCATGCCCATTATTTTGGAACAATGGCAACGTTTCGAACAGGCTACGTGCCGATGGCCACGTAAGTGACGATATTGTTTCAAAAGTTGACGTAATGATTTGCGTCACTTCAAATAAATTTACAAATATGTAGCTTACAAATGTGGTTTGTTTAACCTCACGAGATTATGATTTTATGATATTATGATTCTAAAAAATCCCTCAAGTATGATATTTAATTTATAACTATGTATATCTTGTTGAAAATAATAAATGTCCATGATTTTATGTTGAAGACTACATTTAAAGACAACATTTATTTCAACAAGTTCCCAATTTTTTTAGTTTTTTGACTAAAATAATTTAAAGCCCACCTTCTATCATTGATCAGTATGGGAAAAATTCTAAAATTTGTGAAGAAAAATATGCAAAAAAAAATCTGCTCTACCATTAAGTTTTCCCCGAAACATGTATTTTTAGAAATTGTAAGAAATCTGCATTTTTTAAATACATGATATGATATTTAGTCCTCTAGGAACGTGTTAACCTCATCCGGACAAAATTCTTAATATTACAATGACTTATTTTAAACAAATACGTCAAATCATGCATCAAAAAATAATGGATTTCTCCATATTTCTCATCAAAACTATGTAAATACTTTATTTATATTTTCTTTTATGAAAAACGCGAATCACAAATATTGAACAATATTTTATGAACATGTACCTTTATGGCCCCAAAAAAGGAAGCCAATAAAATTCAATTCAATTCAACTATGTAAATACTCTTTCTTTCCAACTTTGTGGAAAACTGTAATCTGGTAAAATGTCGATTTTTATAAAATTTTTCTTCCCAAGTTTTAGAATTTTCTCAACACCGACAAATGCTATAAAGTGTATTTTTTAGTGCTTCGTCAAAAACTTGAAGACTGGTTGAAAAATATTCCTTTGTAGGAAATCATGGAAATTTAATTAGCCGCTGCTGTTGTTATGATCTCGTTCTCAACTTTTTTATGTGAAAATTATCCGTCGGATCCCAAATCTTGCAACGACTAAATGGCACGAGGTTGTATATAGCAAACCATCGTTCAGGCAGTATTGTGTACTTTTTCACCCAACAATTCTCACCACACAATCAATAATTTTCACTCGACAATTTCCACATGTATGTGATGTATGTATTTAACACTGTTGTTGTGGTAACAAGCTATAAATAATTTTTTTCAGATGGATTGACCAGCACAAAATTGTAGTCCGAGACATTATTGTATTCATTTTATTTCTATTTTCGCCACATTTGTAAATTGCAAATTTTGATCATATTCTATTTTAATATGAATCTGTATCTTATTACTAAGCTTGACACTGATTTGGAGGAACATACTCGATAAAACTCTCCGGATATGTTATATCGTAGTGGACAACTTCGTCTCGAATACCACATGCCCCCGTATGAATCCCGTACATTCTTCTGTTCGTGTATTCCGTTCGAAACTCCTCGGTCCAGTTGAATTTGTAAGTAATCGAGTCAAAAAAGTCGCCTTGTAAATTTTCTGGAGCATCGATATAATATTTTCGCAGCATCGGGGTCATTGTTCTGCAATAATTCACATTTACTAATTAGTCAATTATTAATATTATGTACATGTAAAAACGAAATTAATGCACATATTACTCGGTATATGCCGTCACTCCAAATTCTCTGATGTGGGCGTCAATATCGTAGCCAGAGGTGCATAGCTCGACATTGATTTTAGGATAATACCAGACAATGTCTTCACACATTTCTTCCCGAGTGCTCAATCCCCCAAGGACGATTTCGCCGTTTTTCCATACGGAATCGTACTCACATTCTAAATTTATGCGTTTATATTAATCCAAAAAATGTTTGCATATCATGATTTTCAAGTATCTTGAAATAGGATCATATGTTGAGTTCATAACGAGTTCGCATATTCGCATCGTAACATAAGTTTGACAAAATTACGAACTAAATACTAGCCTTGGAGATGCGCAAGTTCTCAAATGAATTTTCATTGCCAAATTTTTTTGCAAACTTTTTTTGCGATTTTTTTTATAATTCGTAATGTGTACCCCCATGAAACCATATTACTACTCACCAACTGTGATGTGATCTCCCCGTTGGACATTAACATGCGTCATCAAAGGCTTATTTTGTTGGTAGTCAAAGTCATAATGGTCATCATAATCAAGCCAGGGAAGTTCCACGTTGCCCCGGAAGTGGCGCGCTTTCATCTTACGTCCTAATCCAGTATTGAAGACAGTTAACAAATTTTGTAAAATTGCACGCGTCATGATTTAATTTACCAGACAAATGGGAATGCAACAAAGAGTTGAAGACATTTATGCCGTTTTCGGGAAACATGTTGGTGCATTCCGATCCACAATGTCCGACATCTTTGTAGGATGGCGTATTTGGCGGCACAGTCGTTGAAAGGTCCACTTCGTGACCAAGGATCATAATTCCGGCTTCTTGTGGTCTGAAAAACGTATCAAAAATTTGGATCCGTCCAAGATTTAGTAATTAGTCCTAAACTTAGGGCTGCTTACCGAAGTTCGTCCGTGTAATAGAATTCCACCCCTGTTTCAAACTTGAGTCCTTCAATCATGTCGGGATTATCGTAATGAATTTCCATCATGTAAAATTGTTGGCCTGGAAGGTCGCCGATTGGGTAACCAGCATCCTCAGGGAAGACCAAGGTCTAGATGCAAAAATACATGTTTTTTTAACTACATCTTTATCTTGGATTTGAAGTGACTCACCTTTCCCCCTTTCGCCCAGACGTAGAAGGTCCCCATGATACAGTAGCTAATTGGTAGGATTGTGTCAGGATCGTAACAATCCCCTCCAACGTGGCCCTTGTCGACCGTGTAGTTGCCTAATACTTCTTCTAAGGTTTCATTAGATCCGGCGGGAAGGAAGCAATTGTACAGAATGGAGTGGTGGGTATGTTGTAAAGCTTCGGCTGAAGGTAGTACGGCGTTAAACTGTAGAATTTAAAAAATAAAATTATAATTTGGTGCAAAATTTTGCAAAGTTACATGTTTAATTACAACGCCGGTTTTTCGTGCAAAACTCGGATTTACGTGTGACCAATTTTATTTTGTTCTCTGTTTTTGAATTTCTATAATCCGCTAATTTGAGTGTGAAGCGCTCATTTTAAACTATATTCCAGCTAATCTCTGGTTTTCAAAATTCTGGAAATTTTCGAATTTTAGCGTGAATTCAAAAATTCGAAAACATTTTTCATTAGAACGACTTACCTGACTTCATATAAATCCGATTGATGCGAAATTTTAACTGAAAATTTTTGCCCCTTTTTGAAATTCATAGAAATAATACACTCTTGGAAATTGTTAAATTCCCAAAGATAGTCTAGGTGAATTTCTAATAGACCAAGTAAGTCGTTCCGAAGAGACATGTTTTCGTATTTTTTAATTCGCGCAAAACCGGAGGTTTTGTTTGGAAAACAGTTTAAACTTAGCGCCTCTCGTTCAAATTAGCGCTTTACGAAAAATGCAAAAATATGGGTATGATTATTTTTGCGGTGAATAAAATAAAAATTGTCTCATGGAAATCTGAGTTCTACATGCAAGAGACCTGCATTGTTAGTTATCAAAAGCTAGATATAGCCTGTGTGGAACTAAATATATATCAAACACTACATATTCTCAACTTACCCCAACTACGTGATGCTTCGCACTTAAGACGGGTCCTCTATGGAAGCTGCACCAATAAGAGGTATCCACTGTGGGCATCTCCATGTCTAAAATCATAGGCCAAGTTTGTACCCTGGAAATCAAAATTTAATTATGTACCTAAGCATAACTAAAAATTCAATTTTTTGCGGTATTTGTCCTCGTGCATACGTATCTAAATCCAGCTCTGGAAGATCTGCGTGAATAAGATTAGTCGACTTTGTTCCCCGCCGTGTGGTCCCATGATATCTAATAATATCAGCATCTCCCATTGCCCAAATTAGACGATTTGTGTCATTCTAAATAGGAACAAATCGATATTAAAAAATTTAATTCGTGTAGCAAATTTTTTGTCTTATTTTACCCCAATCAGGTAATCCTCGTCGTCACAGGTGTCCAATAAGCGAGAGAACTTCAGGATTGTTTTACCCATTGAGGGCAGCTCCATAGCTTCCAATAGTCTCCAGTCCGAGTGATCATCTACTTTCGGTTCCGTCCTGCCAATCCCGAATCGATCCTGGTGACAAAATATTAAGACGTAAGTTAGTAGCCTGTCTTAGGGTAAGTTAACCTGGGGCAATGTGAGATCCCAGGACCAAATTCTTGGCTAGATTTACACATCTGTGACCTCACCTGTGCATAAGTGCTCCCATCCGACAGCACGCCACCAATGAAGATGTCCGCTCCGGTCATCCCGCCCTGTGGAGAAATGCCGAACCCCACCCAACCCAAGGTTTCAGCCTCAACTTCAAATACGATCTCATCTCCCGCTTCGTTTATCTCCCAGCCCAAAATGTATTTTCCTTCTCCGTCTAACACTTCGATATTCTTTAGTTGGATGGAATTCTTTGGAATGCTGGCGCCCTGAGCGACCCCGAGTGCCACAAGTACAGCAAAGCTTGACAAAAATAACTTCATCTTGAAGGGCTTGAAGTTAGGCAGGTGCAAGGAAAGGGTTATCTTAGCAATGGAGCATTGCATCACATCAAGTTCATATATATACTGACTCCGTGGAAGATAACGTGACGTTCGTTGGACTGATAAGTGAGTGAGTCAGGCTGATTGAGAAAGCGCGATTATACTTAACATCGATGAGCCCGAAGTAGATAATTCGTCTGGAGTACAAATTTATTAAATTTGTGATTATGTAGATCAGATTTTTATACCCATTTTGAAAATTTGGGCAGCAGACCATACTTTTTTACTTATCTGCTTCGGACAGGCCTGAAAATTTTAAATTGAACAAAGACGACTGACAATGTGCATATAGTGACAGAAGGACATACAGATTGGAACATTATCTCTGCTTCGAGCATAAAGCATATGTATGAGTAATCCGCAAGTAATTGGAAACCAATTGAAATAAAATGATGAAATAAACTGAGTCAACACTCAACTCGACTTTTGACACATGTCAAAAGTGTGTTTTCCGTATAATGGAATCGATAATTGATCAGAGCTGAAGGTACCTAGTACACATCCTTGTCAGGCTTATCATGAAAGATGTCGCAATCCGTGAAGTGTAAAAATTAATTAGCATAGCAATTCACAGGAGGCCTTGTGAATTACGTAAATCTTACACATAAATTTGACAGGTTTGTAAAATTGTTGCCACGTGCATAAACATGAAGTGCAAAGGTTGCAAGAATTATTAATTTTACTCACACTAAGTAAGACCATTGACGTATTCGAAAGTTAACAAAATTTAATTCAAAAAGTCTACACGGTTTACTAGGCTAAGGAGTTGACATTAGCATAATTACTTATTTACCACAAGTTTCCGTTGCGTATTAATTATTCTGGAAGTCATTAATGCATTAGTTGCAAGTACAGCTAAAAATTATACTAGGATGAAGGATGTATGTATATAAATACATACATACACATTTACTAGTTGTACATGCAAGTATTTATAAATATACATATGTAGATATGCATGCATATGTACAAATTTGCAAATTATTTTACTCAAAATTATACACATGCATATTATATTTTTAAGAACATATTTAGCTAATATGTGTACATACATATCTAAACTATATAAAGCAGGCGAGTGTATCGCTGCTGGGTTGGTGGCTTAGTTGAGAAGTTAGCCTCTCCTTTTCTCTCTCCACTCTGCATAGAGAACAGGAGAGGCTAACTTCACTACTGTTGGAGTAACGGGCTTATCGACGGGCTTATTTGCACGTCGATTGACGGGCTTCTACACTAGTGTATATATAAATCAGAATCAGGACCTTAAATACGTATAGTTCTTACTCGCATTAAGGTTAACTGTGTAATTCCATACATACACATATCGTACTTTGCGGTTTCGCCCTAATGACCCTTTCCCTTAAACCAGATTATTAGTCTGCCAGTGTATCGAATAATTGCTAACGCCGTGTGTACCGTCGTCATTCTTTCTATCTTCGTAAACGATGCAATCTTCATCGCTTCGGGTTTCAATGATCGCAAAACTTTTTTCCAATAAGCTGAAGTTTTTTCATTCTTAAATGCCCTCGTTGTCTTGGCGTACAATGTCACCACCTTCGCAGCAATATTGCAAGCAATAATTATGATTAAGACTGCCACTGGTGACATCAGTGATCCTAGAATTTTTCCAACTATGACAGCCACTGCCAGACCAGGTATAATTCGGGATGTAAATACTGCATAATTGCACAGTACAGAAATTGACATGAGGATTAATAGCGCTGTAGGAGCGATGTTGCGGCTGGTGATCTTGTTACAGCGTTGTTGAATTATTTTAATTATACGAAGTGTTAGAATCGCATTTTCTGGAAGTCGGGTATTCGCCTTTGTGATTTTGGAGAAGTGCATATCCGGCCTAAAATCAGATTACAGTACAAAAACATTTTAAATACACAGGATAAGTTTTATAAAATTTATTAAGGTCAAGTATTTCAATAATCCATTTGAATAATAAAGGTATTCGCGATTTTGTTTAATTCCCATTCGGTACATATCTATTTTGTTAGTTGGCAAAACTTTTAGAAATTCAAAATTTGGACGATTTTCATATGATTTCGATTTAGACCCTACGCAATTTAGTAAGTATTTACATATGTATTTACATATATCAATCATCACCTTAATTCCATCAGTATGTTGCAGATCGGGTATAGTTGTGGGACCAGGAAAAACAACATGTTCATCGCCATAACCACACCACTAGTGAATACCCAGGAATGGATCATACTTATCACAATTAGAAGCACCGTCGGACCAAAACCCTTCCTCTTTATGTAATCCACAAATATCGATGTGATAAATATATTTAATTGGGGGACAGCACAGGCGAAAAGTGGGCACACGATAGCAGCAGTGAGAGGTACGCCGTACATGAACATTTCCATCCATAAGTCTATCCCAGCAGGGACAACTCCCATCTTTTGAAGTACAGGTTTTCCGAACATTTCTGGACATAAATAAATAAATCACATCAGTATAGTTTTAGCTGCACCATTTAAATTACTTTACGGGTTTTGCAGTCATAGTTGACACATAGCTTAAGGATAATCTGGTCCAAATTAGTACGAAAATTATAAATAGTGCTCCGCATGAACCCGGATTTGGTCGAAGTCGAATTCCAAAATTCCGGATTCAGATTGGGTGAATCCTGAAAAACAAGGACTCAGGGTTCGAATTCTGGAGTCGAATCGGACTCAGGATTAGGATCAGGATCATGACTCCTCAGATTCGTGCGGAGCACTAATAATAAATTCGATATGTACTCGTATATCATGAAAGTCTAATTTTCAGAACATATATCGAACTAGATGTTATCAAACTCAATCAAGTCACTTTTGTAGTACGTGTCTAAGGTATGTAAATAAATAAATTATACTAAAACCACCAAGAAACAGCAAACTCCACGGCACAACGACTCACCCACAAATTTCCGATAGTACAACGAAGCTATGTTCATCTGCTCAATAATGTCATCCTTCGCCACCACGTATTCAGTACAACAAACAGCGGAAACTATTATCGCGCAAAAAATCCCTATCAAGTGAATGATAACGTGAATAAATTGGAGGGGACCAACTCCCCTCAGCGTTGCTGGGAATCGAACCATAAGAAAAATTGTATATGCGAATATATTTGCCACATTTAAGTATAATTTCTTCAATGATTTCTTTCGAATTATGATCATTTTCTTGGCTTCGTACTCCCATGGAACGCAATGGATTAGGGAGGATACTTTGAAAAACTTCTGGATCAAGTCCTCCGCAAGTTTGGAAATCATTGTTTAAAAAAACAGGTATCAATAAATGTACGAATTATATTCACATTGTGGGTTAAGAAGTCCTTGACAGAATGAACGACATTAATCCATACTGGTAGGAAATATTAAATAAATAAATATAATTTTGTTCACCAAGTCGACGTATTATTACCAAATGAGCAAGATTTTGCCGATAAATTATTCATTATATCTACTTACATACTTAACTTCAACCCTGATGAATTAGCCTATTTACTATAAATGTCATATACCTACATACCTAGACACATTTTTTATCCTTAATTTGAGTTATGTGGATAAACAGAATTAATATTTTAAAAGTTAAGCGGAGCTTGATAAGAACTTTCATTATAATCTATTTAGACATTTAGCTGATCCGATATTTCTACACGAATATATTATGAAAAATGCCTTGTTAAGTACATATACATATTTATGAATGTTTAGTCGAATTTATCGCAATCGCCTGTGTTAGCACATGGGAATTTTCCTTATTAGCTCGGACTAAACATATTCACAGTCTGAATGCAATATGGGTTAAAAAAAACTATTTACCTTGTGCAAACCGGATTTTGAAACATTTTTGGGCCTTAAATGCAAAGCTGGAGTTAATAAGAGTTACTGTCATGATTGGACTGACGGATAGATAGATGTTTCCGTGATATTTTTAGGCATCTGAAGTATACTTAAAAGTTATAAACAAGCCCCCAAAAAAGGGAAGTCTTAGTGAGGCTGGGTGCCTCTATCAATATTAAATAAAATTTTCGGATCAGCATTAGCATCATCACTCTCCAAACTATCTTATCCTAGCTGAATTAATTGCTGCTAGAATTATTGTTTACAGACATTATAGATATACAAATAAGAAAAAAACTTTATTGTTTTTTAATGGTGTTAAGCTTTCGATCTCGTAATCGTCATCAGGGCGGACTTAATTAATTATTAACAAATTATTACAATTAAATTAATTGAACTAAAGATTTCAAATGAAGTCAACAGGAGCCCATACACTGATCCATGTTATAAAAACTAATGTGCAAATAGATAGTTTAAAGAGTGGTGATGCAAATGCTGTTCCGAAAATTTTATTTAATATTGATAGATTCACCCAGCCTCACTAAGACTTCCCTTTTTTGGGGGCTTGTTTATTTAATACTTGTAATTGAGTTATTTAAATAATAACTATAAACACCACGCATGCCCGAAATTCAATTTTGGATGTTTGGTTTGGAAATATTTTGCCACATAACTCGAATATGTAGAACTCTAAAAATTGACTACTTGTAAGTAGAATTACGCATTATTTTTTAATTACATGTGACTGATCTGTGTAAATTTGTTTCAAAATCTGGTGAAAAATGGCTGATAAATCGATTATTATTGGAGGGGGATGCATACTTATTTTTGTTTAAATGCTAGGTATTTGCCTCCCTAATAAGTTCCTCTTATGTCCTGCAGGACTAAAGTCCAAAGGACCAAGGTCTGATAAGCTGACATACTTTGGAATATAGAGTCGAAATTTAAACGGTTGAAGTTTTTTTATTGGAAATTTTTTCTGCATTTGTATATTTATATATGCATTGGTTGTTGTCAATGGCGTTTATTTTTTACCACCTCTTAAGCTTTAACCAATTTTTTCACCTCTTATAGGAAAAACTTTGTCATTTATGAACAGATTTTAATCATACTACCTTTAAAATTTGCACAAAAATTTACTCTAAAATTTGTGCAATTCATTTTTCATTCTGATATGCCATTAATTAACTATAAATGAAAATACGTTTCCAGGGGTATATTTTTGCTCATAACTCGTGTAAAAATCAAAAATTCGCTAAGTCGAATTGCAGATCGCTTCTAAATTCCGTAACAATGATCTGTGCAAAATTTCATCAAAATCGGTTGAGAAATGACTGAGATATCGCAGATGGTCACTTTTTTGGGGTGGGGTAAATGCATACTAAGTAATTTTTTTCGTTGCTAGGTATTTTCCTCACTAAGAAAAATGCCTAAAAATCGATTCCACTCTTTCAAATTTTCGTACAAAAATTAAAAATATACAAATAAATTAAAAATTAAACAAATATTCCTGGAACAGACTAAACGAATAAATAAGCCCTTATTAAATATGTATGCACAGCATAAGCACATATGCATACCATATGGCATATGCCGCAAAACGTATAATCAGGAATTTATAATTACATATATACATATATCCTATTGATTACTACATCATTGTATTTTTTGTTTTCTGTATCATTAGTTATATCCTTCGAATATGTATTGCAAACATAAATACTTGATGAAAAACTTAATATCCAATTTGCTGATGAGGATCTCTAATTCTGGTATTTAAGCGAATTCCAGAATCATGCATATTTATGTAGTGTGTGACGTGTATGATGCGTGCATGTCCAACTTTAATGACATGTATCTAGATATATGGTATGTACATATTTATGTGTGCATGTACACATATCTATGTATGTATGTATACACATATACATACTCATGTATGTTAGAAGTATTTGTATGTAACCTTGGATGGGAAAGGGTACTTTTCATGACACCGAAATACCGGCGTATGAAGTTCTATCCAGACGATCTTTCATCAAAATTGCGTGTCTTATAGTAATTGGCAGACAAACAATTACAATTTGAGCGATGCAGAAGTTTCTGATCTTTGCTATGCTGCTACCTAACAGTGTTCCATATTTGAGGGAATTGGCGTACGAACTAGGGCGACGGAGTGATCAAATTACTTCACTGTCGTGCACCATGCATTCCCATCAGATTGGAGCACATCCTGGAGGGTTAAATCAAATTGGGGGAATTCATCGTCGCCTGGCATGGCTAAATGTTTCATGGTTCGTATACACTCGGTGGCCAGAAAATAACTGGCCGGATGGACCTGATTTGTGGAAAAGGTCAAATCTCCATCAGAAACATCAATCTTGGTGCAATATTATTTTTTACTTCGAAACCCAGTTCCAAGCCACACTTGAATCAGAGTTCTGGGATACGTTCTCCAACCAAATTTGGCGTCTGGAAACTGTTTTTATCATAATTCGAGGATACTTGGATTATAGAGTGCATCCCGAGTTGGAGGCTGCTCCTTGCACCGTTTTATTAGAGATTTACTCAATTCAACCAAAAGCGTATTATTTTCTCAGAAGAGATGAAACTGGTGCAAAAATGGTCAAAATTTGGGAAGATTATTCTGTAATAACCTTTCTTAGCGATTTTCCTCGACTGGGAATGTTAACCCAATTTTTGTCTGGCCGTCTTCCAATTTGGTTTAATGATCCAGACATAGGTACGTAAGTGCTCATACTTCATTAATAATAAGGGGTAGTCAAGGCTAACTATTAAACCCGATTATAATCTATTCCATGATTAATGATTGTGACGATTATTTTGACGATGGTTTTGAGGATTATTTTAAAAATAATGGATTATAATCCACATAATCGTTAACCTTTACTACCCCTATACTATTTACAGTTACGGTTAATGATCAGTTTTAAATTTGATGGTCATTTTCGATAAAAAGTTATCATGTCGCTCGCTAACTTTAACTTGTCTGAAAATACTTAAATTTGCATATGTAGCTCACACAAACATATTTACATATAATTGTGTAAATACCTCTGTATATACGTATCTATTTATTTCTCACCAGATCCATCTGGGAAGATAGCTTGTCCCATAACATCGTCTCGAATAACGTTCCTACAGAGTGCTCTAAATTTTACGACCCAATTTCAAGATTCACGTGTCTCGCGTCGGAATTCACCTATAATACATTTAAACTTCAGAATGGAATCTTATGAGGCATACCAAACTAGATCTTTGGAATGGAGGCCGACCTTAATATATTGCAGAATTGAACACCGCCTCCCTCAACAATGGACCGTTTGGATAAGTCCTTTCGAACCAAGTGTATGGTTTCTATTGGCATTGTCGTGCGTAACCATGGTAACAATTGTATTCCTAAATGACAATGGATCTGCTGCTCTACTGAATCAAGTCCTTTTTGTAACATCTACTTTATTTCTACAAACCCATAAAATACTTCATGTAAAAAATGTTCCCTTTGTAATTATGTATTTTATAGTAACCACCATGTACGAAACGCTATTCACAAGCAAGCTCATTGTACCCGAGGTTATTCCTACGTACGAAAATGTCGGGCAGTTTGTAAATGATTCGTATAAAATTTGGTGTCTTGGTAGAGTCAGATGTAATTATTTAGTTAATCAGAGCCACCTTATACGATCCAACTTTGACAAGTTTGGCGTGCTTGGGAAAATCAACAAGGTCGTGGACATTGTTGACGCTAATCCAGATCCGTGGCTATGGTACATAAACTACATAAGCACACATATTGTCCTGACCAGCCTAAATTCTAGCATAGTTGGAATTTTGGAGGACTTGGAACATTCTAAGCAACAAATTGAACTTCTTTTATTTAACTTGATGACAGATATTTTATTAAAAAATATATCTGGGCCTTCTGCCATTGAGAGATGCTACTCGATCAATGTTGGTGAAATTTCATATTTTGTGGGTGCATTTAAGGTGCCATACTTCAAAGAAATGGTGCGGGTACAAAGTATTGCGAATGAGTTTGGATTTATGCAAGTTTGGGAGAACAATTGGTTGCATAGGTTTCAAAATGCGGCACATCGCGTACAGTTACTCACCATGCGTAGGTTTGGATCTATTATGCCGGCAGAGTTGGAATTTATTGTTGGATCGCATCTAATTACATTGTTTTATGCCTTTTTAGTGTGCATTGCAAGTTGCATTTGCATATTTGCTGTAGAAAAGTGGCTAATTGTTAGGCGATCTAACAATACGTCGACCTGGGTTCGTTTTATGCTTATATATTTTTCTTAGTGCGTGTTAGAATTCGTAGACGGATTCATTATGATGGTGATGTGAACTTTAATACTTACCTCGTTCAAAATTGGACTTTAAACTATTAAGTTAGTAAATTAGATTATCTAGGGCATAGTTAAATGGAGGTATGTACTTACTTATGTACAATAAAAATGGTTTATTCACGTAAACAAGCAACCGAATAAAAACTGAATACACGTAAATATGTACATACTTTCCATATCAGTGATTTGTAATCAGTTCTTCATGATAAATTTATAATTACATAAATATATCCTACCGAGTACAAATTGTATTTTGCATACCTGTCCGCGCCACTAGTTAGATTTTTTGATTGCGTATAAATACTTGATAACCTACATATGTATATCCGATTTACTTATGAGGAGTCCTATTTCCGGGATAGATGCATATTTAGTGAGAAGTAGATACATATATTAACCCATGCATGCATGCATAAGCAGGACACTTTTCATGACATTTAAATATCGTCGCATTTAAACAGTCTTCAAACATCTTCTTAAATAGCGTCAAAATAAGTTATCTCCCACATTCGACTGTCCATTTTAATATTTTAGTTCCATTTAACTTACATTTTCAAATTTTATCCAATCCAGAAGTTTGTTATATTTTCTATGCTACTGCGTAGCAATGCTAATTTAACTAAAATATATCCATACACAAATCATATTTTGATTAGCGTAATTCGTTTTATTATTCGCATTTAGAATAGCCATGAACAATAATTGTTTTCAGCCGTCCATCAAATTTATATGAATGTGGCCACGATCCACTTGCCCATGATAGGCCAAATCGTCAGTTTCACCCGCTGCCCAGACGATATGTTGAATTGCGTTCTGTATAAAAAATTATTTATAGTCAAATATGTACATGTACTCAAAGTATTCGAAAGTTAAACACCTGGTGATATTCACATACTCACCTCTACTCTAAGATCTTGGTCAACATCCCCCGTATCAACAGCTCGAGAGAACTCAAGAATGGTGTGGGTAGCATTTTCAGAGGCAGAAATAAGCTCTACGTTTTGAATCGTGTCCAAAGCTGGAACGCCGTGACCTGATGCGAAGCGATCCTGGAAGAAAATGTGCATAGCCAATTTCATATCCGTAAGAGTAGATTTAAGAAATATTTAGTGTTTTCTAAGTCTACCATGAAATCGTGCATGTACTCAAAATGAATGATATATTTCGGCTTACTTGGACCAAATCTTAAGACTGTGCAATGCCTACTATTAACAAACTTTTTATTTACTCACCCCGATATAGGCTTCGCCCGTGTCCGCATTAAATCCCCCGATGACCATGTCCGACCCAGCCATCTCACCAGTTGGAGAAATTCCCCATCCAACCCACCCTTTCGATTCAACAGTTACTTTGACGGTAAGAATTCCAGTCAAAGTTACCCTCGTTTCCAACAAGTACTTTCTGGAAAGAAATTTAATTAATGACTACAAGGTTATTTAAACGTTCAATTGTAAACTTTGGTGTACCCGTCGTTAATTGGGACAACAGCTCTGCGGGGGACAATCCCTCCGAGGGCGGAGACTAAAAGAGTGGCGAAAACGAAAAGTTTTGTGGACTCCATTTCAATTAAAGTTGGTATGAAGTAAATGGGAAAAAGTGTGGCGGCGACTGATGAAGAATCGGTGAAAGTTATGGCCTTTTTATACCCCTCGTCAAACAAAACTGGGTGCAAAACTACTTCAAAAGGGGAATTAGTATTCATCCATCAATCAAATTAAAATTCGGGTTAGTGTTTCCCTTTGGTTGTTGATAAATATAAACATAGCAGAACTTATAGGCATGGGGTGCATGGCACGTACCATTTATAACACGCCACAAATATTTATTTGTGGCTGGAATCCTTGTCAACATTCAATATTGTGTAGGGTCTGAAGTGGACTTTCACGTGAACCACTAAATTGCAAGGGAAATATTAAATGGTACATGGATCTGTCTGGTGGTCCGAGAATACGAATCATGCCTGCTCAACATGTACATATGTATGTACTTATGTATTGTCGAAACAATGAAGTCATGTGCAAATTCGCAACTATTTTATCCAGGTTTATTTTTAGGTCGGGATAATATGTATGTCAATTATGACAAGTGGAAGAAGTGATACAAATAACAAGTTAGTAGGTAAATTGACGGTGCATGTAGGTATATAGTTGTAAATACTTGTAAAATGAGTGTATTTCGCTCTTCAAAATCTAGTGAATTTGGAACCGTAGAGCTTATACTTAATTGAAAGCTACCAGGGCGCATTAACTTTTTGTTGTCCGTGGTTTCTCTTAAAGGGGTGATGCAGGGATGAGCATTTTTTCAAAAAAATTAAAAAATTAAAAGTTCGGGAATTGCATGCAATTTTCCCATGAATTTGGTTGTCAACCAAATTTTACAAATGATAATATTCTGCACCACGGGCTTCACACGACCCATATGGCCCCCACTGGTCATCCAGTTGACGGATCTTGTCAATCGTCCAACTTTATTCCTCATCTTCAGAGATGAAGACCAAGATAAGATTTATTTATTTCATTTCTAATATGTGGTTGACAACCAAATTCATGGGAAAATTGCATGCAATTCCCGAACTTTTAATTTTTTAAAATTTTTTTTTGAAAAAATGCTCATCCCTGCATCACCCCCTTAAGAGAAACTACGGACAACAAAAAGTTTATGCGCCCTGGAAAGCTACGTATGAAATTTAAGTACTAATAAAAGCACGAAATGTGAAAGAAATAAAAAATCGGATCAAATAAACCATTTTTTTAAAAGTTCCACTGATAAATAGTTAATTAAATTTATGGGTGGATATTTTGAATATGAAAAAGTGTTAAAAAACTTTTTAAAAGCCAAAGATAAAAAATCGGATTAGAAGTTGGTTGAGAAATTAATAAATTCAGTTTTGCTTGGAAGGCGAAAACCGATGACCTAGTGAAGGGAAGTGTAGGAAAAAATCGCAGTGGTGAAATCTGTATAGTTTCGTATGGTGAAAATGCGCGTTTTTGCCAACTTAAAACCTTCGTAGCGCCGTGAATTCAGAAGTGCTCAAGTGCCACACCAACTTTTGTTTGTTAGTTACTTGAATTTTTAGTGCCGGTGCCGGTTTCAAGAAGATCCGTGAGAAACATGTCTGACATGTGCATTGTAAGTTAATTTTGATTCCCTCATACATATTTGAGGTGCGTATGTAACATAGCAGAGGGCGGATATGCATGTATTTCTAACTTTTTCATATCAAATCAGATCGTCTTAAAACTTCGTACACTGACATCCTATCGAAGCGTGATCTCAAAAATTCAAACATAGTTTTCCATATTTTCCATATTTTAGGGTTATCGACGATAACTTATCGTACCTATACTTATTTTCATACATATTTGAGCATTTTTCTAAATATAAATATTTTAATACATGTTTTGGGGTTTTTAATATATAAATATTTTCTTTATTTGGAAGTTAAAGTTTTGTCAAAATCAAATTTTCATGATAATCGTATTCAATTCATGTAAACGACTAGAAAATTCAGTTTGCCCCATTTTTCAAGCCAAAAAATTACCCCTGAAAATCTCTAAATATAACTAATGTCGCATTATGGGTCATTAGTAGGTGAAGATTAAAATGAAATAAATATTTAATAATTCGTGGATAAAAGTGTTAGAGGTGAAATGGATATCCAAATTATCCAATCCATTTGAGATCCAATCCAATGGATATGGATTGTATTGGATTATTACATACCAGCCATGTATTTAATTACATGAATTTAACAAAAACACAAAGTTTAGGTTAATCTTATTATTATGACTTTTACGTAACTTTGTTATGCAGCTACACTGTTTTGCGTAATTAATAAAATTCACCGAGAATATGTAATACACGCAAATGTGTTTTAATATCCTTCATAATCTTCCAATTAACAATTGAATTCAAAGGGTACGCAAAGCCGGATGCTGGGCGAGGTTGTAAAGAAATATTGTCCTTCAGTTCTGAAAATTAAAAGTTGCATAAATACAAACTGGCAAACTATTCCAGCAAAAGTGATTACAATCATCATACCCATTAGTCGGAATTAATTCACCTGCCCGTATGTCGAGATTTTCATCATCGCAAGGGCAATAAATCCTTAGCCCCCAATCCTTAAAGTGCTTACACTTGCAGGCATTTACAACTTGGTTTATTGTGACGGCAAACACTTCCACAGCAATGTTGTGGCTGCAAACTGTTTAATTTTGAATAATTTCTACTTTAATAGATTCAAGTAAATTATTTTTAAATACTTACTGGCATGCCTGTTCACTTTCATTCATGCTACTAATTATGATAGAGAATAATAGTGAATGAAAATGAATTTCCTGTGATTTGAATGAAAATGAGTGAAGGATTCCGTCATTTCAGATGAATGACTGTGAATGAAAGGATTCTTCACTCATTTCATTTTTCACCCTATGCTTAATACATGGGACGAAGTAAGAAATGAAGTCTGATGAAGTGAAACGAAATGAATTTGAAAGAAACTGACTGAATGTGAATGAAATCTTGAGTCAGAAATAGTGATGAGTGAATTGTGAATGAAAACTAAACTTTTAAACAGGTATGCTTACTGGATTCCCCAAAACAGCCTGGCTGTAGTCGACCACCATTAGCTAAAAAGAGATCTCAAATGCATTGAGTTCTTTATCATTGTTAATTTTTTGTATACCCACGGTAAAAATCTACATGTCCCATTATTCCGAGGTATCCAAGTATTCCTGTGTTGGTGTGATAAACATCCACAAAGGAAGCATCACTCTCATCCAAAATTAGGTCAAGCGGAAGATGCTGAAAACTTGGACCGGAAGGATCCAATCCTGAAATGCGCCCCAACTTCTGCCCTGGCCGAATTATTTGAATTCTGTGACCAACCTGACCTGCTACATGGCAACCGAGACTATGCCCCACAAGATGGATTTGCTGAAGGGTGGAAAAATCTTGATCAACTAAAAACTCAATGAACTTAGCGATGCGTTTGGAAACTCTTGGAATGTTTTGAACTACGACAGGGAAGGATTTTAAAATGACGGGTATTGTTAGCGGAGATTCTGCTGGAAGCGATAGGAGCCCCCAATCTACGGTGATTACGTTGTAGTTTAGTCCAGAGCAAAGATATTCTGTGCGGCATGTTAAGTGTATGTAAAAATTTTACTAGTATTCACCACCACAAATAAAATTATGAGATTGAAAGTCTCACCATTCCTAAGTGTGACTGGCATATGTGTTTGGGAATTAGAGATGAAGCCATGAATTAAAAATAACGTTTTGTTCCTGCTTCTAAACTCAAACCTTTTCAAGGTTTTTTTGTCCCATGGGAGGAGTTCAATTGTTTGTTCAGGGTTCCTGCAACAGATTAATTTCGACCTAGAAAAATGGTTTAGTGGTATTGAAATGAATGCTATGTACCTACTCTGGATAAGGATGCAGGTAGAAATGGACGTCGTTTGGATTATCCGAAACTGAGCCATTTATTGCAGATTCCACAAAGAAGAGTTTAAGTAGAATCAGATAAAAGTTTGACTTGAGATCCATGTTCATAATGACCACCGGTTTTGTGATCCAATGTTTTATTGGCACTGAGACCGAAATATAACAAAATTGTCATGAATCTCGCTTTATTGCATGGAAAGTCCCATCATTTGTCATCCAATCTCAAAGATGTATTGAATTCATGATAATTACATGTATTTCGGTCTGAATACAACACAATTATCGTGATTCTTTCTTTAAATGCATAATGGGGCTTTCCATGAAAATAGTAATATCGTGATTTTAAGAAATTCAGAACATGACATTATCATGAATAGGAAATGCAAATCATGCTGGAAAGGCGTCCTCGTGACTCGGTCCAAATTACATTGATTTGGTAATCTTACTGCTAAAAAACGACCATAATGTTCTTCTGTCTTGAAACCTCATTAGGCCTGTTCTGAAAATGTGTGAACCAGTGTTGATTTCTTGTGTCCGAATAGTTATGTGAATCTACATGTCCCAAAAACTTTTTCATACGCAATCTCTACTTCGTGTCCCATCCGACACATCTGCAGAACTTACGCATTCATTTGCATATAATTGTTTATCCTATTCCATCAGCGTATCAGTATTTATTGAATTATCACACAAAGCATAACTAACCTTGTAATAATTTGGGGGGCGGGTAATCATTAGGAAAACATGCAATTCTTTTGATTTTTAATGAAAAATTCGTCGCTACCCGCTTCGACCCCATCATTAACAAGTTAAAACACCATTTCACACAATTGTGATGATTGCCATGCATGGATTAAATCTCATTCTTAATAGATGAGATGTTTTAATTAAATATTTTCAAATTTCCATGCAATTCTTAAAAATTTTAAGTAAATCTTTGTTTTAGTCCTAATTATTTACGTATTTGAACCCAACACAAGTTATCACACTAAATCGAAACTTAAAAGTTAATGAGGACAAGTAAGCTACAGTATACATACATACATGTGCTGTACCAACAAAGTTGATCATTACTCAAATGCCAATGCATTGTTTGTTAAATTCATGTAATTAAATGCATGGCTGGTATGTACATATGTATGAATGATATGCAGTCAGTTTTTACAATATTTCTAACATTATGTCTCACATACATGCATACAGGGGAATCAAATACGGGAATAATAATTATGAATATCAACATAATATTCTGTTCTAGTTTTCTCGGATCCATGAATATGGATCCGATGTATGAATTGTCCATATATACATTTGTTTAGACTTACATAAAATAGTATGGAGAATCCGAAAATGTCAACCTCAAATACGTACCATAAGAAAAAAACCATCATATTGATCACTTGAAAGTAAAAAAAAAGATTGAATTTATTTTTGTAAAATGTTGCTCCACGTCCATGCCAGATGCGGCCAAGAGGTCAAAAAATGGTAAACGCAAGACCTCCCAAGCTTTACAACAAAATTTTATAAGAAAAACCTACAGTGCAGACTCCATATAGCCCGAGTCAGGGACAGAGTCCCTGACTCCTTGAGTTCTACCTGTTTCTAAATTTTTCTCCGAATTGACCGACGTAATATTTCCATTTTGAACTTCTAAAGCTATATGTGCTACCAAGAAATGGTTTTTAGCCTTCGTACCAAATTTCAGATGGAAATAACAACTATAAAAGTTGTATGGGTCACCCTCCAGGGTCACTCTGGTTAAAATTTGCTCACTTTTAGCTTCATATCCTTTCATGGGAAGCCACTAGGTATGACCGTGCCGGATTTAATGTTTTTAAAGTAATTTCTAAAAATCGGTATGGGGCATCCCATAGGTCGCTCCAGATAAGAATTTTACCAATTTCATGTCATATTCTTCTATTAAGACCCATTAGCAACCTCCCTACCATAGCTCCCAATAAATTGGTCCATGGTCCATGGTCCATCACAAATGGTCCATGGTCCATGGTCCATCGATGGACCATCTGAAAAATGGTCCATGGTCCATGGTCCATCGATGGACCACTTGAAAAATGGTCCATGGTCCATGGTCCATCGATGGACCACTTGAAAAAATGGTCCATGGTCCATGGTCCATCGATGGACCACTTGAAAAAATGGTCCATGGTCCATGGTCCATCGATGGACCACTTGAAAATTGGTCCATGGTCCATCGATGGACCACTTGAAAAATGGTCCATGGTCCATGGTCCATCGATGGACCACTTGAAAATTGGTCCATGGTCCATGGTCCATCGATGGACCACCTAAAAAATGGTCCATGGTCCATCGATGGACCAATTTTTTGTGGTCCATGGTCCATGATGGACCATTTTGGTCCAGTGGACCATGGTCCATTGCGAGCTATGCTCCCTACCAAATGTCAGCTTGTTATGACGATTTTTTAAAATCGGTATGGGTCACCCCATAGGGTCACTCGAGATGAAAATTTTTCCAACTTGAAGTCATTTTTATCTAGTAGGAGCCATTAGCAACCTCTGTGCCCAATTTCAGCCTTCTACGACAATTTTGAAATTTTGGTGCATAATACCCCACCCACTCCGATGACCCCCACTGGTCAACCACTTGACCGATTTCGCCCATCTTCGAACTCGTTTCCTAACTTTGTCCAATATGCATATGGTAAAAATTTCAAGTCAATCGGTTCGGCCGTTTTGGCTCTATCGTGCCGGACAGACGGACGGACGGACGGACATGATGGTTCCATAAGCCCTGACTCGGGCTGAAAATGGTCACTGACGACGAACCCCATGTCCTTAAAAACGTGCCAGAAACTCCGGGAAGGGAATATTTCATGGCAAATATATTTCTATAGTGCAAACCGGGGTAAAATTATTTAAAATGTTGTTCAAAAATTTCGGTGCTTTTATATAACTTGGTTATGCCATTTATTTATGATTTGTGGTAACCTCCCAAAACTTTGTGAATATTTGAGTATGAAGGGCATTGAAGGGGCATACCCTTATGAAAATATATGTACTAGGACGATGTAGCATGGAGTGCAAAGACAGGAAACATACATGCCTGAAACATTATCAACTTAATTAATATATACACATACACAAGTGCATGTTTTGATTAGCTTAAGTCGTTTTATTATTCACATTTAGAATAGCCGTCAACAATATATGTTTTTAACCGTCCATCAAATTTAGTTCAATTGCACCACGATTCACTTGTCCATGATAGGCCAAGTCGTCAGTTTCTCCGGCTGCCCAGACGATGTATTGGACTGCGTTCTGTATAAAAAGTACAAGTAACCGTTAAATATTGAAATGTACTCTAAGTATTCAAAAATAAACACCTGGCCACATAAATGCTTACCTCTACTTTCAGATCTTGCTCAACATCTCCCGTATCAACAGCTCGAGAGAACTCAAGAACGGTGTGGGTAGCATTTTCAGAGGCAGAAATAAGCTCTACGTTTTGAATCGTGTCCAAAGCTGGAAGTCCGTGACCTGATGAGAAGCGATCCTAGAAGAAAATGTGCATAGCCAATTTCATATCCGTAAGAGTAGATTTGAGAAATACTTTGGACTTAGGTCGTAAGTCATGTGTGTACTGCAGAAATTTCCTTGACACCAAAATTTCTTTTAAAAAAGAATATTTCTTCGATATTTTCTGGAAAACTCGATGGTGAAAAGTGGATTTTTTTTCGATATTTTTCACCCAAAATTTTGGAATTTTCCCTATACCGACCAATGTTAAAAAGTGGAGTTTTCGTGTTTTTGGTCAAAAACTCGAGTTTTGCAAAGTGATAAGAAATTTTAATTGGTTGCTATCAGGTATTTTTTTAAAAATCGTACCGAAGGGAAATTGTATTTAAAAATTAGTAGTCCGAAAGAGGTTAAGAATATGCAATGCCTACTATAGTATTAACAAGGTTTTTATTCACTCACCCCAATATAGGCTTCGCCCGTATCCGCATTAAATCCCCCGATGATCATGTCCGACCCAGCCATCTCACCGGTTGGAGAAATCCCCCACCCAAGCCAACCTGTCGATTCAGCAGTTACTTTGACGGTAAGAATTCCAGTCAAAGTTACCCTCGTTTCCAACAAGTACTTTCTGGAAGGAAATTCATTAAAACGTTATAAGTTTATGTAAACTTTTCATTGTAAACTTTAGTATATCTATGTACCCATCATTAATTGGGACTACAGCTCTGTGGGGGACAATCCCTCCGAGGGCGGAGACTACAAGAATGGCGAAAATGAAAAGTTTTGCGGACTCCATTTCAATTAAAGTTGGTATGAAGTAAATAGGAAAAATTGTGGCTGCGACTGATGAAAAGTCGGTGAAAGTTGTGTCTTTTTATACCCCTCGTCAAGCAAAACTGGGTGCAAAACTACTTCAGAAAAGGAATTATTAATCAATCAATCAAATTAAAATTCGGGTTAGTGTGTACCTATGGTTGTTGATAAATACACGTAACAGCCCAGCCCAGAGGCATTGGGTGTACGCCACGTACCCCTGATGGCAATACCACGAATATTTAGTTGCATGTTCAGTGTAACTGAAACCGGTGTCAAGATTAAATGTTGTGTAGGTTCTGAAGTGGACTTGCACGTGAATCACTGGATTGCAAGGGAAATATTAAATGGTACATGGATCTGTCTGCTGGTCCGACCATACGAATCATGCCTGGTTAACATGCACATATGCACTTAAATATGCATTATCGAAACAATAAAGTCGTGTGCAAAAGTTTGCAACTATTTTATCCAGGTTTATTTTTAGGTCGGTTTAATATGTCAAGTATGACAGGTCAAAGAATGGTACAAATAACAAGTTAGTGGGAAAATTGATGATTATTTAGGTTATGTTTGTATGAAGTGGGGTATTACATTTGATTGTGCATATTAAATAGATATGTAATATTATTTGTAGTATAAAATAGTATTTGTAACATGTGTGTATTTTGTTCTTCAAGATCTACTGAATTTCGAACCGTAGAGCTTAAACGTAGTTGAAGGATAAGTATGCAATCTAAAAGTAATTTTTCGGTCCTAAATTGTCTGTAGTAGTAAATGAGCTATTTAGTTACCCATTGAATTATTAGCCACTGGAGTAAAAGCCCGTCCAAGGACGGGCCCCAGTACGGGGTGTGCCAAAGCCATAAATCCGTCATATGTACCACACATTATATAATTCTCAGGGTCTACTGGTGAGGCCACAGACCCCAAGTGTTATATATTCTGGAAGGTAGATATTTGTGAGACCTTTCGAATAATACCCCACTTGTTGGGGGTTATCAGGTGAAATTTTGGTGACCTGTGACTGTTGACCTTGAATGGCGTGACCTACACTATTCAAGCTATGACGGCTCCTACCGCCTTGGACTAAGCTTTCGAATGCACTATCATACGTTTCTGTAAGTGGTCAGATGACGGAGGAGTTGATGCCGACGGACAAATCGTTCGTGCTGAATTAAGTAGTTGGATATTCGACTACGTATTGTGATATGATATAAAGGGTTGGGAAAAAGTTTCTCCTGTCAGCGCGGAGTGACATTCAGCTGCAATTCCTCAACCTGTGAATGTTTAATTTTGAAAATTTTACCATGGGTAGTCCAATACGAAAGGTCGATCGTGACCATCGTAGAGATCAGATAAAAACTTGTTGCACAGCAATTACCTAAAAATGTATAAAAATTCCGGCATTTATAATTCCACCCCCACTCAATATTCACTTCAAAATTATGAACAAGTAAATTTACCTTACTACAAAGCAGAAGTTTACAAAATCGACGAATTTGAGTCACACTGCTCATAAACTAACACAAGAAACATTACTGTCCCAAATGAGCATTAATGATCGTCTAAAATTTGGAGAAATGCTTCAGAAAAGTGGCCGTTTTGGTGAAAAAAACACAAGGTCAAGAACTAGGCGTCACATCCTTTGGACTAATGAATCCCGTAATTCCCGTATCGAGCTATACCCAGAATTGAACCTCAAAATATGTATGAGAATCTCATAATGAGATACAAAACCGAAAAAAATCGAATGTATCTATATCTCTGATGCGTGTCTCAAAAGGAGGAGGCACTCTCCTTACGTGAAATGCCCCGCCGTGATATTTGCCCCAACTTTTGATATGTTGTACATCTCGACGTGCTGAACAAAAAATGTATTGGTCCCTAAGCCCCAAGTTCGACCGGAAATAGAGGTCAAAGGTCAGTGCACTTTTTCGCTCGAAACCCCACAAACCGTATATTTTTGGAAAGCTACGGACTTCGTGAGTCCGAATATACATCATAATAGGGTCTAAGGTCAACCCTTGACCTTTCGAGGTCAAACAATGACCTCACAAGGTCAAGCAATCCTATCAGAAATGTACTTTGGTTTCTTCTCCCCAGGAATCTCACCTTGCCCCAAGAGAAGTATGCAAAGTACATTTCTGATAGGATTCCTTGACCTCGTGAGGTCATTGTTTGACCTCGAAAGGTCAAGGGTTTACCTTAGACCCTATTATGATGTATATTCGGACTCACGAAGTCCGTAGCTTTCCAAAAATATATGGTTTGTGGGGTTTCGAGCGAAAAAGTGCACTGACCTTTGACCTCTATTTCCGGTCGAACCAGGTCACTTGGGGCTTAGGGACCAATACATTTTTTGTTCAGCACGTCGAGATGTACAACATATCAAAAGTTGGGGCAAATATCAAGGCGGGGCATTTCACGTAAGGAGAGTGCCTCCTCCTTTGGTTCGAAAATTTTACTGGTTGGTGTACTTTTTGACATTCATCCAATTATACAAATAGGACAAAATATCGATGCAATATTTTATACAATATGTACTCCTAATCAATTTTGCATGAGCAATTTATACGGACGTATTTCCCATTACAACTAATTGTATTTTTTTGTATCTATTTACTTGTCCGTAGAATTGGTTAAGCTCTCTGTGTGTGCATTATAAGTATAAATACCTGATAACCTATATCCGATTTACTTAGTCCTATTTCCGGTGTTTAGAAGCATTTCAAAATCATGCATATTTAGTACGTGTGGATATATGTAACTTCATTGACATGTAAATACATACATTCTATTTACATAAATACATATCTATGTATGTGTATATGTAGATATACGAGTAAATATATGTTAGATGTGTATGTAACCATGCATATGTACATAAGTAGGATATTTTTCGTGACATTGAAATATCGTTGTATGTAGTTCTAAACCCACCACCTTTCATCAAAATTAGTTGTCTTATATTCTTGACGGGCAAATTTACCGTTTTGGTTCCCAATATTTAGCCCCTGGGAATCTTACAATTAGAATCATGGATAAGTATCTTATCTTTTCTATGCTGCTACCTAGCAGTTTTTCATACTTGTGGGAATTTGCGTACGAACTGGGGCGTCGGAATCATGAAATTACTTCTCTTTCATGTACCATGCATTACCATCAGATTGGAGCACATCCTGGAGGGTTAAATCAAATTGGGGGAATTCATCGTCGCCTTGCATCACTAAAGGTTTCATGGTTCGTATACACTCGGTGGCCAGAAAATAACTGGCCGGATGGACCTGATTTGTGGATACGGTCAAATCTTCATCAGAAACATCAATCTTGGTGCAATATTGTTTTTTACTTCGAAACCAAGTTCCAAGCCACATTTGAATCAGAGTTCTGGGACACATTCTCCAACCAAATTTGGCGTCTAGAAACCGTTTTCGTCATAATTCGAGGATACCTGGATTATAGAGTGCATCCCGAGTTGGAAGCTGCTCCTTGCACCGTTTTGTTAGAGATTTACTCAATTCAACCGAAAGCATATTATTTTCTACGAAGAGATGAAACTGGTATAAAAATGGTCAACATTTGGGACGAATTCTCTTTCGTAACTTTTTTTAACGACTTTCCTCGACTGGAAAAGTCAATCCTATTTTTGTCTGGCCGTCTTCCAATGTGGTTTAATGATCCAGATTTACGTAAGCAATCATACTTCAATAATATTACTATTTGCAGTTAAGGCTAGTGATAAGTTCTAAATTTGATGGCAATTTTCGGGAAAAAAATTATCATGTCGCTCGCTCTCTTTGACTAGTCTGAAAATACTTCAATTTGCATATGTACATAACTCACAAAGTACAGTGTACATTGTACACATGTTTACGATACATATTTACATATAAGTATTATTAATTTATCCATTTATTTCTCACCAGATCATACAAATCTATTCTGCTACCATTTTCCCTTCCTCAGCGAAAAATGGATTTCTGGCGGGATTGAAGCATGTCCCATATCATCGTCTCGAATAACGTTTTTACAGAATGCTCTAAATTTTACAACCCAATTTCAAGATTCACGTGTCTCGCGCCGGAATTCACCTATCATACATTTAAACTTCAGAACGGAATCTTATGAGGCATACCTAACTAGATCTTTGGAATGGAGGCCGACCTTAATATATTGCAGAATTGAACACCGCCTCCCTCAACAATGGACCGTTTGGATAAGTCCTTTCGAACCAAGTGTATGGTTTCTATTGGCATTGTCGTGCGTAACCATGGTAACAATTGTATTCCTAAATCATCATGAATCTACTTCTCTAATTAAACAAATCGTATTTGTGACAGCTATTTTACTGAGACAACCTCTTAAAATATTTCATGTAAGAAACGTCCCCTTCGTAATTATGTGCTTTACGTTAAACACTTTATACGAAACACTATTTACGAGCAAGCTAATTGTACCGGAAGTTGTTCCAACGTATGAAAATGTGGGTCAGTTTGTAAATGATTCGTATAAAATTTGGTGTCTTGGTAGAGTCAGATGTAATTATTTAGTTAATCAGAGCCACCTTATAAGATCCAACTTTGACAAGTTTGGCGTGCTTGGGAAAATCAACAAAGTCGTGGACATTGTTGACGCTAATCCAGATCCGTGGCTATGGTACATAAACTACATAAGCACACATATTGTCCTGACCAGCCTAAATTCTAGCATAGTTGGAATTTTGGAAGACTTGGAACATTCCAAACAACAAATTGAACTTCTTTTATTTAACTTGATGACAGATATTTTATTAAAAAATATATCTGGGCCTTCTGCCATTGAGAGGTGCTACTCGATCAATGTTGGTGAAATTTCATATTTTGTGGGTGCATTTAAGGTGCCATACTTCAAAGAAATGGTGCGGGTACAAAGTATTGCGAATGAGTTTGGATTTATGCAGGTTTGGGAGAACAATTGGTTGCATAAGTTTCAAAATGTGGCACATCGTGTGCAGTTATTGACCATGCGTAAGTTTGGATCGGGTGATATGAAAGTAAAAATAATATTTATTACCGGTCCGCATCTAATTCCATTCTTGTATCTCTTTTTAGTATGCAGTGCAAGTTGCATTTGCATATTCTTTGTAGAAAAGTGTCTCATTATGAGACTAACTGGCGATGTGTCGACCTGGGTTCATTTTGTAGTCGTGTATTTGTCTCTGTGTCGTTTTAGTATTAGCAGAATCATGCACTTATTATGATGATATGGATCGAAATAATATATGTACGTATCTTTAGTAAAATGTAGGTATTAAGTGTAGGTATTCTTATATTCCGTATCTTCAGATATTACTCAACAACTAAATATTAAATAAAGGCATAAAATAACTAGTGAGACAACAATCAAGGTGGGTGGTCTAAAAATCTCATCGAAGTCAACTCTTCAAACGATCTCCAATTATTTATTATCGGTACGTTTTATCAGTGCATGTTCATATTATGTATGTAGATATTTATATATGCATGCACACATATTACCCATCATCTATGTATGTTACGATTTACATATGTAGTGTTTTTATATATGTATGTACCAAGTATTTAAGCAACTCACATAATTACAATATGTATCGTGCGTAAAATGACAAAACAAGAGGCATGGTGACATAATTTAATCATGCGTAGTCCTAACCTAACCTAACACACATAACTGTGCAATGAAATAAAGCGGTTGCTTTAGTTTTTAACCCTTTAACGTGTATGATTGACGACAAGAAAATGCATTAAATCGGGGACACTATATGTATGTTGTGGTCATGGCACGGGAGGAGAAATTCAGGAGTTTTTAATAAAACTCGAAAAACTGAAAAATCAAAAATTTAACATTGAGTTGTATAGGGAAATATCCAAATTTTTGGGAAGAAAATCTTCAAATTTAGCATTGCGTTGGCATAGGAGAAGTCCCTTAAAATTTCAACAAATTTTAGTTCGCGGAGAGAAAATTGTGAAAATCAATGACCTCCTAGAAACGACAATTGTCTTCCTTCCGCGCCATGACCACGATTTTTCAGGACGACTTTTGTCGTACTCCCGACTAAAACCATTTCTTATAAAACGACTATTGTCGTCGTTACAGTTTAAAGGGTTAACCTAATTTTGATATTCCTTGTAACCTATTTACATTGATTGATTTTTTGATTGATTGATTAATGTGTCTATCAAGTTCACAGTTGCCGAGCATTCCAAAAATGGCACTAAGCACCAAAATTGGCACTAAGATAATCAGCTAAATAAACATACCATTACCAAACATACCATCGCTCAATATTCATGCCTAATTGCACAATAAAATTGAAGTCATATTAAAATAAAGATAGTGTTATTTGGCAAGAATTAAATCATGAATAACATTCTTTTACTTATCATATGACGCACTACTCAATGAGTAGTAGTCACAGAGATTCCTGACTAACTTAAACACTTAAAGTGTCGGTTTCACTATAAGACCGTAAGGTCAAAGGTCACAATATTCCATTAAGTGCATTGTGTAACGTTATTCATAATAAAAGTGCTAGATGAAAATCAACTTCTCCACCAAATAAAACTCACCTCATCTAAAACGGTTTCCACGCATGATTTGGCAAGACAATACAATGACCTCGGGTGGAAACCCCCGCAGTCAAAGAGACATGGATAAGCAATTGGAGTTAAGCATGTGTACGGACATTTTGTTAGGGAATTTGAATATGGAAAAACGGGACCTGGTACCTGACGCCAAAAGCTGTGTGAAGGTAACCCGGCTGGTGAAAGCATATGATCATAGTAAACGAAGCTCTCTATAAAAAATCAATTTTTGTGAAGAAATTACGGGCTGCGCCTCGTGAAAAATTTGGTGGTCAGCTCGTGGATGTTACTACAATATTTGGCGTCCTCTTAATTATAAAAATACCACCAAGCACCAAATGATCACAAAAATTTTGCTCTCCTGTTTTGAACTTCAGCACAATAAAGTTTAGATCTCGATACACAAACATATTTATTATTTGCTTTATAACATTATTGAGCAGCATTGTATATGTAAACTGTACATATGCACATGCAAAGATGTAGATATGCGGGTAAGCATGTACAGGTTATGCTGCATCTATGCGTTTCGTCCAATAAATAACCAATCATTTCAGCAAAAAATTGAACGACTTTCGCACTTCATTCGTCTTTGGCAGGGCCTGAACCAATTTTCTTGCAATAACTGCCACCACTCCACTTACGACAAGCAGGGCACCTAACATGCTGAATTTCAAATACAAAAAATATGTAATTAAATACCCAATCACTTCATATTAGTATCATACATCCGTAAATTATTACCTAATCCAATCTGGCGGAACACCAAGCAAAATCCACTGCCATCCGAACGTGAACACAACTTCAGAAGTCCGAATCAAGCTAAGACATTAATGACAACTATCAAGTAAACTATAATTTAAATATAAAACCAAAATTACAATACATATAACAACCTCACCCTACGATACCCGCTTCCTCAATTTGGAGGGCAAGAACCAAGCACAAATTTCCTATCGCCCACAACACGCCGATAGCGACCATGGCCCCAATGTCCTCCCAAGTTGTCCCCTTTGTGTTGAATTCTTCCAGGGTATTGAATATCAGTGCCAGCACCAAACTTTGCAGTGTCGCCCATGCATACAAGCTCAGATTGAGGACGCCCTGATGGACATATTGCAGCCATCGAACCACCACAATTATCAGGGTGACCATCGCCATCGCCAAGACCGCGATCGAGACACCCACCTAAGTTTTGACATAATTACTAATACGTTTTTATGCAGAATGCTAAATTATTCTAAATTTGCATCTTGTGCAAACATTTTATTTTTTTACATGAACAAATTTGGTTTCGTAGATGTAATATTTTTTACAGAGGTTTGAAGTATTTATTCCATAGTAAGAGAATTTAATGCTACAGTATTTCTTATTACTATTACCAATGTGTTTTGATCGAAGGCTTCTTTCCCAATGAGAATAGGTGGTCGTGTTAAAACTCCGATTCCAACTAGGGCTAGAATCGCTGCTAAAGTTGGAACCACGCCACACTTTTCTCCCAGCCACGCCCACCCCACGAAATGGACCGAGATCACCGACGCTGCCAAAATTGTGCGCATGTCCCCAACAGAAATATATTGCAGCGACCAAACTAACACGAATGGGATCACGCTACTCAAGAAAGTCCGTACCTGTCATTGTAATAAAACCAGAATTTTATGACTGAATATCTTCAAATTTTTGTTAAATTTTCTACTAAAATAATTTCAACGCTACAGTAAAATACAGTAAAATACAGTACAATAATTCCTCTTAAATTTAATATTAATGCAGAAAAATAAACCTCACCCCGACAAAAAACAAGGAAGTTTTATTCTCCTTCCAGGGAATCAGTCCCACTTTTAGTGACTTTGGGTTAGTTATCATCCCATAAATTACAAATGGTATAAAAAATATCGTCGCGACTGGAAATGTGACCACTCCGACGGTGAAAGGGTGCCATTTCGCGGCACTTTTCTTTAATAATGTAGACGCAAGAGAGAATGCTGCAGTGGAGATGAGCGTGTACCCCACCCCGAGACCGGCACACCCACTTTTTTCCTTCTTTTTTGACCCTTCCACTTCCTCATTAAAATTCTCTATTTGACTTATTGTTTGCACCATATTTACTATTATTTGAGCACTAAAATTGAATATTTAGAATTAAACAAATCCATTATTCTTTTAATATTACGGTAGCATTAACAATGTTGTCAATAATAATATTCAATCTCTTCAGCAGCTGCGACTAAACAACTAAACATCAAATACAATAATCACGGTGGGTCTAACAATGTTCTGACTCACAATCGACTCCTCAAACGATCCCCAATTATTATCATCGGTACATAAATACATAGGTATATATGTACATATGTACATAAATATATGACTCAACCATCAACAATTCATGCTGCATTTTTATGCACCAAGTGTTCATTCTATGCAGCATGATAACAAAAGAAGAGGAATAGTCACACATATCTGTATAATGAGCTATTACGTATGTAAATCATAGTCCGCTCAATGAAACAAAGTGATAGCTTGACGATACATTGTAATCTAATTTTGGTATTTATTGCAAGCAACGTATTCATGGTCAGCCCATGAAGGCTGATACTCACGTTTAATAATACCTACATGGATTTAATATTTTTAATTACTGGAATTCCCGAATAAAATTTTATTTAATGACTTCCTTCTCTGAGGTAATAGTGACATTAATTAAGCAATAAGTGATCGCCGTTAAGCAGTGCAGGACCTCCGATAGGTTGTTATATTCCATACATACGTATACATCTGTATAAATTATGGAGTAACTATTGATTACATAATCAGCTTAAATTAAGAAGAATGCTGAATTGATAAGGAATCATTATTTTATACCAAGAAGTGAAATTTATTTTGTAACGGTGTAAATTTATTGACTACTTATATCTTGATACATAGTCCGTGATTTGTTTATGATTTCGTGTTACGGTATGCGTACATCCGTCCATACTCCAAAACTTTCAAACAATGAATTTTAATCAGATTTTCTAATTGTTGAATTTATAATTACTGATATTTTGCATGGTGAACTAATATGTTGCAATCATGAACTAATGAGTAAAATCACGAAATATGGCTTATTTTATTTACAAAATCATAAATACTAATAACGATTTGACATATTTTTTAGGTCATTTTGCTTTAAATAAATAATAACGAGAGGTTAAAAGTACACTCGGCGCACTTAATAAAACCGTTAAAATTGTTCCCAAGTTGAAATTGAGAAATGAGCTTATCTCGTAAAATTCAAAAGTTTCCACAAGACGCCCCATCCCGAAGCAAACTGGAAATCCAGTCGTATGAACTAACAACCCAAAATTATCATCAGTCTCATTCCGTCCTGACAAGAACATGACATGCTTGGCCCATGGAATGGCAAAATATGCAACCACTTTAGTCACAAGGGAAGATTTCTTCATCAGTTTCACAACCGGAGTGGCGACAATGGTATAACCCTAAAAAACATTAAAACATTAATGACCAAAGGGGTATTCGTAAAGAGTTGTTCTCAAAAAAGTTTGGATTTCAGTTTTGTCACATTATCAGTGCTATACAAGAAACGTGCGAGATTTGTAGAAATCCCACACTGTTTAAAAACATGGCAAATTTTTCGCATGTACATATTTTCTCAAAGTTGATAACTTTTGACTTTGTAAATCAAAGTTGATATAAAAGTGCGTCAAAATCCCTTGTTAGATAACCACCTAGATAATCCAGTTAGGTATAAATATTTCGTGTGATTCAAATTAATTTTATATCTATAAAACCATATCTATTAAATTATTAAAACGTGAAATTGATTAAACTCCTTATACGCATGGCCGTTGGATTATTGTTCATCATGTCCTTTCCAAATTCAGCGTCTGCAACGAACATGTCCACCTCGAGGTAGCCCTGTCTAAAAAGTTCCGTACAGATGACCGTCGTTTCTGCCGATGCCCTCGCAAGAAGCGCCCCACACCCACCAAATGTCCCTACGAAGCATGGTCCCGAACAAATCGCGGGCACTGCAGACAGCGGAAGCCGTCCGAGGACAAGAACACACATCGCGCAACCTGTCGATGCCCCAATACACGTTCCGACAAAGGGTTTCGCAGCTTTGAGAATTAGACGAAGGTCGAATTCTGGTTTAGCATCTGGTTTGGCGGCAGCCCCTTGGCGTCTACATTTATAAATAGTAATACATATATAAATCTGTCATACTTTCACTTTTCACACCCATAACTCACCCACTGAATTCGAAATTAAATAACTTACATAAATTATTCACGGTGCTTAAAAATTATTCACGTAGATACCCGCTGTTACCATTGTGGGTTTTCATGTCAACGTGTTAAACGCCGTAAATGTCGATAACATATCTTCCCAACTTTGCATGCGAAAAACAATCAGAATCCTTTGTTACGAAATATGCGACAGCGACACAAAAAGGAATCTATTGTCGTAAAATATTTCTCGCAAACTCGTCGTCAAGTGAATTTCATTTCACCTCTCATTTTCATTTTGTTAATTTTCATTTAAAATAAACCGTCGCAAACGCGCATACGGAAGTAGCTTCAGACGTACTTCACCCCAAACGGTCCCACCACAACTCGGGAACACTTAATTTCACTCTATTTCACCTATAGATTAATTTTTTGTAAAAATCTCATTTTGCCCCGACCACACCCCCTGGCGACGAGGGGGTGTGGAACAACTCGGGAACACTTAATTTCACTCTATTTCATCTATAGATTAATTTTTTATAAAAATCTCATTTTGTCCCAACCACACCCCTGGCGCCTAGGGGGCGCAACTCGTTATAAAGTCGTTGCACAACTCCGGAACACATAATTTTACTCTATTTCACCTATAGATTAAATTGCACTAAAAATCTCATTTTGCCCCAACCACACCCGCTGGGGCCGAGGGGGTGTGGCACAATCGGGGAAGCACTTAATTTCACTTAATTTCATTTAATTTCACTCAATTTCACCTAATTTTACCCATAGATTAAATTGCACTAAAAATCTCATTTTGCCCCAACCACACCCCCTGGGGCCGAGGGGGTGTGGCACAACTCCGGAACACATAATTTTACTCTATTTCACCTATAGATTAAATTGCACTAAAAATCTCATTTTGCCCCGACCACACCCCCTGTCGCCAAAGGGGGTGTGGTCCGGTTGCCCCCAAAAGTTGATAGGATCCTCCCCCTGGGGTCCTATGTATGATGGCGAAAACCGATTTCGATTATCTCGATCCGTTCTCCTGATATCCTGCTGACAGACAGACGGACAGACAGACAGACAGACAGACAGACAGACAGACAGACAGACAAAGTCTTCACATAAAGTAGCTGAAGCTACTTAATAAGTAGCTCACGGCACATATTTCGCAAAGACCGCAAAGTTATGAAAATGTGTTATGAAGCGACATTTTTGATTGACGTGAATACCCAGTGCTTTATTTAAGAAGTTTCCTAATATTTTGCGACGAGATAAGTATTTTTGACCAAGTGGGTAACCCGCTATTTTTACAAATTTGAGGCACACAAACACAATTGTATTTAGGAAAAACTTACGATTCAATTACGTCTGATTCTTTCACCGAACTACGTTTCGACCTGTTTGACTTAATTGCCGACTGAAAACACTGGACATCTCCATTTTTCGGGGTACAAGCAATTTTCACGGAGGTTATCCTATGCAATTTTTCAGAAAGCCGGCAGGTGACCTTGATTCCAAATCCATGCTGGTTTAGAAGCACGATATATTCTGGTAAGTCATCTTCCAGGAAGGAATGCTCGTAGGCGGCTTGGCTAAACGGATCGTACGTCGTTACGTGTAAAATGTGCTTATCACATCCCATCTCGTGTCTACTGCGATTTGCAAGATTTACTAATTCTGCTCGAGTAAATGTAGTGCTCGTCCCGGGCTGAGAGATGACAGATTCGCTTGATTTACTAATTGAAATGATGTTCTCCAGAACCCAGTTGGATGGCTGGAGTAAAGTCACAATTTTTTCTATACTTTTGTTCCTATCAAGGGCGGTAACCCCAAAAAATATTCCTTCTCCAACTCTGGAGCCGGTCCGTTCGTCAAATTCGATCAGGCCGGAGAGACCGTGAGAAATTTTTTTCGCGTTGAAAATTCCATTGATTTGATTTACTGCTAAAGTTGTTGCATCGTAGGCTAGAATCGAGCTAATTATTCTAGGCGAGGCTCCTGTACAGGGTCAGACAAAAATATTACTTTGTGTGGGGAATAAAACAGAGATCGACGCCGCCAAATTTGGTGGCGCTAATTTCTCTGATTTTTTAGTGTCGTCGTGTGTATAAGCAATTTTGAAGAAGTCTGAAATTACATTTATTGACTGCGGAAATGTGTTAAATGCTATCGATCGGCGGCGTCGACCGCTGTCGAGAAAATAGAAACTCTCATCGTATTTATTCTTTTCATTAAAATTTATTTACCGAAATTTTTCCCCAGTTCGCCAAGTAACCTCTCTGCATTATCCCAACCCGTCGATCCAACGAACAAATTCGTGTAAATTTGAAGGTTTGCCATCCTTTCTTTATTCCCCAAATCAAAAGCATATTCTTCATGTTCGATCAAATCAGGTGAAAACCACGAGAGTTTTGTCCCTTCTTCTTCTGCGATTCGTATCGCAGGATTGCTATCATTTCTCGCCAACAGTAAAACTCCTAGCTTTTCTTCAGGATGGGAGAAATTTGTATTTAGAATTTTTCTCAAACACACGTCCGACTGGGAATCGCCCATTAAAATTGGTTCCATTAATTTCATTCTTCCATCCTCACGAAATAAGCTGAGCCACCTTTCCTGAGATTCGTCGTTATGTCCATCACTGGCAAAAGCTTGTCAACTCCAACGATTTTCATCCTATCCAGCAACACATTAACGGCGGCATGTTTGTTCATCTGAAGCGAGTAGACGGTCATGCTCGGAGGGATGGGACCCCTGTCGATGAGGCGTGGCGTGAAAACGACCATTTTTCGATTCAAATTCGAAACTTTTCCGTGAAAATTTTCATAAAGTGTAGAAAATTCAAAAAGTTGAGATTCACTGAGTAATGAGATCATAACTGATTCTGTGATGTTTTTAGCAACCTGCGTAATTGATAAGGAACTATTCACTTGTATAAACTTCGGAGTAATATTTGATCCCGAACGATTTAGTGAGGACGAAACCGCGGAGAGAAGTTCTGACTGAAATTGTTGGTCGATTCCGAGCGTAGAGTATAAAACGGGGATGGTATTTTCCACATTTTTGTCACCATTAGTCTCAAGAAATAATGTCGTAAATGTGATGATGTGCAAGAAGAAAAATATAAAATAGGAATTATTTGTAAGCATCATTATTAAAAATTTGTACTGAATCAATCTTGGTTAAAAACTTTGACGAAACAATATGAATACGGTGATAAACTGCGGAGATACACTTAATATTTATGTGTAAAGTACATAAATTACATAGTTTCACAATTTGGATTTGACAAATTTTTATTTGAAAAATGCGATGTGAACGTAGTGCTTCCGTTATACGCAGCCTTCGGTTCTAGGGTGAATAGATTGTAGATAAAGTTCGTTTTACTGAGATTTGCAAATGGTGTGTGAATAGAATTTTATGAAGATTTGTCAGAATTAAGTCAGGTTTACCGTTGTTTGCACTTAAAGTTGTATACATAAATATACTGTAAAATGATGTCTAAGATTTAAACTTAAGATATTTGTCATTTGTTCACGAAATGAATATGCATTTATTTAGAATGCAGTGTGATGATGTATTTTAAGAGGCCAGCTAGCCTGGTTATGATTCCGATTTTACGTATTTGCATATTCATTAGGGTTTCAACTGTACGGCACCGGCCATACCTTATAAATTATTGTATTTTCAAAAATTAAGTAAGTAGCCAATTGAAATGGAAATATTAAGCGAACTCAGCACAACGACTTACTTATTTCGGTATCCCAACTCGCTTAGCTTGGAAAATAATTGCCAAATTAGATGGATAAATTTGCAAACAAAGATCCCATGGTTTGTCAACAAAATACTACATGCGTGCACTGCATGCGTGTGCATAAATATACAGTTCTAGATTTGTTCCACAAATTTTTAGTCAACTGGTTGTCACAAAAGTTCGCATGCAGGGATAATCAAAATAATAGCAATAGTTACGTGGTCCAAAAGTATAAGTCATTTAAATATCTATACTATCTGTTGGTTTTGTGCAATACGCTCATTAATATTGAAATGGGCAAGTAAATATTGTAATAATTCAATGGGTAACTGAATAACTCATTAACTTACTACCTATTGCGGATAATTTAGGACCGAAAAATTATTTAAATTTAATGGTTAGCCTTCAATTATGAGTTCTACGGTTTGAAATTCACCTGATTTTGAAGAAAAAAACCCTATATGTAAACAATGTTTTACAAATATTCGATACGCACAATCAATTTCAATACACATAACCTAAATAACCATTAATTACACACTAACTTTTTATTTGTAAATATCACTTCTTTCACTTGTCATACTTGACATATTACACCGACCTAAAAATAATCATGGATAAAATATTTGCAAATTTGCACATGATTTCATTTCATTGTTTCGATAATACATAAGTACATACATATGTACATGTTGAGCAGGCATGATTCGTATGGTCGAACCACCAGACAGATCCATGTACCATTTAATATTTCCCTTGCAATTTAGTGATTCACGTGCAAGTCCACTTCAGAACCTACACAATATGTATTTAATCTTGACACCGGTTTCAGTCACAATGAGCATGCAACTAAGGAGGGGAACTTCACTAGTTGCCACCCACAGATTCCGATGCCCTTTGGATATGTTGGAGCATCCCATTAATGAACAACAACCCCCAAGTGATTTGATGCCATGGCCACATTTACGCCTGCCACACCCACTTAAAAGCGTCAAAATCACGAAAAAAGCCCTGTTTTCACTCAATAAAACCCTCGCCAAAAATCCAAGTTCTATGGTATTTTGATTATACTCCCAGATAATTGTATTATTATATCCAATATAAAACTCATTTGTTGAAATTTTAATTTTTTCGAAGATTTCAGGAAATTTTCGAAAATATTCAAAAAATTAAAAAAAAATATTTTATTGTCGGTGTGTAAATCAACTATCTGGGAGTATACTGGTGCAAAATTTTCAAATTTCGATCAAATTTGGATTTTTGGTGAGCGTTTTAATATGATCAGCATGCAACCTCGACCAAAATTTGACTCCCGCGTTCGTATCCCTACCATACTAATAGTATGGGAAGGATACGAGCACGTGATGGTCGAGGTTGTATGCTGACAGTATAACGATGGTGATTTTCGAGTTTTTGGCGCCTTTAAGTTGATGTGGCGGGCGCAAATGTTTCTATGGCATCAAACCACTTGGGGGTGTTGTTCACTCATGGAATGCTCCAACATAGCCAAAGGGCATCGAAATATGTGGGTGGCAACTAGTGAGGTTCTCCTCCTAAATATTTGTGGCGTGTTATCATCAATGTAACGCGTCATGCACCCAATGCCTCTGATCTGCTGTGTATGTATTTATCAACAACCTAAGGGAAACACTAACCCGAATTTTAATTTGATTGATGGATGAATAATAATTCCCCTTTTGAAGTAGTTTTGCACCCAGTTTTGTTTGATGAGGGGTATAAAAAGGCCATAACTTTCACCGAGTCTTCATCAATCGAAGCCACAATTTTTTCCATTTACATACTTAATACTAACCTGAATTGAAATGGAGTCCACAAAACTTTTCATTTTCGCTACTCTTTTAGTCTCCGCCCTCGGAGGGATTGTCCCCCACAGAGCTGTAGTCCCAATTAATGATGGGTACATCTATACACTAAAGTTTACAATTAAACGTCTAAATAATCGTGTAACTTTACAATAAAGATAATAAATATTTGTAATAAATTTCCTTCCAGAAAATACTTGCTGGAAACGAGGGTAACTTTAACTGGAATTCTTACCGTCAAAGTAACTGTTGAATCGAAAGGTTGGGTTGGATGGGGAATTTCTCCAACTGGTGCGATGTCAGGGTCGGACATGGTCATCGGGGGATTTAATGAAGCCACGGGAGAATCCTACATTGGGGTGAGTGAATAAAACGTGTGTTAATAGTGGGCATTGCATAGTTTGAAGTAAGCTGATATCTGTATTGGCCAAATCTACTCCTGCATACATAAAATTAATTATACATATTTTCCTCTAGGATCGCTACTCAACAGGTCCAGGAATCCCAGTTTTGGACACGATTCAAAACGTAGAGCTTATTTCTGCCTCTGAAAACGCTACCCATACCATTCTTGAGTTCTCTCGAGCTGTTGATACGGGAGATGTTGAACAAGATCTCAAAGTAGAGGTAAGCATTTATGTGGCCAGGTGTTTAATTTTTGAAATACTTTGATAATATTTCAATATATTTAACGGTTACTTGTATTTTTTATATAGAACGCAGTCCAATATATCGTCTGGGCAACGGGTGAAACGGACGATTTAGGTTATCATGGACAAGTGAATCGTGGATCCATTCAACTAAATTTGATGGACGGTTAAACTCATTTATTGTTCATAGCTATTCTCAATATGAATAATAAAACGAATTGCGCTGATAAAAATGCATTTATGTTTGCAATAAGCATTAATTGATAATTTTCCATGCATATTTCTGGTGTTTGCATACCAAGTACATACATTTATGCATATGGTGTATGCGTATGCCCATATACGCACAAACTTTCCATTGGGGTTATAAATTTAATTCTCGTTGTGAATGAATGGTAACAGATTGCTATAGCAAACTGTTACCATTCGAAATTTTGTACCAACCTATGATTTGTATACAAATCATAGGTTGTTGGTACAAAATTTGAGTAAATTGCTAATACTCATAATTTTATTTCGTAGGAAATCATTTAAATATAGGGCTATCCTTACCATATGAAAACATGATTCCAAAACGTGAAAATTCATGATTTTCTGGAGGCTCAAAGAAGGCTAGTGAATATTTTTATAATTAAAATGTTAAAATGTTCTCTGATACCGATGTAATCGATCAATGAATATTGTTAAACACAAAATATATCAGTTTCTGTTTACATTAATTTCTGTAGTAAAAATTTCTGATTAACCAAGATTACTCACATTTGTACGAGGACTGACAATAGTCTATGTCCTCTGTATTATCTTCCGGTTATATAGAAGTGTAGTATGAACTACATACATTACATACTGCAAACATAAACACTATGCCCATTTTCGGCAATGTAGGCTTTCCATGTTGCATAAACTCTGTCTCGCGAATGCGTCAGATCAGAATATGCAAATGCGGTGACTAGCACAAATAATTCTACTGTACATGCACACATTATATGTATTTATTTTATTATAAATTATGCATTGTTCCTTCATGAGTAACCAAATAAGTAAAGAAAAAATATATACGTGACTATTAGCTCACATTTTATTAATTGATGGCTTTCTGATATTTTGGGTCTGATCGAAACAAGTATCTACCACACTTTTTAGTTGTGTATTATAACAAATGGAAATTGTTCAGTCGAGCAGATTAGTATTTAGAAGTTCATTTCCAACTTACAAGATAAACTAGTATTGACAAGAACGAGTTGGCGCATAATAATTAAATAATCATCATAAAAACACAATGGTACGTTCTTTCTGGAGCCCAGTTATGTACAAAAATACCACAATCAGGTTTATAAGTAAGGCCTGTCCCATTGGTAAAGTTAGCACATTAAAATCACCTATCACAATGCACCTAATTCGCAAAGAAATTAAGACGCCTAGGAGCACTTGAACTATCGGTACCACTGCTTTACAAGATTATGCTGCCACTTCGTTGCCTAGAATGGGGACATTATAAATGGATTGTCTGCAAACTTCATGCGATTTACCATCGATTTCTATATATCTAGTGGTCCACAAGAATCACGTAACGAAGTCTAGGGCTTACTTGAAACCATATTCTTCGGACACCTCAAGTTTACATTGGAAGATTTGTATCCAGCAATATTTTAATGACATACTTTTTCGGGTTCTGTACACCATTTAATTATAGGGTTCGATCCAAAAGTAAAGAAACATTTGAAAAATGCCTGTAAAATCCGGAAAACTTAATTAATTCCAATGACACTTTTAAGGGTTAAGCACAAGGTCCTTATCGTTCAATTTTTTGCTTCATATGGTCCATAGAACCCCATCCTTCCTATCTGGCGAATTATTTGCCTCGCGGTCCTAAAAAGTGCTTTGCCACTCTTTCTCGCTACCACTTTTGAGGTGTGTGTCCAAATGTGACGGAATCTTACCAAGTTTTTGGGTGGTTTTGTTCGACGACTATATTCTCTCTTACATAAAACCCAAAATCGTTCAATTGGTCTTGCCCGAGGGACGTAGGGAGTATATTCCTTTTTTGCAAAAAATCGATTTTTTTCGACCGCAACAAGTCCAGAACAACTTTTGAAGAATGACATATTGCTGTGTCCGGTCAGAAAAGTACATGACGATTATTGATAAAGGGGATCAAGATCTACTTTACACAATCGTTCAGATATCTCTCCGAGGTCATGGTGGCTGTGGTCACGAACGGCTTTGAGACGTCCCCCAATGAGTCCAATGCTTGCCCGATTATGTGCTTTATGGGGAATTTTGACTTCGGTGTGTATTTGAAGGAATCTTTAAACGTTTTATTATTAGTACATGAGTAGTACTTCCTCCCAGGGACTTCATCTGGATCATTCGAGCACTTGGTCTCATCATTCATGACCAGAATCACGGGCATGTTTTGCTTGACTCGTTTTTCAACAATCTGCCGAGAGTTGGGCTTTGCTCTTTTTTGCTGACCTTGGTTGTACTTTGGTGCAGGTGTCGCCCTATAGGATTTGACCCCCAACTTCGTAGGTTTAATGTCATGTAAACTTAATTTTGATATTTTCAATTTGTAGCCCAAATTACTATCTGATATCCCAAGGTTATTTTTGTTTTCCTTCTGAAGTCTACGTATCACTTTGGGGGTCGCTACGCGAGCAGGACGATTTTTTAATTTTTTGGAATTCAGCATTACTCCTCCCCTCATACATATCTAAAACTCTGCAAATTGCCCCATTATGAATTTTTTCTTTTTCAAAGTGGCTATTAACCATTATCCGAACGCGCTCGCACACTTTTTCGTAGTAGTGGCAAAATTTTTTTGCGAGTTCCTCTGAATTTTTTGTTCTCATTTTTGAACTAATTGAGATATCGACTTCCGGTTTTCTGATTTGGATAGTCAATCGCATGGACTACAAAACTACCGCGTTCCAACCCAGTGACAATTTTTCTTTCATACAAATAAATATACTTTTTCAAATGTTTCTTTACTTTTGGACCGCATCCTAGTTAAGTCTACGGTTTGGCATCTCTTGGACAAAAATTATAAAGCAGCCTTGTTTTCTACGAAAACTCGACATTTTCGGTATTGGACACCCCATTAAAATGCCTCGTTTTCACTGTGTCATTTTATAAGTACTTTACTAAAAGTCCTTAAATTTCGAAATCTAATTTTTGACCTGTGAATAAAATATATCACAAAAGAGTTTGTTTTGATTGCCTCCGCGATGAATTTAAATCCTAATTTACTAACTTTATTAATGAGACATCCCTTATATTAAATTGATATCAGTTCCTTTATTTGAAAAGCTGTTGAATTGCATGACAAAGTTTTTGTTTGAAGTTTGTATTTGGAAGTTAATACACAAGTGAGTCAATTATTATTTCCCTTCTAATACGGATTTAGTGTCAAGTACAGATTTATATTACACTTGTGGGAACATAACTAGAACCAAACCTATATAAAAATGTCAAAAAAACTAATACCTGAATCTGTAACTATTATCCACATGATATTCGTTAGTACCTCAGAACATACAAATACTCCATATTGACTGACATCATTTACGTATAACGGTTTTGTAAAACTGCTCAAGGTGATTTAGATGCGTCATATACAGATATTACAATCTGTAATACCGGTACGGGGTAGGTGTTTAGGGTACTGTGTAACTGGTGAACATCTGTCCATTGACATTTTTTCTGAAATCCCATTCCGTTTTGAGAAAGTGTGTATAATCCAAATATGTAAATCTGGTTTGATCTGTTTGATCTTATTCACAACTAAGGACAAATATTGAGAGCAGGTTATTTCAAATATGTACCAAATCAATCAGTACCTATTTCGCACGAAATGAGTTTGCATTAAGTAGCCGCATAATTAAAACTAAATTCTCAAGTTAGAAGAAATTGTGAGGGGCTTAAGACGAGGCTTTACATACATAAATCTAGATTTTGTTGCATTTTTATTTTATAAGTGGTTTTCTTACTGGACTTTCCCTTGGCGCATTTCCCTGTGCATCAAAAGGTTAAAATATAAAAAAGACTTCACATTTAATCCATCGCTAAATATGCATGCCACAATCTTTTTTAGATTCACTACTTGGTCTTATTCTTCTTTAGTTTCCCTACTGAAGATATCCTACAGGTGTGATAAATGAAATGGGGGTACTTCGCTGTAAATATGTACTAGATTTCCAGTATATTACCACGCGATGTGTACCTAAGTAAGAACTTCAAATTCTCGGTTGATGGTGACGATTACCTACTGACGACATGTTTTTGTCATATACTGACCTTAAAATTACATTCAAAACTATAGATTTACACCGTCTGCCTAAAAAATGCAGGTTTAATGGCACGTCATATCTACAATTTACCACAGTTTAACGCATAAAAACGAACTGTCAAAGTTTACCCAAACAAGAGTCATAGAATACTTGGCAAAGTCTTAACAAATTACTTTGTGCCCACGTATACAAGATGGTTACGCGAAAATTTCAAGCAATAATTTTACTAATAACTCTTTTATCAATTATCCTATTTGTAAGTATAATTCATCCGCGTGCACAATTTATTAGAGAAAAAATGTTTTTTTCAAGAAATAACTCTTTTAGCACTTCGGAATCAAAGTTTATGTCTATGTTTACAAAATTTCCATGGGATATACTATCACAGGCTATAGCTACAAAAGAGCTTGAAACTATTCATTTTTGTGTTGAAAAGTTGATTCAAGAATTTACTCCTTACGTTATTATGGAACCTTTGGTGCCAATAAACTCGACATGTCGACCACCGCTACTTCGTCACAGACTTGAAATTAATTGTACCACCGGGTTGGATTCTTCCGTAAGGAAAGTAGGAATGCTTATCCAATTCGGTTTCGATGTAGATATGTTGGAAGTTCACCTGAACGAGTTGAACGATGTGGTGGACAAATTTTTTATCGTCGAGTCCACCCACACACATAATCGATTCTTTAAAAAACCATTAATCTGGGAAGCGGTCAAGCATCAATCAAGATTTGCCAAATTCGCCTCTAAAATTGTCCACTTCGTCGTGGATGATGCTCCTGCAATCGGCGAAGTTAAGTCAAGCTTGAACGACACTAATGCAAATTTTGTGTCAGAAAATTTGCAGGAGAAGCTGCGTTGGGAAAAATTTCTGGAGTGGAACAATGTTACTAATTTTTTCAGCCCGGACGATTTGCTAGGTTTTTAAAAAAAAATACATATCTAAACCTTCTAGAAACTGAAACTTACGAAGTTTTTTTTGTCAGGATTTGGCGATTCTGATGAAATTGCAAGTCGGGAAGCTGTGAATTATTTGAAGCATTGTGCCCTTAAATCTGACCCAATAGACGTTGGAATATGGTTTCCCGTTGGCACAATTTATTCAACAATGAAATCAAATTTTCCGGTTAAAGGATATCCGTTTACCTTGGGGGATCCGTCATTCTGGACGTTGAGGAGTGCAATGAGCTTAAAAACAATACCACGATTTAATTTGCAGTAATAATTACAAAATTTGAATAGAATATGGTTTTATTTCTATTAATGTTTCCTTTCTTGGATAAATATTGTCTAGATTTCCGACAAGAAACAGAGGAATGTCGGATGATTTCGTATTAGGGGGGATGCATATGACGGTGAGTAACTAATCAATTAAAAATTGTTAAACCAATGGAGGTATCTTATTTTATTGTCGTTAAAATAGCACTATGGGTATTTCCCGTTCCTTGTGATTAAACGAGTGGCCGCATCGGAAAGTGGCTATGAATTCCTTCAAGAGTTTCCCGAGTTTACGAGAACCATGAATTCTGAAAAATTGCAAACATATTTTAGCTCAAACATGAATAAGATGTTTGAAGCTATTTCTTTAGAAAGTCTGGGAAAGTCAGAAACAGAGAAGTTTGTTGTGTTGCCCTGGTTTTATAATTGTAATCGCGACAGGTATCCTGCGTGGGAAGAAAAGCCTGATTCCAGATTAATATAGTTCATACCTTTTTGTATGCAACGTGATGTAAGTATGTATGCATGACGTAAAATTATTACACTTCTGGTCTATTTTGAATCGTTAGGAACTAAGTAAGTATAGCGAATTACAATTTAGGATTATGAGCATTTATTGGTTGACTCGAGAAAAATTTTATTGCAATGTTTGAACTATGCTAATATGGTACTTACTACTAAACCGCATGACACGCTATTAAATGTATGATCACATTTACTTTTGACGTATGAACAAATATGTATCATACTTGTATTCGGAGTAGAAATGATATATATAATATGCAAAAAGGCTGCCTAAATCTAAAGACTAATTTCTTAAAATAGCGAGTAAATGGAAAATCTCCAGCTGATCCACATTTTATTTATCTTTTAATATACATAAATATATCCATTTCTAGAAATATTTCCTTTGCAATTGGTAAGTGTGACATATGGCAGTTAGTGGTGCCCGAGTTGTCATCACACTGCATTTCAAACCTAATACACAAAACCTTTTATATGCATGTACATACTAAATACTTTTATTATTAGTGATAATAAAAACATTTAACTTTATTACTAAACTAACTTACTATCATATATTAGTCTTTCATAAAAGTTATTATCTACATGGTTTTTCGTTACTTAGCGAAATTTGCCAAATAAATAATTAATTTGAAGAAGAATGCATGGATTCTGAGGACATCATATTTATTATAAAATTTGACACTAGCTTTCGGAATGCTTAATCCTTCATCAGGTCGTTACAAATTCGAAAAATTAATTGATAAACATGTACATCAATTTTCGTTGTTTTTGAATACCTTTAGCAACTAAGTTACGGGACCAAATTTTAAAAAATTTACAAGTGTTGAGCACCATATACTATTGACATTCATTCCTTTAGATGAATTCATAATATTAGTTGAGCTTCTGATTAGTAGAGCCTCTTTGAACTTCCTTTGAAATTTTCTTGGCTCCTTCATGATCATTTTCAAAGATATTGTGTCAATCTCATGTTGGTCTTCAGCTGTGTGGAGGAAAATGGGTGACTTGATGTTCGATCTTCTTACGTCATTTTGATGTTCTGAAAAGCGTTTCTCTATGCATCTTCCACTTTCACCAATATATTTTTTGGGACAGTTCGCGCAATTAAATTCATAAATTCCTGCATTCAGTGGTTTTGGTTTTTGTTTCATGTTGCACACAAATGTTGATACTTTTTGGCCAGGATAATATCCAATTTCCCATGATAGTTTCCTGCGCAAAAACTGAGCAATTTTGGTGGTTGGTTTTCCTGCCCATGGTAGAATTACACGTTTTTGTATTTCATCAGTTTGCCGAGGTTGTACAATTTTTTCTTTAACGATTTTTAATCTTCTTTTTATCATGTCTCATATTATTTTTATCATTATCATAAATAATTAATTTCAATTAAGAATTTATCCTGCAAAATTATTTATCTTAGTCTAAAGAGAAACTCTACCATATTTTTGACACTTGCAGTACTGCACGCCGAACTCTTTCCTGAGTACCATGCTTGAAAGTAAAACCAAATGTCGTCACAAGTCCATGGCACTTGTTCACAACTACAAACTACTCGGTAACGCTGAGGATTCCTAATGGCTATCCAGTTATAAAGGACTTGGTCTTTTCCAACGAAAATTCCGTCGCTCAACCAGTCGTTGTGTAATTTGTAAAATGTGTCATTAAACCAGTAAATGCTGTATATTGTTCCTCCAAAAAATCCGCCAATAAGAAAGCTCGTGTTCGGCATTTCTTCCAAAGTTTTTGCATCTCTGAATAAATTTAAGTCATCCAAATTCGCAACGCTAAACACATTGAGTTTGTGATAATTTTCCGATCTAAAATTTAAAATTATTAACAAAATAGGATGAATGAATTCTGAAAACGAAAAGTTAATAACTATTAATTAAACCATATAAGTACCTCTCATTCCTGCCAAACACCTCAATTGCTCGGTCAACATTAAGAAATTTATTCAATTTGGTCTTAGGATTTCTTACAGAGCCAATATCCATCCAATAAAAGTAGGTAGAGTTGAATGGATTTATTTCGGTAACGGTTTTTAGCATCCACGGTTTTGAATTCCAATTTGCATACAGCTCCGGAGAGTGATAGGCCCGTTCGGGATCTAGCTTATTTATTTCGTGGTAATCCTTATACAAAAAATGAGGTTCATTTAGCCACGGAAGGTCCCAAATTTCGTCGTATATCAAGAAATGTATTGGTTTTCCGACTCGCATCTTTTCCATGGTTTCTCTCATAGATGGCTGTGTAAATACCACGACGGGTGACTCAACCTGGTCAAAAAAGTTCTTCATCCAGGATTTATATTCGTCTAGAGAATGTTTTGATTTTCCAGCGGAGAAAAATGCAGTGACAATTGTGACGCATTGTTTTGATTTATCAAGGGGGTCGCAGCGCACGTGTAGTTTATTTTCTTGATCAAGTTCTCTAATTTCTGGCCTCCATTCATGCGGGTATATATTTGTGTAATAAAGATACATATATGTAAGAAACACCAGCAAGGCACCTACAAATTGGACAATTGACTTGGTGTTAAATTAACAATAATTTTGTTTTGTACTACAAATCATTTTTTGCTATATTTACTTGCAAGAATTCCAAATCTTAGACCACACATCCTCTGCTTACGGTTAATTATTAGTGAAATAAGTCGTGATTTGTTCCAACCAAGGGTCGACTGTTTTCGATTTTGTTTTTTGTACATGTTAGGTCCAAGGCGGCAACAAGTATATAGATGAGACGGTTACAAAAATATCTGAGCGTATGTCTCAGAAGGGGAGCTTTCGTACTTGATAATAACAGATCTTTTGGTCCTTTGTATATGCGGTAGTGTTCGATGAGTGAACAAAACCTCTGAAGTGGGTTGACTCCATGGCCAGATTTACGCCCGCCACACCCACTCAAATGGATGAAAACCACAAAAGTTACCAACTTCAAAAATCCACTAAAAGTTCAATTTTGCTGGGATTTTGATCAAATTACATATTTATGATACCAGGTACTTGTGTGATCCTATGCAGTTGATGTTCGACAAATTCATCAGTAATGGAATGCCCGAAAATTTCGGAAATTTAATAAAAAAATATCTATCGGATAGGATTACACAAGTATCTGGGATCACAAAAATGTAAATGTAATTGGATTCTTGGCGAGGGTTTGAACAAATGAAAACAGGGCTTTTTTCGTGTTTTGGTCGCCTTAAAGCGGATGTGTCGGGCGTAAATGTGGCCATGGGGTCAAACCACTTTAGGGTTTTAATCCACTCATGGGATACTACCATATATACAAAAGGCATCAAGATCTGTTATTATCAATTACGGAAGCTTCCCTGCTCAGTCTCTTAATACGCCAGGCTTCAGTGAAGCCAAGGTGAAGCCGCTTCACCTTGCTGTCATCTACTACAGTAGATGATTGAAGTACAAAATTGTACATGTACAATTTTGTAAAACTAAAAATCAAGTGACCTATATAAGTTCTTACCATGGTGACTAAATTCATTAATTGCCCACCAGTTTTTGATGTTCCATTATGTATGTACGCTTTCCTGCAGATGGAACGTTTCGAATTGGAATATATTTGTTCGAGGAATATTTAGCAGAAACTCAATTTAGTCTGAAGCAATATAATTTCCTACGTCAGAAATGCTAAGACTTGTAACTACTTGCAACAGATCGTACATGAGACAGGTTAATTGATTTATTGACGCAATTATTTACATATTACACAATTTTCCATGCAACAGAATGCTGATAGGTAATTCAAAAAACTCCTTGTTAACATTTCTCGATACTTTAGCACTTGTACACATTTCTGTGGGACATACTCAAACAAAGTTGCTCAAATATTTACAGACTTGTTTTCACAAGCACAATTTTCTAACCTATTTAGTTTACCTCGACGAATACTTCTGCATGGATTTTAAATCCAAAATCTTTTAAATTTTAAATCAGAATTTAAAATATTAGAATGTACTACGGTGGGTGGGAAGTTGCTCGCTAAGTCTGTAGCGTGTTAAGTTTTTAATAACGAAAACATAAATTTCCTTTATTATGTAACCTTAGGGAATTACGGGAGAATATATCACTCTCACAGACAACAGATATAAACTGCGAAGTAGTTCAGGGCCATACAATGGCCCTGAAGAAGATTACACGAAAAGTGCATCCTGTACTTTTCTTCGGCACGATGATCAATTTGTTTGTGTCTATTTTCAATGTAGTCTATATTCAAAAAAGTATATCTAACATGATGGATAACGACAGACCTCGTGTTGAGCGATCGACGTAAGTTTTTTGGCGTTTTTGTTGCGAATGGGTGATGTATATTTCAATTTTTACGGAGATTTAACGTTTTCGATTCAATTTCGATTTCTTTGATTTCAAAATTATTTCAAGGGCGTAGACAATAGTTATAAAACTTAATAATGTTTGTAGAAATCAAACTTTCGTCCATCCTTCGGGTCATAAACATGCTGCTCCAATTCGATTTCACTAATTGGCTGAAACTTACAATGATCGTACTGATATGTATTACAATTTCGATAAGCTAATAAAAAAATCGAAGTACATATTGAAGTGTGGACGAAGCTTAAAACGATTCCTATCATGTAAAAACGTGATAAAGCTATTTAATTCCTTGAGATAACTACATCTCCGAATAGTACGTTAACTCTGCATCTTCTTAAATTTCAGACGAACTCATCCCATGCTGAAGACTGGAGATAACTCTATCACTGACAAGAATTACTACATCCTTGCCGCAAGTTTAGGAAAAACATCAACTAAACTCAGAGTCTTATACCCGAAAGGGGTATTTCTCAGAACGAAGGGCGGGATTGGAAACCAGCTCTACCAATATGCCTGCCATTACGCACTCGCTAGAAAACATAACGTCCCCTTGTACATCGATCAACGCAACCAACGAGCCCAACACAAGACACGGAATATGTCCGTTGAAGATAGATCCTTTGTACTTGACTCATTTAATGTCCCCTTATTCCCCTGGAACACAATCGATGAGACGTGGCCGCTGCCCAACATTGTGGACATCACTGACTCCGACCTACTTTCAGGTTCCTATAATTCTACCTCGTTTCGAGACTCTTTGGTCAGTCTACACGTGACCAATTTCTGTCAGTCTGAAGCCTACTTTGCCCAATATCGAGACGAATTACGGCTTTTCTTCACACTGAAAGACGGTATCCTAACTGAGGCGGCAAAGTCTTGGGCAGAATTTATCAAAACTGCGGGAAATATAGGGGAAACAGTAGCTATTCATATTCGACGTGGCGACTTTGTCTCGTACAACACCACAACCCCGTTATCATTCTTTACTACCGCGATATCTAGTCTCCGGGAGCAATTGATAAGCCGAAATAATAAAGATATCCCGATTTCTTTATTTATATTCTCTGATGACGCAATTTATGTTAGAAATGTATTTCTAAAAGCTTTACGCGAGACTGAAGGAATTTATAATATTCATATAGTTTCAGATCCTAGCAAGTTTACGAGTTTAGAAGAATTATATATGTCTACGAAATGTAAGAATTTTGTCATTCCGAACAGCACTTTCGCATGGTGGGCGGCTTACTTGGCCAAGCATCCGAACAAAATTGTGTATGCTGCGCATCTAACGACGGAACATGTTAAATGGCTCTACGTGACAGAAAGTCTTGAAAGACAGCAGTTTTATTTGTGGCAATACAAGCACATTTACTATCCGAGCGGGTGGAACGCTATTTATCCGCCTTCACTACTATAGTGGGAAAATACATGTGAATCTATAGTATGCATGACACTCAAAGAAATCCGGTGACAAATGTGATTCTACCGGCTCTGGTGATTACACCAGAGTCGGTATTACACTCCGTACCACCAAGCGAGTTGTGGGCTGTTGCCACCTAATGACTCCACTATAATCGAGCGGTGACATTATGTCCATCGAGTCATGTATGTATAGTCACCGGTCAGTCATAATCCGGTGGTCAAATTTCTTAGTGTTTGCAATATGTTCTTATGTCTACAATCGAATCGATGTATGTATGTATATGTATGGTCTGCTGTATCCTCAGATAATCCCTCTGCTCAAAATAGCTACTAACTTGCGTATTATACTCATTCTAGCATTTAAGTACTGTCTTCCCATTCTAGCCAGACACCTGATGTGCATAAATCTTCGTACATTTTAGTTATTTGGAAATTCTATATAAAAGAAACACCCGCAACTTTCGCGAACGTGTCCGCTACATCGTTTTGAAACATTTTTTTGCCAACACTTTCTCCTGGTTGAATGTCAGCCGATTTGGGGAGCCTGCCCCCCAGCGCAACGAAAACATAATTCGCCCATCAAAAAGTAATAATCCGCCCGATTATGAAATTAGCCCCATTTGCCTATCGGATGGATAGATATCACATGGGCAAAAGTACATCTAAATAACTATATACATATTTATATCCCCGTTGTTCGAAAATAATAATTGGACCTCCAATCCTTGTAACGGACAACGGTTAAATACCTGTAAATTTACGGATAATCATAATGTACAGATATGTTTCTTATAATTGTGATTCACCGAATATACATTCGCCGGCATGCATTTGCTCATACATTTTGTTTATTCATTGGAACATACATTGTATTCGTAAGTATTATTATTATCATCATCATTTAGAAAATTGTAAAAGGACTTAAACATTATCATGTAAGTATATGTAATTTCACTATTACTGGATGGAAAATAATAAATTATGGTTTGACAATTATTCTGCTGCATTCGTTTGATGGATTAGATAGCTTTCAATTATTTGACTGCATGAAGGGAAGTTGTGCTACTATCCGGTTCATTGATATCTTCTGTGGGATCATGGAAATGCGTTGCGATCCCAAATGGCCTCACATGATAAATTAAATACTCTGAAAATATAACTTAACGAAAATTAGCATTTCAAAACAGTAACAACCATGCAAATGTGTTTCGGCGTAGTTCAGATTTCTACCCGACCAAATTTTATTTACTCAGCTACAAAATAATTGTCACTCGCATGTTTTTATATTTAAATATTTTTCAGCCAAACTGGAAAAATTCTCGTCTAGAGATTTGTAAATATGTTTTTTTTAATCGAACAGTCAACCTTTGTAAACATTTTTAAATGTGTTTTTGAAATTGTGTTCCAAAATTTAAAACGTAGTACACAATTTTATAAACTAAAAAACTTTGAAACGGCTGATTGTTTACACAGGGCTTCGAAAACCAATTGGTTAAAAATGTTTTCAAACTTACGCTACAGGTTAAGGTAAAACAAAACTACAAAAATGCAGGTCTGTTTCTTGTCGTAGAGAAAATAGAACGTGGTCCCATCGAAATCTGAGTTTAGCCGCATCCACTTTCGAATTGCATGTAAAACACTAGACAATAAAAATTGTTTGACTTTATTCTCACCGAATACATACATCTGATTCGGATTAACGTAATGGAATGAGATTGCAGTATCACTGCAGCAGCCCAGACCCTGCAAGGTTATTATTGCATTATGCTGGCTCCGTAGTTACGTATTTTCACGTCATGTTCCCCATCCAATGGTAAATTTACCGCTACAGGATAAGGAAAATGACAAAAATACTTGACTACGGAGTCGGTTTACCAGTTGAAATACAAACAATGTTAACCCTTTAACGTGTATGATTTACAACAAGAAAATGCATTAAATCGGGGACACTATAAGTATGTTGTGGTCATGGCGCGGGAGGAGAAATTTAGGAGTTTTTAATAAAACTCGAAAAACTGAAAAATCAAAAATTTAACATTGAGTTGTATAGGGAAATATCCAAATTTTTGGGAAGAAAATCTTCAAATTTAGCATTGTGTTGGCATAGGAGAAATCCCTCAAAATTGCAACAATTTTTAGGTTGCGGAGAGAAAATGGTGAAAATCAATGACCTCCTAGTTCCTAGAAACGACAGTTGTCTTCCTTCCGCGCCATGACCACGATTTTTCAGGACGACTTTTGTCGTGCTCCCGAATTAAACCATTTCTTATAAAACGACTATTGTCGTCGTTACAGTTTAAAGGGTTAATCGGGGTAAAAATTCTGTAGATCAAGCAGAACAACAAGTATTACCTCTTCCTGAGGATAGTACATATACTCCCAGTGCCCATGAGATTCGTTAGCAGGAGTATGACCAATATAACGCTCTGGAAGAAAGGGTAGGAAACGATAGCGGCCTAAATGATCTCGGGAATCTCCAGCTTCCACGCCCACGTTCACCATACATTTTCCTATATCAGGTCGAAGATTATTTTATGCACACGTTATTATTTTTTCTGAAATATGCTATTGACACATTTAGTTTTTGCACCCATTTCTACATCCTCGGAGCCTTTGTGATCCATTCTGCATTTAGCACCATTTGGAAGAGCATCCTCAACAAATCTTCTGAGAGCTTCCTTGCTAAGAACATACCCTACAAAATTAATGGAAATTTTTAAAATGTAATGCTGTGATGTTCGATGATCCGGTTACCTGCCCCACCACTCATATAACCCTGTTTAACATGAGGTTTAAACTTGCACCCAAAATAAATGGGATATTGAGGATCAATGTCTCTCAAGAGGAAGCGAAGATTTTCCATAATGACGTACGTGTCATCGTCGGCCTTCATGAACCAATCGGCGTCACCAAAATGATGTTTATATACATATTTGAAAGCTTCCTTCGTTTTTGCCCACAAAAAATCTCGTCCTTCTTTGACGTTTGGAAGTGCAATGCTTGGTAGTTTTGGATCTAGAAAGCAAATTGAAATTCATAGATTGAGCCTGAAATTATACACAAATACACCGAACTCAACGATAAATATGAATATAACAAAAGAATTGTTGAACTTTTCTGACCAGATTTTATAATCTTAAATGATATCATAATTGTTACCTGCTGTAGAACTCATAAATAGAAGTTTGTCACATCTTTTTCCCCAGGTTCGCTGCACGTGGACCGCCTTTGTCTCGTGATTTACTGGATTTGTCATAATCCAACATAGAACTTTTACTGAAATTTTAATTTTAATCGATTGGGTAGAAATTTTGTTTGCTAGAGGGTTACTTTGTATTTATAAATATACCCTTCTTGGACAAGCGATGTGCTTCTTCATTGTACATTTCGTTGTAAGATAAATTGCGAGAAACTTCGCTACGAGGTCCGGCATCGGTCATGGACCCATGGGCATCAGTTTCATTACGGTCATTGACATCAAGCCCGGTTAGACTCGACAATCTACAAATTCCAAAGTTATAACCAATTTTATTTAGCTTGGGTGGAGGTTGTCCATACTTTATGGATTAACTGTAGATACATTTATACATATAAAGATAAAAAAAAGTAATGAAACCTGTACTCTAGTATGTTGCTCGGGTAGGAAGAGTATGCACTAAAATTTAGCACATAGACGAATCCAAACACAAATAAAATTCCCATTGACAGAATTATTGGCAGAAAACTTCGCTCGCGTCGTCCAGTCAGCATGGTTAAGGAGACTAGTATGGTTGGCAAGCCTCAATTTTGTGACCGTCCACGATGCAGAGTTCGGCGGGTATCATGGATATTGGAGGTTGGAGGGCCAAAATTTTTCATGGAGGTTGGAGGGCGAAAATTTTTCATGGATATTGGAGGTTGGAGGACGAGATGTTGGCCCGGATAACGGATATTTCGAGGTTGGAGGGCGCGAATCATTCAAGGATAATTGGATATTGGATAGCTTGGATATTGGTACAAGGTGAGGAATTAAGTTTGTTATTATTATAAGTAGCACACTTCACAAGATGTGGTGGACAAATGTCAGAAGATCACTTGAGCGAAACAGAGGCCAGTAATAACACTGTCACAATGCGGCATTAGTAAAAATAATTTTCTACGCTTAAAATACCCTCGTTTATAGTCAGCCTTTCACGACAATTTAATAAATTTGGTATTACGTATTTACTTCCGGCGCTGAAATGATCCCTACCGGTCAGCCACTAGACCAGTCAAGGCCTTTAATTGAAAACTGCATTTGAGCTATAATGAAAATTAAAAATCGATCAACTACAGACAAAAAACTGTATGCTTAATATTTGTCCAGCTAATCAAATAACGAAGTTAGCACAGGTGCAAATCTGCACCATGCATGTCATAGACGAGAGATTGTGTTACAGCAGTATACGGCATATTGGTTTCACACCTTGCTGCATACGTGTTAATGGTTTATTATTTTCCTCCTTAATTCAGACCGTATTTAATATACATAACATGGATTTTTGTATGTATATGCGTGTGACCAATTGTGCAAACGTAGATCGGGTTGTGGTTTGGTGACGTGAAAAGTGTGTCAAAAATACCGTAAGTAAACTGAATACTTCCTTGTTGAATTAGAATATTTCAGTCGACCCAAGACCTTCGAAATGGATTAAGATATTATAACTTGGGGAATATGTCCAATCGGCTCCGTTTGAAATTGTATAAAATACTTTTACATAATACACGTATTGTACCCATTGGGTATTGGGTATAATATTTATTGCATAAGCACCACCTACCATGAATGATCTTTTTACATTACTCCATTTCACATAATCCAACAAAAGTCATGATTAACCAAAATCATGCATACATAGACCAACAGACCGCAAGTAATCTAAGGTAGCCAGATTGATTATTATATACTCTCCATTCGCACACGGTAGAACTTCTACAGAAATTGAGATTTCTGAGAAACTACGGCACTGTCAGTCTCAAAGTACCCCGTCAGCATAATTTGAGAGAATTTGAGATTGACAGTGCCGTAGTTTCTCAGAAATGTCAATTTCTGTAAAAGTTCTACGTGCGAATGGAGAGTATGTATGTAGGTAAAAATGTGTATGACCATTTGTATTATTTTTTCGTAAAGATACCCGTCCCATGATGTTAAATCCTTGTGTTTTGTACTTTTAATGAATCATATGTACCTTGAAAGTAAAGGGCATATTTATATGAATTTAGTATGAAGGCCAAGTCACAACTGAATATAACGAGAAACTGTGAGTGTAACTGGACCATGGAGAATCACGGAGTTTGGAAAATTAAAAAAGGACACGTCCATTAATTCGACCTTGCCTCATTTCCTGAATTGCAAAACCGGAAGCCCGATATGTTGACTTATGGTTTGAGACATGGGCTTTCGCATAAAAAACGTTAGAAATCTCCACAAAAAAATCATCTCACAATTAAATTATTAATTTGTATAAAGCATCTCTGGACGTCATTTGTAATACACGCCTGTAAAAGATACTGACGACTGAGTCTGCGGATGAAGAATATACAGTGATAATAACTGTTCTCGGCGTTCTCCTGGGCGTAGTTTGGGTATCAAGGGGCGTTGTCTGGGGCTAAATTAGACTTTCAGTGATTAAGCTACTTCTTTATGTGCGTTTGCTACGGGTTATTACGAAATTGTATTTGCACAAAGTAAATACATGTGCATAGAGACAATACAATTGTGTGTATATCCTTTATTTATTTTATTATAAGTGTTAAATTTTACCGCAAATTATCACAAAAACATTCCAAAATAAAAAAAAGCTATGCGATGTGGTAAAGTTTCCGTATAATGGCTGCCAGTTGTAGCATAAGTAAATATGACGAAAACATTTTTGCAATGCGCATTTATTCCTCTTAGTTATCCGAAGTTTGTGTTCCAAACTGCATACAAAAATTTCTAATTTATATAAAACCCAAACTAGAACAATGAGGTCTTGGTACAACTTCAACAAGACGACATTCATACTTGCTGTTCTGTTGCTACTAATCTTGTACACATATAACCCTGAAGGCTTCAATTGGGGACAATCTCACAAATGGTCTGTTAGGTCAAATATTGACATTCTGTCCAACTCAACTTATCCTATTTCATCCCGAGTTAGGGATCTTATCGTAGGTGTGTAAGCTGTACAAAATTATGGAAGAGAGCTTCACTATTTGCCCCTCTTAGATTTTGATAGTATACAATAAGTGAACAAAAATTTCAAAGTGTTTTTCATGCTCTAGCTACAATTGCGCTTGCCACACTTACTCAACGTTGCCAAACCACGGATAAAGCTCATTCAAGCCCTCAGTAAAAATAAGTCTTACTGGGATTTTGAAAATTATTCCACCATTATACTCTCAGATGGTCGCTTTCTCATATCCAGTAGTAACTTGTATAACTTATTTGAAATCTAAATTTTTTCGAAGGCATACAATTTAAAAACTTGAATTTCATATTGCGTTTGATAAAACAACTATTTATCTGTGACTACAATCGTGGAGAAATTTCCAAAATCCAATTACAATTGGCACTTCAAGTTTTGGCGAGCGCATGAATTTTTGCGTATTTGAGTGGTTGTGGCGGCATAGGTGTGACAATGACATAAACTACTTGTGGATCATTGTTCACTCATGGGATACTACAACGAATCCAAAGGGCATCGAAATCAGAGAGTGGAAAGTAGTGAAGCTTTCCTAAGTGTCCATATTTAAAAATAAAGGTATGTAAAGTATCCACCTCTCCTTTGTTGCAGAATCCGAGAAAAATCACGACATCTTTGTTTCCAAGCGTACTTCTTGCCTTCGATTTCTAACACAAACAAAACTTTGGACATCCTGGCCGACATTTTGGGACTACTTTGTTCCCACCTCATCATGCCCCTTTGCCACTCGTCGACTCGGCAGACTTGGCGATGGTGGCAAATGGGTCTGTGGTTTGAAGGAAATCGCAATGAAATCAGAATGTATAGCGTACTCATTTGGCGTGGCGGGAGAAACTTCGTTCGAAAAGGAGTTACTGGAGACAACAAATTGCACTGTGTTCGCCTTCGACCCAACCGTTTCAAGTATTAATTTAGATTTATCAAAATACCCGGGAAGACTGCACTTCCAATCGGTAGGACTGGGAACTCCTGGGCCCAAATTCACCTTTCCGGTGAAGCGACTTAAACAATTCATGTTGGAATTAGGGCACCACTGGATTGACGTCTTAAAAATTGATGTCGAACATGCTGAATATGACGGGATGGACGATATGATACAAGATTTCCCGAATGGGCTTCCCTTCGCTCATTTGAATATGGAGCTGCATTTACACCCGGTTACTGAAATAAGTGAAGAGATTAAACAGTTCAAACATTTGCTGAACTGGTGGCTAAGATTGGAAAAGGCGGGATTAAGAGCGTATATGAATGAGGTGAATTATTTGGGCGGCATCGCGAAGGCTAAGGTGGTGGCGATTGAGTATTCATTCTTAAATATGAAAATGTTGGACAATGGTAATTTATAATGTTCTAGCACGCTCAATACATACCGTAAATACTATATTTGTAGGTCCCAAGACGGCACACATCCGACTACAATTTAAAACCGGGTATAATTAGAAACCCGGGTAAATTATTTTTCGGTTATGCATAACTTGAAGCATCTAAGAACAGGCATTAAACGAATGCCATAATTAGAGACAAGTTTATTAAATTTTTCAAACTTGGGCTCAAGACACGGCTATAAATAGAGTATTTACGGTATTTGTATTTAGCTCATCCAGTTTCCAACTAGCACGACATAAAATCATATGTATCTGTTCACTTTGATTTATAATAATGATTATTAGAATGAATTTACATATATATAAATTGAAAATACCTTTGTTAGAAAGATCTATTTTTATATTTGTCATTATTTAAGCAACTTAATCACTTCATTTCATTTATGTAGCATACTATTTACGATGTACGTATACTACGAGTTCTTAACTAAAACTAGACTATAAAAACAAGAAGACAGCGTGAATAGCCTTACCGTATAGTATCTTAGTTTTTTTAAATTTAAGCTTTCGGAATTTCAAACAAGTTTCGAAATAATAGTAACACATAATTAAAACATGCGAAAGATGCTTCTAGTTTCAGAAGAAGACGATAGGTGAAGTTTGTTGATCATAAGATCGTATAATCAAAATTTAATCACCGTACGATTTTCATAATCGAAAATACAATAAACCTTGCTTTCACCGAAGTTGTTAAATTTGATTTAATTTGAATTGAAATATTTAAAAAATCCTTAGAAATCCTTAAAAATAAGAACCTAAAATAAAACAAAAGCAGCTCAACATTGGTTAATCAGAATTGTTTTTTTTGTATGGCGGAGGATTTTACAAAGTGCCATTTGGGTCGGAATTAAATACACTCTCAACCCACTCTTCTCGATGGACTCATTTTTTGTTGGCCAACCCTGATATGCATATATATACATAAATAATACTAAAATATCTACATACATAAACTTTCAATTTAAATAATAAATTCACCCTGAATTTATTATTCGTCTAACTCCACAAGGGCGGAACACTTCGATTACTTGTTTTTCAATGGCAAAAATACCATTGGTACATTATTTCATGAATGTTTAACAAGTACGGCTTAATTTATTCAAGTGGTTGTGCATGTTTGTACTACTGAAAAACTTAGAATATTGTATGCATATTTAAATACTTACAAAATGATTTGCAGTGTACATATGCATGTGTTTATATAGTATTTGATAATAATAAAAACTTTTTATATTTCAGCTATACCAATATTTGCCAGGACATGAGTAAATACTGCTCAATTGTATGATATGCAGAAAACTTTGTAAACAAAAAGATGTACTTGATAAGCACAAGTTCTTATAAAATATACATCTTTCTACGTACATATTTAATATCGTGGTTTAAGTTTCAATAAAACGCTGTGTGGATGGGAGATGGCCCTGTAAAAGTTCCAACGACGGCATAAGATAAGAACCTTATAATTTCATAAGCCTACGGAAAAAGATGACAAAAACGTACAAATGTCAAACTCATCCAATTTAATGGTCTAAGGGATTAATAAGCATGGAATATTACAAAATTAAACCAATAAACTTAAAGTAGGTCGTGAAAGACAGAAATTCCTCAACGTCCTAATTTCTTATTCAAACAGGATAATTTTTAATGTAGGTTTTCCAAAATCTGAAGTCATCCGAAGTATCCCCGAGAAAAAATAAATTAGAAGTTACTCTTCGGAAACCATGTTATAAAAATCAGCTCAAAGTGAGAAGATATTGATGCGAGTAATCGAGCATACGGTCGAATTTTTATAGCCGGTCACCTCATTTTCATATTTAGACGCATTCGCTAAAGACATAAAATTTATTCAACATAGAAAGTCCGTATAGCCGAAAACGGGCAAAGTGAGATTTATGAGGTGTCAAGCCTACGTAGGAGGATAGTAGTTAGCTTGGGTACACCGTAAGCTTATGAACGTATACATTGTGCAGTTCTCAGGAATCTATGAATACATATAGTTAGATTGCCAGCATGTTATTATATTTTATTGCACACCTGTTTAAATAAAATTTCGTATGTAGGTTAAATTCTTCAGAACCTATCAAAAACTACCATGAAATCGGTTAGTAATTTACCCCAGCTATGTATGTACGGATTCTGGTCGGTTATTAGTGTAAAAACGTACTAAGAAAGCAGCGTTCGAATTAATCCAATGGACACTTCCCTTCTCAAAATGAAATTTCATGCAGTCCTTCTACTTTTGGGCGTAGTCGGCATGATCCGTACATACACATATTATTGTTTGTAAATTTTTGGTAAAAATTAAATTTGCTTCAAAATTTCAGTTCCCTCGTATTCTCAGAATTTCTTGTGCTGCTCTCATATCTGTCCAAGGGGAACCTTTGCGGGATTGCTTCCGGTGGGGTACCGGAGTGGTTTAATTCAGCCGGATATGCCCAGCCTAGTTCGGATATTGACCTAGCATCAAGGTAAGGAAACCCTCCGGGGGTTCGCTATTGAAAACCCATACCCACGGGTTTTACTTGGATTTTTAGGGTAGTCGGGGTAGTCGAGGTAGGCAGTGAGTCACTACATCGTGTACAAAGTTCTGAAAACAATCTGCTTTTTCAGTAATTTCGTAAAAAAGCTGCTATTAATTCTGTTTCAGTAACTAATTAACTTACAACTAAAAAAGAACTATCCCGGCTAACCGTAGTCGTTGCTAAGATTTTCTACCCAAAAACCACAATTTTCTATCCGGAAAACCGCAAGACCCCTAAAGAACCGGGGTAGTTTGGAACATAAGCTGTTTCTTCTAACTCAATCAAAAACTGTTTCAATCTTGCAATTGTATCACATTCCGGTGGTTTACTTTTATATAGCTAATGCTTATATTTGTAGGGAAATTGGTCCTCTTTTGAAGACAGGAGAAACTTCAATAACCAACCAGTCGTATTACACTATTCTCGAGACTACCCCAAAGGTCACGGGCAACCGTACATTTCTAAACCTCAAAGGTGTCTTCCTCAGAGCAAAGGGCGGTATTGGGAACCAACTCTATCAATACGCATGTCACTACGCGCTAGCTCGGAAGCATAACGCACCCCTCTATATCAAGCTTTCAAATTCCGAACGTAGTCAACTTGGCCAAAAGAGAAAACGAAACCTGGCCGTTGATGATCGTTCTTTTGTCCTAGATGCATTTAATGTCCCATTATTCTCCTGGAACACCATTGACGACACTTGGATCCTACCAAAAACTTTGAACGCTACCGACTCTGACATACTTCTTGGAATTTACAATTCTACCCGATTTCAAAATTCCCTCGTCACTGGGAAGGATTACTGCCTGTCTGCATCTTACTTTGCCCCATACCAATATGAATTGTGGGATCTATTCACTTTGAAAGTGGACGATGTTTTAACGGAGGCGGCTAAATCCTGGGAAAAATTTATCATCGAAGAGGGAAATATAAGGGAAACTGTTGCAGTGCATATTAGACGCGGGGATTTTGTCAACTTCGCAACCCCATTAACATTCTATGTTACCGCGATGTCCAGGATGCGGCAGGAATTGATGCGTCGAAATAATAAACATGTTCTAATTTCTTTATTTATATTTTCCGACGATGTAACTTATGTAAGAGACGAATTTCTGACAATTTTAAACGGGACGGAAGGAACTATTAATGTTCACATAGTTTCAGATCCGACCAAACTGACAAGTTTGGAAGAGTTTTATCTTGCTTCGAAATGTAAAAATTTTATCATTCCTAATAGCACTTTCGGGTGGTGGGTAGCTTATCTCTCCGAGTATCCGGACAAAATTGTGTATGCGGCACATGTGACGACGGAGCATGTAAGATGGCTTTACCGTGAGGCTAATATTAATGTTCAGTCGTTTTACTTATGGCAATACAACCGCATTTATTATCCGAGTGGGTGGAACGGTATTTACCCAGTTCCATAATAAAGTAATATTACTAAATGTATAATTTTACGAAACAGTGAAAATGAATAAACTTTATACCATGACTCTATGACTTTACACCAACTGTACCTATCTCAACAGATATATTGGTAATGATTGTGTTTTTGCACTCAAACAAAACATATCAATTTCATGGGAGAATTTGCTAACAAAAGTGTCATAGGTTATCACGAAGCGTTCTGGAATTTATGAAAGTAGATATGAATCTATGTTGACACGCTAAAGTTACTGCGCATGCCCAGAATCAATCGTGTAATTCAATTTCTAAAATTAAGTCAATGAGTTTTGAGATAAATGCACCTTGTGATATTTTAATCTAAAGGTAATATTTGGTAGCACAAACAAGTATATTTGAAAAAATTAGCGAATTCATTTTTCAGGAAATTTATTGTAAAAAAATGTCATACGAATTGGCTATGTTTTACAAATCGATTTGTTTGTAGAACCAAAAATTAGCTTTATATTAAAATATCAAAATATATTTATATTTTTACAAATTTATGCTCCTTTATAAGCCCGAGAGGCTAAAAGAAAGGAATACTAATAAATCAATCAATCAATCAAATTAGAATATCAAAAGTTGAATTTATTTCAAAACTCATGGCCACCGTAGCCTTAAACTTCATAATAGAGTTTCACCGCATTTTATTTTCGTCAAACGTGAAATATAAACACAGCGAGCATGCATTTAATTTGATAATTAAATGTTTCATGATTTACGGTTTTCATTTTCATACAAAAATTCAATATAGGAAACATACCCGTTTTAAAATCAGTACACAATCTGGTAATGTAAATACACGAACTTGTTTCTAAATATATCCTCTTCACCATTCGTGTGCATCGTGACCAGCTTTTATACAAATTATTTACTTAGCAGCTAATGGATGTATGTACCATCAATATTTAAAACGGGTTCACTCCCACTTGTGCAAATCGTTGATTTACAAATTTACTATAGGGAGTTAGTATATCATTATTTAGTTCGATTAATGTATAATATTAAATATTATCACAGGTGTTAAATAATGGAAAACAAAACACCTTAGTCGTCGCTAGTTAACAAAATATGCATCAATATATTTTTTTATTCTATCATTTCGAGCAATATCTACATAATTTTGCATGTTCTACAATTTGTATTGGATATTAATTAATGTGTAATTATTTCCAAACTATATCACGCGGGGGATTAGACAATTAATCAGGTTTAAGTCATCATAAATGTGTACATGTTTCAAAGTTAGGAGTGTTGCGTATTATGCACTGAAACGTGTTTAAATATATTTCTAATACTCTCAACCTACCAAAATTATGGAACGTTCTCGTCGTTTGTTAACTATAATCATAATTCCAGGATTGGTGGCAACAATACTTCTCTTACTGTGGGGAAATGGTGAGAAAGACCTATAAATTCATAAGCAGACACACTGTAAATAATCTGGTAATAAGCATTACCGAAAAGCACAAGTATATGACTCTACCAAAGTGGTAATGATAAGTTGTACCGCGTGGTAATGGCTTGGTATTTTAATAAAGTTTTACCATAATGGTACCGAATTTTTACTACCTGGTAAAATATTATTACCAAATTTATTACCGAGAAATCATTACCTGCGTGACTTTACCGGATTATTAAGAGTGCACTAATATAAAGATCTGCACTATATATGTATTGACAGATTATCGGCCATTTGAGGGTTTGCAAGGACCCTGCTGGACGAGTAATTTAGACGATGGTAGGTACACATCATTCATTTTCAAGAATGGATATTACGTATTTAATTATCTACTGACATCTATAGAAATCCGTTACGTCCAAGAAAATTTTGAATTCTTGCATCAAAATGACCCAAAATTAATTCGGTACACGAGGGCCAGATATCTGTCTCCACCACCGAAAAGCAATGTTCCGTATCATTTTGACTATCATCCAGTTAAAGGGGTAACCGATCATGGGGATTGGGCCAGAAAATATTTCAAGGGACAGGTTTGAAGCATTACTAAATTGTGTAGAGACATGCACATTGCAAATAAATAGCTATGTGTTTTGATTGAAGTTTTTTTTAATTAATTGAAATTAGAGGGACGGTGTATTCATTGAGGCGGGAGCAAATGACGGTAAGTTTTATTGTATTCATTTTAGACAAACTTATGCAACTTGCCCTGTTGAATCATGAAAATATGAAATGATATTTAGGTGAATTTTATTCGCACACCCTTCGCCTCGAGACAGACCTTGGATGGACTGGACTATTAATAGAATGCAACCCAGGAATCACACCGTATCTGCGAACTAAACAAAGGAAAGCGTGGGTTGCCGGAGTTTGTATTTCTACGACGCAATACCCCAAAATTGTATGCCTTACTGCTAGCAACTCCTGCAAGGGATGGTTCCCAACTGCTTGTCGCATCCTGAGTAACCACTGCCAGTGGATTCTGGTTGCGTTAGGGTTTGAATTTTGCGCTGGATTTTACATTACTCTGGACGGGCCTAACCTTTTCAAAGATCAGCAAAATAATTTTCAAAAAATAGAAATAAATTTTATACTGCAAGCTGAAAATCCAACTCTGATTAATTGAAAAATATTGAAAATCCTTCCGGTCTTTCAAAAGCTATGGCGGTTTTTAAAGTCAAAGCATGTGAATCTGGCTCCATGCCATGAGTTTTGTTGGACAATATGTATGAGTAAATCTGTCATCTAGGGCCCTAGTACATTCTAAAAACATGGGTACGTTGGACACGAGAAGCAGTAGGCAGCCATCCCTTATTAATTAGTGTTCAGTAAACTTTAGCAATCTTCGAAATTACAGGTGAATTTCTCCAACCCTGAAAAGTGGAGCTGGAGTGGTCGTCTTGGTCCTGCGTGGAACATCTCAATCCCAACAAATTGGACTTACTTCGACGTGGAAAGTGTTCCCCTTTACACTATAATTGCCGCTACAGGGCTGAAGGAGATTGATTTCTTTAGCTTTGACGTAGAAGGAGTGGAAATGCAGATCTTAAAAAATTTTCCATTTGATAAAATTCTAATCAAGGTACATACATAATCCGATTCTATCAAATATCCTGGTAAATCGGAAAAGTGGTATATTCCAACAGGTCATCGTTGTGGAAGTGGTGTTCATCACACCCAAAGAGCGCAGAGATCTGGAAAAGTTTCTTCGAGAAAAGGGATACACAACTATCAAGAAAGAAGTTCATGATCATTTTTATGTCCATGAATCTGTCCGTGACCAATACGGCGAATAAGTTGCATTGCTATATGCAGAACTGTCATTGTTTGTTATTAATTGTAGAGTACTATATCGTATATACTTACTAGATAATTGCAAAATGCAGTGTAAAAGAAATATCTCAATTCATACTGATGACCAAGAAATAAATTCACCGAAATAAATCAATCCGAACGCATTACCGGGATGAATGGCACTTAATGGCTTCCCATGAAAGAATGTGAAGTAAAATATGAATAAAGGGCGACCAGAGTGACAGTGGAGGGTGATCCAGACTGATTTTTCGAAATATTCATATCGAGCTAAAATTTGGTATGGCGGCTAAAAACCACCTCTGGATAGCACATAGCTTGGAAGTTCAGGATGTTAAAGAAGCCCACTGATCATAGTAGTTAAGGGGTAAGACTCGTAAATCCTTCAAACATTTGGTGCCAAATAATTCAAAATATCTAACAAGCATATAACCATCCACACGACGTAGGTTTGTAATATTATGTCGGTTAATTCGAAGGAAAAGTAAGACGCAGGGTCTGACTGCCCGATTCAGGGACTCCGTCCCTGACTCGGGCTAAATGAAGTCTGCACTGAAGTTTTTTTTTAAATTTTGTACCCTGAACGTATACACATATGTATGTGTAAATGTACGTATGATGAACTAAACTAGGTTTGCATATTTAAGTATGTATGTATAAACAAAGCTGAGCAAATACATGTATTCAAAACTTCATTCCATGTGACCACCTAATACATACACACATATACACCCAAATGTTCAATTAGACATACTGCCATACATAGATAATTAAAGCAAGGGCCATCTTAATAATTTGTAATAATTAGGTTAATTGTTACACTTTGGCCAATATCATCTAGGTACATCAATTTTGCTGATAAATATAAACTTTTCAGCATGTGATAATTAATGTTAAATTAATTAAATTAATTTATTAATTAATAATTATTAATTATTATTAATATTATTATTAATAATATTATTATTAATTATTAATTAATTAATAATTATTAATTAATTAATTTATTAATTAATTAAATTAATTTAATGTTAAATTAGATCATTTCGTTTTTGTAAATAAGTGCATAATAAAATTTCCAATGGACTGCGACTTAACTTCAGTCAAATGTTGTGATGAGGAATTTCTTGATGCCTCGTGTTCCCACCTATTCAGTAAACTGTTTCATGAAATTTACCTTTCTCCTCTGTGCAAGTACAATTGTTACGATTTTCACGATTTTATTCAGACAAGGGGATGATATTCCCAGTCTCGTCTGGCATAGTTCGAATATACGTATCGAAACCCTCCATTCGGACTGGCAGGAAATTAGAGAAACCAAATTCGCCGAATTCAGTAATGACACCTACAAACCAAAGTATTTCGTATACTCGGCTCACCTGGATATCTACAAGTTCGCACATTTCCAATGAATTTCTAAAATTTGGATTACATAAATATTGTATAATCAATCCATAGGAACGTTTTACGGATAATTGCTGTCACACCATTGCTTTCTAAACAGAAATTACACTGTCACATCTTCGATGGTGAACTACAACCTGTCGGGGTATTTGAAGGTATTATTAGTGCCACGAAAAATCCACAGAGCTATTTACCCTACAGGTTAGCAGATTGTTAACAAGTATTTGAAATGAAAATTCTAAACCTACAATGTTCAACCCAGATTTTTTTTGACTATCTCAATTGGAAAGACCAACCTTTTAGAAATAACATTTATCTGTCTTGGGACACTTGGCAGATGCGCAAAATTCAGAGCGTTATTTAGAGTGAGTTCGTGACACGCTTGGCTTTCAAGCGAAACCTGCCTATGCCTTGCGGTAGCAACCGAGCGTTTTCGCGATTTGCGACGCCCATAACGCCATGAATTTTGCACATTTTTGCACATGACATTTTGAATTTTGCACAAATGTCCCAAGACAGATAAATGTTGTTTCCAAAGGGATGGTCATTCAAACTGAAATGATAAAAAAGACTCTGTTTTATAAATCGGTGTGGGTTATGGGCTACGCTCTCGGGCAGGGCAGGGTTACAATTCTTTTCAAATTAAATGCTAATATAGGTGCGTTCAGATCATTCGCTCTCTGCATTCAAAATTTCAGCCCTCTACGCCAAAGTCTAGAAATCAGTATGGGTTGTGTTCTACCCTCTCGGATAGGGTAGGGTGAAATTTTTTTTCAAATTAAATGCTAATTTACTTACGTTCAGATCATTGGCTATCTGCATGCCAAATTTCAGCATTCTAGGCTAAATTTAAGAAATCGGTGTGGGTCATGGGTTACCTCATCGGGTAGGGCAGGTTGACAATATTTTCAATTTAACCCCAATTTAGTTGCATCGAGATCATTCGCAATCTGCATACCGAATTTTATCTTTATACGGACGATCGGGAAATACATCCTGACAAATATATAAGGCCCAAATTTGGTACTGGATTTAGGCCCTCTAAATCTAGTACTTGTTGTGTGTCACTGTCTGTCCGTTCGTCTGTCTGTCATTGCGCAGGATAACTCTGTTCAAACCCAGGCTATCGACTTGGAATTTTGCACACTTCGTCTTCTGATCTAAAGTTAGGAGGATTTCGATGATGGGTGTGATTGGTCAAGTTGTTGGTCGGTGGGGCTCATTTAAGTAGTGTTGACTGTAAAACAAATTATTAAATATCATATGTAGAAGCATCCCTAGGCCGTACGAATTTGAAAATCGGCAAAAATTGGCATGAAGATTGCCAATGACCTCAATAAATTTTACTTGGAGTAAAGGTGACAAAATTTCAACCAGAAGGACCCGATGGGGTAACCCACACCAATTTCCAAAGGTTGTCCTATGAAACTGAAATTTGGCATGAAGATTGCCAATGACCTCAAAGCATTTAAGTTGGGATAGTGTTTCAAGATTTTTGAATCTGAGGCACATTACATATAGGTTAACCCACACCGATTTCTTAAATCTCATTGCAGCTGCAATCTGGCATCAGGATGACTTTAAAGCAAAAATCTTTTAGCTTGATCGGCTATCGGGTAGATCAGGTTGACAATTTATTTTACAAATTAATAGCCAATTGGACTGGTGGCAAATATGTAAAGCCAAATATGTAATCGACGTTTATGTAAACGACATTTATGCTACCCGACAGATATGTAACCCGACGAATATGTAAGCGACTAATATGCAAACGACAGATATGCAACAAATAGGATTTCGCGAATTTTCAAAAGACAAATTCAAAGAGTGATAAAAAATAAATTAAAATTAGGAATTAAGTTTAATGTACTTGATTAAAATCGGTTAACCGGTTGACAGACAGGGGTCATATAGGTGGGTATTGGACAAGACTGTTGTACTTTGTGTCAAATTTTCGTTGAACTTGTCGTTGATAGCTGAAAATTTGGTAATTAATTACTTGGAAGCAAGGGTGTATTTAATTTTGAAAATTATGTTTTGATTATTCAAGTTAATAAACTTAGTTGAAATTCTCTTTTATGGTTCAAATCAAGGTGCAAACTAGTGATATGAAATCAAGTTAAAAATTTGTCAACCGGGGTGAAGGGAATGTGTTGGTAAAATAGCTCGAGATTGTATGACACCCTAGATCTGGCACCGCAAAGCTGTCGGACAAGTAGTTTGTATTCTTACTAAGATTTATATTTTTGTTGGGATTTTATTTTTCCTGAGAGTTTCAATTTGGATATACCGTTTTGAAAATACGATTGACTAATCCGAAATATATAGACGAAATCCTATTTGTTGCATATTTGTCGTTTGCATATTGGTCGCTTACATATTCGTCGGGTTACATATTTGTCGGGTTACATATTTGTCGGGTAGCATAAATGCCGTTTACATAAATATCTTTACATAAATGTCGGTTACATATTTGTCCTATCACCGCCAATTGAGTTGGGTTCAGTTCATTCGCAATCTTCATGTCAACTTCCAGCCTTTCATTCCAAGTTTTATAAATCGGTGTAGGTTATGGGCTACCCTCTCGGGTAGAGCAGGTTGACAATTTTTTCGAATTAAATGCTAATTTAGGTACGTTCAGATCATTGGCTACCTGCATGCAAAATTTCAGCCCTCTACGCCAAAGTTTAGAAATCAGTATGGGTTGAACATGGTTTGCGGCAGTTTGAGCCTGCATTGTTAGTACGTTTTCCGAATTTATATTTAGTGCAGCTTACATCCTTTGCAAACCCGAAGTCAACCTGTTCCGGACTCTTAAATACGTTTCCATATCACCATTTCCGCATCATAATAGTTCTCATGGCTTCTCCAACCTTTTACCGATAAATCTCCCCCCAGCCAAGAGCGAGAAAGAACCGCACACTTTTTCGGTTTGTGTCCAACCCACGTTCGATTATGACAACGTGGCAGAATTTATCCAATGGATGGAGTTCTATAAAAACATGGGCGTTACTCATTTCACTTTCTACAATATGTCAATCGGGCCAAGAGTCTCGTGCGTGATGAAATCTGCTGCCGTTAATCAAGGTACATATGTAAATACGCTATTATAAATCTGGTATAGTCATGGAGGCATTGATTTCCCGGTAATAAAATTGCTACCGGTTGGTATTAAAATTATACCGATCCGTAAAAACGTGCTACCGGTATGGTAACACTTTAATACTGAAGTACTACTACACTGTATTACCTATCAATGCCACTTTGCTATTATTGTAATACTGGATTTCTAAGAGTGTACACGCTCACTCCTACACCTTATGTAAGGCGTAGGAAAGTATTAATTATACTGACGTTCTTCTTATTGTTTTCTTAGAAACAGGAATAACCATCCTGAACTGGACCGTCCCAATTAAGGATCACTTACAGCTCCATGTAAATGGTCAACTTGCCCAACAGAACGACTGCCTCCTGAGATACAGGGGAGTGACAAAGTATCTCGTGCTGGTCGATTTTGACGAGTTAATCATCCCCAACTATGTTTATGCCAGTGATTTTTTTGATCTGGTTACTTTAATGGACAATGAGTGGTCCAGTCAACCAAGAAATGGGTCTCTTGCGCAGTATAAATTTCGCAGTGCAATTTTTGACTTTGATTTTAGCAACTTGTCAGACGTAAAGAAAGATATTTACAAAGATTCCTTCGAGCTGGAAGACTTAATAGTGTATAAATACGTTATTCGACAACGCGACCTGTATCCGTCCAAAATTAGGTAAGACCTCAATTCTTAATAATAAATCTTAGAAATAAATATTTTGGAATTAGTCACTCTTAATGCTTCAATTATGTATACTGATCTAGATCAAAACTGATCACAATGCCATGGCGTGTGCTTGAGCCAGGTGTTCACTTCTTGGACAAAGCGGTTGACGACAGGACAGAGTTTGAAATAGACCCGGAAATAGCATATGTTCACCATTATCGGAGATTCTATCACTGCAAAGATAATCACACCTGCTATAAGATACCGCAGTCGTTGGACTACTTGGCACACTTCTATGCGGACAATCTTTACAAAAAGGCCCGAAATGTGATTGATAAACTAGTTGCAGAATGTAGTTAGCCATGTATGTAACCATACTCATTTAAATGTGCATAAAAGGTTATGGAGTTTAACAAAAGTTGTGTTTCTGAATTTCTGATGATGTTTCTAATAAAAAGTTGATTAAGTGTCGGTCAGAATGGGTAATAATTGAAACAATTTCTGTCATTTTATCACAACTCATTTAATAAGATTGGATAAATCCGGCTGATAAATAATTTGATCAAGTGAGTATATTTATTTTAATTTAATAATACAACACTTAAACCCGTACTTTCTGCAAATTATGCGTGCTTTATTCCACCAATAAGAGCTTAGGATTTCTTTTAACATTTATAAAACTATATTCAACAGCGAAAGGTTTTCTTGCAAGAGCAATTACTGTCGGATGATGATTAACTTCCCACGTGAACGCCCTCAGTCCGTGGTCAATTAGTCCATTCCACCATTTTGAAAACTCGCGGAATTCTTCCATGTCCGCGGTATCATTAAAATCTAGAATCATAATATGGTACATTTTTTTCGATTTTATGACATTTATTTTAATAACTTGTTCTAAAAAAAATAATCGCCTCGAGCTTGTAAATGTATTTCCAGGTTGAGTTGTCCAAACGGAAATATTTCAAATTCCTCCATTATCTGGTTAAACGCCGAGTACTCCGACCATTCGATATCCACTTTGAGAAAATCAATCCATTTGTGACCATAAGTTCGCATGACGTGACCCAAAGTTTGAATCCCGTCATGACTTTCTTTATTTCCGAGCCCCTTATTTTCAAAAGTCCAACGATGTTCCATTCCAGGAGGAAGTCGAGATCCCGGCCCCTCCGCAGGAGCTCCTATCGTGTGATCAAACATGTGCACGGAACAGTTCGTCCTGGATAAGAATTCCGCTTCGAAACTGGAATCTGGACCAACTCCGAAGGAATATAGGACACATGGAACATCCAAAAAGCCACCATCTTGTAAAGATATTTGTTCGTAACTGGTATACAATTCAAATCCACAAACCCATTTCCCGCCACCGGCCGGTCCACCAACACGGGACAGAAAGTGGGGACAGGTCATCGTCGGGATGAACGCGTCCCAAAAGTAGATCCCCCAATTATTCCGCCACGGGCTGCTTGCACCTTGTAAAAATGGCTTCAACTTTTGTAAAAACCTGGACCGGAAGTCAATCTCAGCTTGGATGTAGGATTGGTAGTAGGATGGAGATTTTAATGGTTGTGAACAATATTGATGAGTATTATCAGCAATTTTTTGAGATGTTTTGTACCAGGAAATTATTATAATCGTGATGGCTAGAACGAATCCGATAGTAAAGGCGAATTTAGGGCAGGAAATTATTCTAGTAAAAGTTGAGGTTGTCATTATTAATAAATAATAATAATGAGATTAAAATGCAAAAGAAATATTTTATCGGAATTTTATGAAACATTGGAGACGTGAAAAAAATAGTGCAAAGTATTTTTTTTTATTTGAGAGATACGCAAATCTATTTCAATAATAGACAACTCTATGAGGATACAATTTTGGACAACTGAATCAATATTGGGTAACAGGGTTTTCGCATTTTTCCTCTGTTTGATATGTATTTTTTATCTAAATATGTGCAATCAATTAGTGGTATAAATGCATAGCTAAGTACTAATTGATTGTAAATTGTGGAAATTTAGTTTATGTTTGTGTTTCAAATTTAGTCATTTCCCAAAAATAATTTGTTTGTGGTAATGGTTAATGCAATGACAAATACATTTATGTAGCTTAACTTTTTGTCTGTCCGTCCGATAATTATGTACATGTGTATTTGTACATACACAAGTACTCTGTAATTAATATGGCGTATTGCCTCATTTACATATTTCGACACATTAACCCTTAGCCATGGGAGACCGTTTAAAAACGTTTTAGAGTTTTTGCTTTAATTCGGGCGACCGTGAAAAGCCGTTCACAAAAAAGTCTCTGCCTTCGGGGTCAACGGCTTTTCACGTTTTCACGTTTCCATGTCAGGTGCGGGACAACGGATATTTCCGTGGTAAAAATTATTTAGCTGATTCGGGAAACGGCAAAACACGTTGGCACTAAAAACTAAAATTATTAGGGCCTTGGATCAGAATCGTCCGTGGTAACACTAGGTCATTTTCATGCAACTTCGCCACTGCTTTGCATAGGATGGGTTGCATGTAAAATTTTTGACTCTGGTTTACTAACTGCTAAAACTATTCAAGAAATTTATAACGGAAAGTTATTGAGGCCAAACCACACCCGTCTCATGTAATCTTGGTTTTGCCAGGACATGTTCATTTTTGCTAAATTTCAACGTTGATGAAAAACTAGTAGGAGAAATAAGTTTCGGGTTTTCCCAAAAGCTCGACATATATTTAGGTTAGTACACCAACTATCCCAGATAATTTATAAAGGTACAGGGGATTATTTAAGATACAAAATGCGAGGTAAAACCAGCGTCGCCAAGAAATAAAGGGTTATATACACCTTCTATCAAACTCATAAATTATCAAATTGATCTCCTCGTCTAGATTGAGGTCTTGGCTGCATTTAAAAATTAAAATACACAAAATGAATTCACATAGTTAGTCAGAACTCTTGATCCAAGTTAAAAGAACCCTTATGCAGATCCACAAACATGTGTGGTTTGGGACCAATAGCTCTATTTTACAAATGTCTTGAGTAGTTTTGCATAGTCATAATTTTGCACCACAGTCATAGTTGATAACTCTAAAATTATCATGCAGCTTTGCTTTACAATGTTACACTTAAATTTTAATACTCATCATTTTAAATATTATATTTATTGACGTTGTCCCGCAGTTAATTTTCTCCTAACGTGTTTTGCCGTTCTCCCGAATTGAGCATTTATAAAATCGTCCCGAATCTAAGCAACTCATATAATAAAGGTTTCCAGATTTAGAACTTGTCAGATTTTAATTATTTTTTGGCTTATCGAATGATCACAATTGTGGTCATCGAAACGCCCCGCAGCAACGCCAAACATAGTTACCATTTCTCCTCGGCTAAGGGTTAACGAGTGACAGAGTATACCGTCGAAAGCGGGCATAATGAGATTTATGCAAATGAGGGGACCCGCACAATAATTCCTACTCCTGAACTGTGCAAAATTTAGAGGTTCCAACCAACCTTAGCCGACATGTTTAGGAGTGGGATATATGTAAATACTTGTATTTAAAAAATGTATGCAGTATACAGCATACACATTAGTGTACATATACATATAGTAACTTCATTAATGAGATAATTGAATCTTTAGATACATAATATATACTAATAAGGAACTTCAAAATGAATATTTAGCAACCAGTACACTTGGTGAAATTTATAATACCTTAGTATTTACCTTGACCTTGAGGCTCAAGGTCAAGTAGACCTTGAGCCTCTCCTAACAAGAATGACCTAACACAAATATTCCAAGTTTCGGCAAACCTGTATCTGCATTTAGGAAATGTGTTATGTATCTTGCTCAAAAAGTAAATTGATTAACTGCAACTTGAGGAGCTTTATCCCACCTTCTTTATGCACACACTCAGGAAGTATGCTACCCTATGACAAATGTTTTTACAACTCATATTAAAAAGTATGCATGGTTTGATCCCGAGATCACTAATTTCGTGCTCATATTCCGTCATGCTACATAATACGACAATTATGCAGCAGGAGACAAAAAGCATGAAACATGGCACTAAATGCAAGTCGATGAATGAATAATTTAATGAACAAAGGAGTTTGTCTCCATCCATGTTAGAGCGGGTTGAAAATTATAAACTCATGTGCAACCACCACGTGCTCCGAATATTGATGTACATACATACATACTCTGCGTATGTGCGTATCTATGTACATTTATATTACTGCATTCGTTAATAAATAAGTAATTATTTATTTAAAATTATTTTTTGGTAAGTTTAAGAAAGCTAAATTGTGTTTCGAAGTTTGTTCATAGGTTTATAATTAAGTTCAATGTGGCTTATTAAGATCTGCACAAGGATGATTTGACACATACTGTATGTCACATATAGACCAGATGTATCACAAAGTGTGCATACATCAGTAATACAACTTGTATTATACAAGTACATGCACATATGTATACATACATATGCACAGTACATATCCAATGTACAGAGTCCAATACGTACATTGTACACTGCACATTGTGCAGTGTATTCATTTCTGAATATTTAATATACGTACATATGTGTGTACAATTAAGTTTTCCAATTCAGTGTGATCTAATTGACTCATCTCTCCTTTAGATAATTGCACACCTTCCCAACCGACTACTGCCCACGAAAATACATATACATACATACATTTTAAAAAACAATTTCTAGGTTAAAGGTACGTGATTAATTAAAAAGTTCTTAATTAAGTAAGATATTTTCAAATATATTTGCATGAGCTACATATATCTATTAAGTACATATTTAAATACACAATTATGAGTCGAGGGCCTCGACTCGAGGCACTATAATTAAAACCATTTTTACATGCATTCTTATGTAAAAATGGTTTTAATTATACTGCCTCGACAATATGTGCATATGCAGTTATTAGTTAGACACACAACTTTTACATAATCTAAACCACCTAATATAGCACTTCGTTAGCATTTTTCTCATGTGCTAATTTTTATACTGACTTTGCAGAAGTCGAAGTCATATTAATATATTCCATACCCTTATATTTTAAAAATAACCCTATATAATGAGTACTCAATAATTCTTACAGGGCAAAAACTAAAAATATTTGCAATTTTTTTATATTCCACACATCACGTTTGACCTTTGTGCTTTCAGTGACCATGGCCGACTCGGAATCCACAGTGACCGTTGAGCTGACCCTCGGGGACAAAATTGTCGTGACAAAGACAGCAGAAGGAAAAATTCAATGTCCCCTTTGCAGCGAACCCTTCATTTCCATCGCTTACTTTAAAGTCCACCACTCTCAGAAGCACACAAGCAAAGAGTTAATCTGCAAATTCTGCGGTCTCCAGAGCTTTCCTAATCAGACGTCCTTCGATGACCATAATAAATCCTACCACTCTGAAACGGATCCCCTAAAATGTGTGAAATGTGGAAGGATTTCCAAGGACAAAAAAGCCTTTTGGCGACACATTCGGGAAACCCATCGTTCAAAAAAATTTCCCTGCGCCGAGTGCGGATTTGAGTTTACGAGGCCAGAAAATCTAAAGGTATGTAGGTCAATTATAACAACTAATTGTACAACAACTAACAAAATTACTTTTAAATCAACTTTTCACTGCAGATTTTGACATAGAATTTACGAAAATTGTTTTTAACTTATGCAAATTTACACCGAATTTTTACAGGCGCATCTTGAACAAAAACACTCCTCCAAACCTCTCCCCACCTTTGATTGCAAAGAGTGTGGAAGAAAATTCAAGGTGAAAACAACTTTAACGCAACACATCTTATCCAACCACCGAGAATATGCAAAACGAAAGTGTCCCATCTGCGGAAAAGAATTTGGTCGCGAAAGGCTGTTAAAAATGCATGTGAACAGCGTGCACGACAAAGTTCGGAAGTTTGAATGCACCCTCTGCGACGTCAAGTTCTCTACGTCAGGCCACCTTTGTCGTCACAGGAAGTCATTGACCCACAAGATGAGGGAGGAAAGCGGGGAGAAAAATGTGTCCTCACCCATGCAAAAAACAATCAAAGCTAATGACAATCGAGGTAGAAAAAGGAAAGTGCTGGAGAGTGAGGAGAGTAGTGAAGAATCTGAGATTAAATCAGACCCACCTGACCAGTCAAATTCCCTCCCAGAGATAAGCACACGACCACAACGCCAATGCAAAACTAAAGCTAAGGAACAAATATTAAAAACTGCTGAGATTCAAAAAGATGATGACCACACTAGATGGAAACTTGGTCCTCAACAAAAGCGAAGAAAAAATACATACGAAACAACAACGACGACACCAGTAGAAGAATCCACCGATATTATTATGATTGATTCACAACTTGAACCACATCCACGTCAAGAGTTAGATGATACTAGCTCAGAACCCACCACTGACAACGTGACGATCTGCACGTCCACCATCAAAGTGGAGGAACCATTCCTCCAAATTCTTGAATTCCAAGATGATAACTGGGAAAATGTTCCTCAAATCACACAAGTAACTAGCTTATCACAAGACGTCAAAATCAAGCCAGAACCATTATCACCCTCTCCCACCCCGCAAAAATGTTCACCTCGCCAAAAATATTTTTGTGCCTACTGCGACAAAGGATTCAGAACCTTGGAAACCTGCGAAGCTCACGAACCCGACTGCGGAAAGTATTCCAAATCCAGGAAAACTTATAAATGCGATGAATGCGGATTGGAACGAGGTTCTCGTCGAGCCTTAAATCTGCACAAAATCGTCCACGTGGACGATCGCCCATTCTCCTGTGACCTCTGCCCCCAACCAAACCCCACTTTTAAGAGATTCTCATCCCTTAAACAACACCAGGACAAGGCCCACTTTGGAAAGATGTCGGCATGGGATAAATACAAACTTACAGACCGCTCCGTCGAGTGACATATGTCGAAAAGTTCTCGCCAGCCAGAAATCACTTAATCGACACATGGTGGAAATTCATCCGGCGGATGGAGTTTTTAAACCACATCAATGTAAATTCTGCCTGATGCGGTTTAAGAGGAAGAGAGCCATGGAGGATCACATCGCCTTGGATCACGTCGACGAGAAAAAGTGGGAGTGCAAAATTTGCTCCACGTGGTACAATCGCGTCTGGAAGTTGAAGATGCATAATAGGAAGAGCAAACGCCACCAACGCCGAGTGGCGGCTTTGGCGACGAAAAAGAGACGAACCGTGAAAACGAATAAGACTAAAAAATTTCCTGGAGCGCATAATATCCTGCTGAGAAACGTGCCAGAGTCGGAGGAAGGATTAGATATGGCGAAATTGGCGATGCAAATTCTGATTCCATCCGTTCGAGTGAATGTGTACAATTTGAGAGTTGGCACGTTTCGGTATGGGGGAAAATTGAGGAGGTTGAGATCACTCCGACCCCTCAGGGTTATCCTGCCGAGTGTCTATTATAAAAATATAGCCATATCCAATGCAAAGAAACTTAAGGATGGGGAAAATGGATTGGGGAACATTATCGTCACCAAGGATTTCAAGTGCAGAGAAGTTTTCGTCAAAAAGGACGGCTTGGATTTTCGCGTGGTTCGAAAATAGCAAATTCATTTAAAAATGCACAAATGCATTTAATTTATATTAGTTAGTGTTTGTTCTATTTGCATGCATCAATTATGCCGCATAATTATCACAGCAAACTTTCCATGATGTAGACCCGCAATTACATATGATACTTCACATTTAATAATGTATCAGATTTATGTATTTAATAACAAGTGTTTATTTCAATATAGATAGATAATTACTTACACATTAGCTTAATAACTATTAAATTTACTTATCTACAATAACTCACCACTTAAATAAAATATTTATATTTTAAGTGCTTTGCATGATATGTACATGTATTTAAAAATATGAATACAAATAGGCACTTGCTCACTTTTTATATTGCTGTTAGATACATGAAAAATAAATGCGAAATCTATAACGGAACATGGCACATGATCCTCACCAGTGTTTCATGTAATTTGCGTCATTCTAAACCAGAAAATAATACTCAACTTTATAAATAGCAAATATGGAAATTATCTTTTCATACCCGAGTGTATGTAATACATGCATGAACATTAAAAATATCACCCACATTGAGTTCCAGAATCATGTACATTTAATTAATTACTCACCACCAAACTAACCCCAAATCAATTTCCTGTTGTTACATTGGCCAATTCCAATATCATCTTATTCATATTTTGCAACATATCGACTTTTCATGTAATTTAATTCCAACTTCTGTCAAACACACACTACTCAACATTACCAAAAATCTCTCGAACACATGGGTGACGTAGCTTTCAAGATTTTCCTCCTCCTCGTCTCCCTCCCCCTCGTCACTCTCACCATCGTGGGAAACCTGCTCGTCATTTTGGGCTACATTTTCCACACCCCCCTCCGCACCCCGTCCAACGCCTACCTCGTCTCCCTCGCGTCCGCCGACCTGCTCACCGGCCTGCTCGCCTTTCCCCCCACGATTCACTACTCCTACGTCCAAATGTGGATCTGGGGGCTGCCCACCTGTCGCTTCTGGCTCGTCCTGTGTTTCGCCATGTATTCCATAACAGCCTTCCACCTCGTCGCCATTGCCATCGACCGGTATCGCACCGTGACCGAGGGAATCACCTACATTCAGCGGAAGTCGATGCGGTCAGTGAGGGAGAAGTTGGTGCTGATTTGGACCATCGGTTTGTGGGTGACCATTCCAGTGATTCTCGATTGGGAACACATCTCCAAAGACCCCACGGCAGAGAAGCACTGCGTCTCTAGGAAGATTCCATACTGGGTGGCGCATTATTGTGGGGCCTCGTTCTGGTTTCCGGCTATTTTTATGGGAAGGATTTACTACCAAGTGTACACGGAGATTAAAGGAAAGTTGAGAAATAAAAGGGACACGTTGGCAGGGAAGGAATTTTCCGGTGTGACAGAGTCCTCTTCAGATGGTGGTGAGCAATAATATGTAAATAAGTAGGATGACACCAGCAAGAAATTGAAATTTTTATTATGATTTTCATAACGAATATTGAATGTTTTAAGCGATCGGAAATCCGAAATTGGGCCAGTTTTCTGTATCAACTTCTTTCGAAAATGGACATCAGACTAACCCTATTGCTGACACGGGGAAGGCAAACTTGATCGCTCGAGAGAGGCGAACTGCTCAAACCGTGGTCATAATTTCTGGAGCGTTCATATTTTGTTGGCTACCATGGAATGCACTTTCTCTTTATGACGTCTTGTCATTCGGTGGGGTCAAACCGTCCCCGTATTTGTACATGTTTTCGGCTATTTTCGGCCTGGCTAATTCATGCATTAATCCAATCGTGTATGCAGCAAGGATGCCAGAATTTAGGACAGTATTTAAGAAAATGTTGAGAATAAAGTAAATAAGAATTGAATGCCCGAGCTGTGATTAATAAACGTAATGCAACGTAAAATCGTGGGCTAATTTTATGAAAACAAAAATAATTTATCATTTTTCGTAAAAAAAAACAATTTAGTTAATTGCGAGACATTTTGAAAATCCAGTGTGCAAATTCTTAGCAAAAGGACTTTGTCTGTTTTATTCAATTTATCTGGTGATTGTTGCAGACGTGATAATGATAAATCATGCAGGCTGTGTTAGTGAAATTGTAAATAAGACGTTTACATATATTTTTTATTGAAACTGGTTTTACTACATTGGATAAAACTATTATTCTATGAAAAATATGTGGCCTAGGCGAGCCATGAAAAAACTACGATTTACCAGCCGCAGTTCGGAAAGACAGACCAGCTCCACACAAGGATATTGATGTTTTTTGGGTTTCTTTCAACGATTGTGTGACCGTTGGAAGTGGTCACCAATTCTCCACGGGATGGATAAAATGCTCCAAGAATCTGAAAGAAGATTAACGATATTTATTAAATGTTTTTTAACAGAAAGTAATTTTTGTCATAATTGATTAGCAATGTGATAAAAAAAGGGTTGCGAACTATTTCAAACTGGAAATAGTGAGTTGCAGCTAATTCCAAGTATAAATCGATTCCTGGAAACCCTTAATATATTTATATTTGCTGGTTTGGCATGAATTTTAGCGTTATTTTCTAACCTCTTGATCGCCCGTACGTCCAACGTGGATTGGGTTACCATTCTCGTCATGACCTCCTTCGACAGGTTTAGCAGTTGATAAGGTCGCAGGGTAAATCCAGCAGAGATAGCTCAAAGACGATCCCAAGGTCTAAAAATAGAAGCATTTTTTGCAAATACCACAACTGTGTTATAATTTTAAAATTCAGATTTTAATGCACTAAGGGTGTATAGGTAAGCTAAAATTGTTGCACATTTTAAAATTTAGACCAGCTAAAAAAACGATTGACAGACAGTTTGGCGAAAGCCGATTTGGCGAAAATAAATTTTCGCCAAAGTGGTAAAAAAAATTATGATGTAAGTCCCGAATGGCGAAATTTTTGTCACATATGGCGAAAATTAAAAACTCATAAAAACACATTTGGCGAAATATAAATTTCGCATTTATTCATGTCAAACTTATTATTTACATCCGTAAATCAAAGTTTCAAGGAACACAGAGTATCAATTGCAGCTGCCTCAAAGTCTAATATAATTTGAGAAGGATTATAGTTTTTGACATGGTTTTTTATAAACTCAAATAAAATTTGATAACACTCTTTTGTTTTCCTGGGGAGAAGAGCATACCTAGGTACACCATCGGTACACATTTTCAGTGAGTTCGATAACGTGCTCATTCAAATACATTAAGATATGAAAATAAAGAAAATATGTAAATTATTGTAGTATTATCTTTATGGTTTAACATACTCATAAAATCTTAATTTTCGCCAAATGTGACATTTTTTTCGCCAAAAGGTACTTTGAAACCCGTGTTCTAAAAATGCCGTAAAGTGGGTGAAATTTTGTTTTCGCCAAACGGGATTTTTATTTGGCGAATTTTTTTCGCCAAAAGGGTTTTCGCCAAACTGTCCGACTTCCAAAAAAACACAGCTCCAGCATCGGAGAAGAACTCAAGGTCTGGGAGGCAATTTTTTGCAAATATTGAAACTGTATTATACATAAGTTGAAAAAAGTCAGATTTTCATGTATGTCAGATCTAAACGATTTAAGCACATTTTACATTTTCCACGTCTTTGTGCACGTTAAATTTTATTTTCGTTCAGGGTCTCGTTTTTTTTCGCCCAAAAATATCTTGCGATTCGGGTAAAATAGGTAAATGTTTCAAATTACCTCATAACTGGACACACCAATCTCCTTTGTTCCGACCCCAATGAACGCCTTCTTTTGTCCGCCAACTATCCATCCAGGAATTAAAGAGTTGTTGTAGACAGCACGAGCAACAAAAGTGTCTCTATGCAAACGTCCCGCAGTGTAAGCGAAGGGGCCGATTTTTCCGTCAGACCCTGGGATCCATACAGGATTTAGGCCTAATTCTCTTTTGGGGAAGGGAATTTCATCGTTAATTGGTTGAAATCCTTTGAAGGGAACAGGATTGAAATGAGATTTCAACGGTGTGAGGTGGCCTGAAAATTCAGAATTGCACGACAATATTCTATTAATCTATTATCCCACAATGTAATAAAATTAATTAATTAATCATTTTTTCAGACTAACAAACGATACAGGATATAGCTTAAATCGACCAATTTTTTAAAATACATAACTTCTACTTCCGAGTTAAATAATTATGACATGTATGTAAGCTATGAATTGAGGTTCGACAAATTTAAGTTTCCAACAGCATTATCACCTGATTGTTGCTCCTTTTCCGAATCCAAGTCTTCATCGAATGTGACTGGTCAAATTAAAAAAATAGGTAGTTTTACATACATAGTCGGGAACACTCAAGTGTCAACAGCCGATTGCTAAAAAACTACGCCGCAGAATTAAAATCTGATAAGTGCATTAGATTCGCCATGCGATTTACATTATGATTCACTATGGACTTTGTAATTTTTGAACATCTGGATAAATATACAGGAAATTGAAGAGAAGCGGGCGGCGATAGTTTTTCACAAAAAAAAATCGAAGAAAAACGGTGAATTTTTCATGTGCTGAAAAAGTCAAGGGTGTACTTTAATTTAGCCCAACCGACTATAAAAACATGGGGACCGAATCGACAAAGAACAGTCGAAGAAGAATTTTTTTAAAACCTCCAAGGACCACACCCATCATGAAGCCTCTCAAGCCTGGAATCCGAAGAAATTCACGAAATTCCAACGGAAACCGGGCTCACTGCTGACAATGTCGATGCAAATTATCCAATGAGTGCTCAAATTGAAGCTTAGGCTTAAGGCTTTGAAATGTGGTACTTGCCACATCCTGATCGTACCCCAAAGGAAAACCAGTTTAAATAAGTGCAGGAGTCACCTCAAGTGGTACGCTCCAAAAAAGTGAGCAGGATTCTTTTTACAAATGAGGAGATTTTAACGTCGGAAAAATCTTTTAACAAGCGAATTGTCCTAATCTACGCAAAATCGGTCAGAGACATCCCCCGATATAGATAAAAGGTCAGAAAGTCACATTATCCAGGTTTTTTGATGATTTTGGCAGGTGGGAGCTAATTGGGGTAATTTCTCTACATTTTGCTGAAAATTGGGGGGAGGTGGGGGAATCAAATTTCTTAAAATATGTTTTTGCGTCCGTGGTACATCCCCTAAGTGAGATCCAATTCAATGGAATCGATGGGACCTCTCAGCAGGACTCAGCACGAATTTATAGTGCAAAAAATGACCCAAGCGTAGCTAAAAGAACAAATTCCGGTCTTTATCTCCAATCAGAATTGGTAATCATCCTTGATGGATTTGAACCACCGGAATATGAAAAATGGTCAAAGTTAGGGGCAAAGGTGTGTTCTAAGCCCCGTAGAAGTGCGGAGGCTTGGAAAAAATTTCTGACCCCGGAATGCCACAAAATGTCCCTGGAATCGGTGCGTAATTCCATCGAGGAGTGGTCGTCTCGTCTTTAGCGTGGCATTGACGCAGGAGGAGGAAATTTTTAAGACTACAAATTGTTTTTGAATTGAAATTTATCTGGCTTTTCGGTAAAATAAATCAAAAATTGCTAAGTTGAGACTTACAAAAGTAATAAGGCTATATGTCATTGACACTTGAGTGTTTCCGACTATGTATGCTTGAATTAGATGCATTAGGTCTAGACTTAGTAAAAATAATTCCACTCCAGTTTATATTCACGATGAAAGTATTTACTGTACAGGATGTTGAAAATTCTGATATCCCTTAAAATATTTTGCATGAAAGCAAATAAATTAAGTTATTTATGTAGTTCTCAGAGGATGGCTAAAATTGTAAAACCTTCGCAGAATGAAGTACATAAATTGCAGTTTCAGATTTTCCTTCGAGAAAATTATCTGTATTATTAACTCACCCTGCGTAGCATGAGAGCTATTGAATTCCTCTTGTCCGTCCGTCTGTCTGTGTTTTCACGAGTTTTTTGCATCAATTGATACTAATTAATAAGTCCCAAGACCATTTTAACCATAATTTGTAGCACAATTGGTATCAAAAAATCGTTAACGCAAAATGGTGCGAAATAATTGGAGTAATCGATGTATTCTGCACCAAGGATTATGATTAACTGAAAGTTCTAGTTATCCTTGGCTGACATAACTTAACCTCGAAATCGTGTCAAAATTTAGTCCCAATTTTAACCATTTCGGCTGCACCATTGGTGCAATATTATATCAAATTTCTTTTACATATTCCCCGTTTATTTTGTACCATTGGTGCAAAATTATATAAAAATTATGCATCTATTTTATCCACTTATTTTGCACCTTTGATGCAAAATTATGTGGAACTAATTATTCCAGGGCGAGCTACTTCTAACGTTACTACGGTTTATTTGCCTATGCAACGGTGACGTTTTAAACTAGGAAACAACAAGGTTTATGAAAATTTGATAATTAATTCTCACTTGGCGCATCATTTTTCTTGAGCTTTATCTAAAATAAATACAATATTTTCTTATAGCTATGTAGCAACTTTGTTTGAAGACCATGAAATTTTTTTAGCGGATTTACCCAACAATTGGGCATGTTCGTATCTCTCAAAATTATTTCGCAAACTCATCCTCACCATCGCCAGCTAGAGAAATTAAATAAATCCATGGAAACAATACCGAAATAGGTTTTTTTAGTTGATTTGCGAGATTGGAGAGATTTTCGAACTAATATTTTGTTAATCCCCTCACGATAGAAATATTTTGATCTTCGCAAGTTTGCTAAATGAGTTGAGATGCGAAATAAGACGTTGTCGTGAGTACGCCCAGTATGATCATCTATCTACATAAGTTCTTAATAAATTGTGTGAAGGCAGGAATAATTTATTTATATTCATTTTACGTAATAAACCCAGACACAAATCATTTCAGCTACTTGTGAGGCACTCCTTATACGCAAAATTTCTAGCAAAACGTTTTATTATGTATTATGATCTGGTGATAGAAATGCGATTTTAATTGTTGCAGCTTAGATGAATAATGCAGGTTTTGTTGAATAAATTGTGAATAATTCATATTTCATTGTTTATTGAAACAAGGTGATTTTATTGTGTATATTGGACAAAACTTTTATTCCATGAAAAAATATGTGACAGAAACGAGCCATGAAAAAACTAGATGATTTACCAGCCGCAGTTCGGAAAGACAGACCAGCTCCACACAAGGATGTTGATGTTTTTTGGGTTTCTTTCAACGTTTGTGTGACCGTTGGAAGTGGTCACCAATTCTCCACGAGATGGATAAAATGCTCCAAGAATCTAGAAGAAGAGTAGCGATATTTATTTAATGTTTTTTAACAGAATTTTTGTCCTCAAATGGTACCGTCCAAACACATCTAAAGAAAGTAATTTTTGTCATAATTGATTAGCAATATCATAAAAAAGATTTGCGAACTATTTCAAATTGCAAATAGTGGGTTGCATCAAAATCCAATTATAAATCGATTCATGCAAATCCTTAATATATTAAGATTTACTGGTTTGGCATGAGTTATTTTCTAACCTCTTGATCGCCCGTACGTCCAACGTGGATTGGGTTACCATTCTCGTCATGGCCGCCTTCGACAGGAGTGGAAGCTGGTAAGAACTCAGGCCAGATCCAGCAGAGATAGCTCGGAGAAGATCCCAACGTCTGGAAATTTAAGCGTTTTTTGCAAATATCGAAACTAGATTATAAGTTTAAAATTCAGATTCTCATGTACTAAGGGTGTATGTAAACTACTGTTAATGCACATTTCAAAATTTCAACCTCTTCATGCAAGGTAAATTTTATTTTCGTTCACAGTCTCGTTTTTTTCCTTCAAAAACTATCGATTTTGCGATTTTGTAAAATATTTACATATATTACCTCATAACTGGACACAGCAACCTCCTTTGTTCCTACCCCAATGTACACAGCCTTTTGTCCACTAGATATCTTTCCAGGAATTAAGGAGTTGTTGTAGACAGCACGAGCAACGAAATTGTCCTTATGCAGATATCCCGCAGAGTAAGCGAAATCGGCAATTTCACCGTCAGACCCTTTGACCCATTCTGGATTTTGGCCTAATTTTCTTTTGGGGAAGGGAATTGCATCGGTAATTGGTTGAAATGCTTCGAATAGTTGGTTATTAGCAGGGCTGAGATGAGACTTCGAAGGTGTGAAGCTGCCTAAAAATTCAGCAGTGTGACAAAATTTTGATTATTTATTAGTTTACAATATCGAAAAAATAAATTCATTGATCGTTTTTCCATGCTGGTAAAAATATTAGCTTCCTAAACATAATATATGGTTTATATTGACCAAACTTTTCTGAAATAACTTGCACTGTTTATGTATATTAATTACGACATGTAACCTGTCAATTGAGGCACGACAAAATTTAAGTTCCCAACCGCATATGTAAATATTCGCGTCACCTTCTGATTGTTGCTCCATTTCTGCATCCAAGTCTTCATCGAATGTGACTGGCAAAAAAATCTTAGCTTTATATATGTTTTTGAAACAACCAAAACATATGTGTAGATTTAAAAAATTCAAGTTTAAAAAGAATGAATACTATAAACAAATTCGGAGTTTTAGCCACCTGTATATTTCTCTGCTCGGAAACGTGAAGCTGCAAGAGATGTGTGAACGATGCACAAAATCAGGAAATACGTTGCAGAAAATTGACCCATTTTGTCACGACTACGAGCTATGTATAGGGATTCCAATCCCGGACGATTTTTTAAATCCCGGGAATCGGAAATCCCGGTTTTAGCCGTGACGTGACAAATCCCGGGATTTTTTCCCGAAATTCAAATCTTACCATATAACTTGAAATTTGTCAATTTTGGTGGAAAAAAAGGTACATGGCTATAAAAAGTACCTGGCCTGAGCATATTTCAGTAAGAATTATAGGACTCGACAAAGACATCCAACGAGTATTTCAAAAGTGAAATTAAACTATAAAATATTATGTTCACCTTATAAAAAGAAAAAAATTGCAAAATATTTTAGGCGCCAAAATTTTCCCTGGGGAGTTATGAGACTTTTGGGATTTTAAAGTGATGGCATAGGAACAACTTATTTCAGGAACGGGTTGATGGAATTGCACAAAATTTTTCTCCTACACTCTTTGGATCAATACCTTGGTGCGTTCTTCGAATTGAGTCGAAATTCCAACTTTAAAGCCAAAAATTTTAATTTCGAAAAATTGGTTTTTAGTTGTGACGCAAAAAGTATGGCGAAATGTTCGTCGATTGGATTTACCCCAATTTTTGATATGTTGCAGATCTTTGGTAGTAGATTAATAGTTCAATTACCCTAAACGTCGAAATCGACATGCGTGACCTTTTTCCGGGGGTCGAAAGGTCGCCGACCTTAATAAATGGGATATCGTTGGAAAGGTCTTGACGAGAGGATTATATATACTTTGTGGGGTCTGGGATGACCCTATGCAAGTCTAGAGGGCAAAGAACGAAAATATGCAGTTGTCCAGAATTTAACATAGCAGTGGATAGGGAGCTAACACGGAAGCCCGAATGGGAAAAACTCAAAAATATTCTCCTGGCTCTAGCTTTGCAGGGGTGGTCCCAGACCCCACAAAGTATAAATTTTCGGAATCCTCTCGTCAAGACCTTTCCAACGATATCCCATTTATTTAGGTCGGCGACCTTCTACATCGCGACCTTTCGACCCCCGGAAAAAGGTCACGCATGTCGATTTCGACGTTTAGGGTAATTGAACTATTAATCTACTACCAAAGATCTGCAACATATCAAAAATTGGGGTAAATCCAATCGACGAACATTTCGCCATACTTTTTGCGTCACAACTAAAAACCAATTTTTCGAAATTAAAATTTTTGGCTTTAAAGTTGGAATTTCGACTCAATTCGAAGAACGCACCAAGGTATTGATCCAAAGAGTGTAGGAGAAAAATTTTGTGCAATTCCATCAACCCGTTCCTGAAATAAGTTGTTCCCTATGCCATCACTTTAAAATCCCAAAAGTCTCATAACTCCCCCAGGGAAAATTTTGGCGCCTAAAATATTTTGCAATTTTTTTTCTTTTTATAAGGTGAACATAATAAAATAGTTTAATTTCACTTTTGAAATACTCGTTGGATGTCTTTGTCGAGTCCTATAATTCTTACTCATTTATAATACTTATTTACATACCTAATGATGTGTTTTAGAGATTTGTGCATGCATAAGTATTATAAAGTATGCTACTTTCTGGCCTATACAAAATGCATATAGGATAGCAATACAAATTAGCGATTATAGTGTTTTGCCTGCCATAGTAAATGTACAATTTCGATGTATTGTGATAGCTCAATTTTCGTCTTTTTTTGAGAGAAAAAGTTTGATAATTTCATTCCAGAAAACATAAATAATTAATCAAGGATTCGCTAGCATGTTAACCAGAAATGCACAAACTTACGTTCGTCAGTATTATTTGGCCTAAATTGTGAACCATTATTCACAAACTACAATTGGACATGGGATTTGGCAATTTAAAAATTTCAAGCTCAAATATACGAACTACCTTCAAAAAGCCTTTCATTCAGCCTTAAATTCATCGACTAAAATTCGAAATCACTTCTAACGTGTTAGTATTTTTTGGCATAACTGATTTCAGATTCCATAATTATACCGAAAATAAAGTGTTCTTGTTGCCTCAAGTTAAAATCTGACATCGAAGTTAGAAAATTTTAAGTTCCATCTTGTATTAAAAATTTTGCTTACGAATTAAATACAAAATTTAGATCAATGTGCGAAAAATATGGCTATCAATATTGTTTCAAATTTAAATTTTCGAGTTCAGGATCAATTTTGACTGGTTATGCTCATCGAAACTTTTTCTTACCAATCATATAACCGAAAATTATATAAAACTACTATTAAAATTGTAAATTATAAGCAATTTCACTTCTGATTGACAAATTGAAAAATCCCGAAATCCCGGGATTTCAGTTCTTCAAATCCCGGGATTTCGGGATCCCGTTTCCCGGGAGTTCCCGGGAATAAAATCCCGAAAAATCCCGGGACTGGAACCCCTAGCTATGTATGACTTGTACTTGTTTCTGATCACAATTGAAGTGAGAGACTGATTCTTGTATTTAGGGTGACTGATGGAATATATTTAGTTTAAGTTGCTCTTGCCTGGTCAAATGTTTATTCAGTGACGAAGAGTCATGGGAAAGAAGTCAGGCGAGTCGTACTGTATTTTGGTGCAAGTAAATATCAGTTTACAAAATTTTGTTTGGAATTCATGACTAGAATACATAACCGATTACATTTATGAGGACGACAGCTTCATGACGCATAGACCTTTAATCATGATGGTTTTACGATTTGTTGTTCAAGTGTTGACTTGGATGAGCCAGTTCTACATTAAGGAAAAATAATGCCATTCCAGTAACGGTACCCTCTGGTACAGAATTCGCTCCCTGCGGAAGATAATTTGGGCCGTGGGGACATGTGTAAGCCGCTAGTGCCTACGCCCCTCAAGAAACTTTTCCCTATGCTATTTCAAGCTAAATATTTTTCGAAAAAATCCTACGTTTTAAAAAAGTTAATGTTGGGTATGATAAAACAATAGATACATAGGGCAGCCATGGACATATAACTTATAACTTAAAATTATGACGTATGACTTATTTTATAAGTTATAAGTCATAGAAACACCATAAGGCGACGTATATTTATAATTATAAGTTAAGCTATACGTCATAATTTTTAGTTATAAATAAGTTATATGTCCATGGCTGCCCCATGTATCTAATAATGTAAGTCGTATAAGGTCTATGTTTTTGTACTTCAGTCTTACCAGACCTTGGGGATAAATGCTTTTAATTTCCCCACTGCAAACTATCCATGCTGATGTTGTCCCTATGTGCTGTCCTCACACTTCCGCAGCCACTGTCAGCATTTATGTAAACTTGTTTTGATACCCCTGGACTCATTTTGCATGAAAGCCGATAAATCGCGATACCAGGGTTTGTGGGGATTTTTTTAACCCTTTACTATTTACTAATGACGAAGAGGTCCTATTTACTAAATTGTTGATGTACTATAGAAAACACAAGGTGCAATTTTAGCCCTAAAAAGGCCTTAAATGTATAAATTAGGTTATTTGGTTGCGAGATTGGTGCTTTAAAATTGTCATACTTTCGCATAATATATAAAGTAAATTGCAATTTTTTATTTCCTTGCCAGAAAATTCTGATATACGATTTGCTTGTACAAACGGTGACATTTTTGTGAACAAAGTTAACGAAAATTTTTGCAAGTACGGTCATGTAAGAAATGAAGACAAATAAATTCACAATTAAATTGTAAATAACAAATTTTATTGCTTATTTAAATTGGTTAATTTTTCTACATTGGATAAACCTACATACAAATCTATGAACAAATTGGTAACATAGGCGAGCCATAGTTTTGGTATGAAAAAACTAGACAATTCACCACCAGCAGTTCGGATATGCAGACCAACTCCACACAAGAATTTCGATGTTTTTCAAATTTTTTTCGACGTTCGCGCGACCATTGGAAGTGGTCACCAATTCTCCACGAGATGGATAAAATGCTCCAAGAATCTGGAAGAGCATTAAGGATATTTATTAAATGTTTTTAGCAGCAATTAATTTTAGTCATAATTGATTAGCAATATCAGAAAAATGTTTTCGAACTACCTATTTTAAATTGCAAGTAGTGAATTGCAGCTGATTACAATTATGCATAAATAGTTTTGTGCAAAACATTAATATTTTTGAGTTTCTGCAAGATTTCTGCAGTTGTTTTCTTACCTCTTGATCGCTCGTGCGTCCAACATGGATTGGGTTACCGTTCTCGTCATGGCCGCCTTCAACGGGTTTGGCAGTTGATAAGAAATCAGTCGTGGTCCAGCAGAGATTGCTCGGAGAAGATCCCAAGGTCTGGAATTGGAAGCAATTTTTTGTAAATATCGAAACTAGATTGTAATTTTGAAATTTAGATTTGCATGTACGATACATGTACATACATAGTGCATACGTATGAAAACCTTGAAACTTTATGGGTTTTGATAAAATTTGCAAACTCCCAAAACTCCACTAAAACCGGGGGTAATACCCAACAAAACGGGAAAACATAGAGGCGCATGTGCAAATTTAATTATTGGTGTGGAAACCTAACTTTGCTCATAAGGGGCCGTCCAAAAATTACGTAACGTGACAGGGGGGGGGGCTAAGGCTCCAATAATATCGTGCCTCTGTTCTGTTACTTACACCTGTGGAAGGGAGGAGACGGGGTCCAGAAAATTGGGAAATTTGGGTATGGAAATTTTGGCCTCGGAAATTTGGGTAGCGGTATATTTGGGTATGCAGAATTTTAGGTATAGGAAATTTGGGTATGACAAAAAATTAGCAGGAAGCAGAAATTTCTATACTCAAATTTCCGAGACCCAAATTTACGGGAATCTTTGATTTCAAGCGAGTTATTAACCTCCGGCATGTAGCTCATGTAATTACTTTGCCGTTGTAAACCGTTGCAAACGAAATGTAGCAAAGGGGTGAAACACACGGAATTGTCTGTGGCACGCCCACAACGTCTTTCAGCACTTTCCCGTCATTGTCTCACAGCACCCCATGTCTCGTGTTGTCCTGGTTTTACACCCCACCTGCGTAATTCGAACTCACACGACCGTACGTTTCAATACACACCCCACATGACAAAAGTCATTTTTCGACATTCGACACCGCCCACACGGTCACGGGGTCGTAGCGATTTCTGAAATCCCCGTCCAAAAATACGTCGTTCGAAACGGAAAATTCCTTATTGAACAATTTTCTATTTTGGCGTCGTCTACACGGTTACTTGGTAGTCGCAGGTCAAAATGATAGCGATTTCTGAAATTCCGTCAAAAAATTCGTCTAAAACGGCCAAAACAAAAAATTCTACACCTTTGACCGTTGGGTTCATCACAGTGGCGCCATGACCTTACGACCTACAACGCCCATCTTCGAACTCATCCCGTCCACTAAAATTAGAAACACGTTGGCGAAAACCGCATGTCGAAATACGAATCCGTTCTAAAGTTATAGTGGATACAGACGGACGGACGGGCAAGACATTTCCATAAAAGGGTTTTCACCCCTTGATAATCGGTCCTTTTAAGGGCCACCACATTTTCCGAAGAGCAATTTTTGAAAAGTTGTTTTATTTTTTGTCATACCCAAATTTTTCATACCTAAAATTCTGCATACCCAAATATGCCGCTACCCAAATTTCCGAGACCAAAATTTCTGCAGACCGAAACTACCGATACCCATATTTCCTTATACCCAAATTTCCGAGACCCAAATTTCCATACCCAAATTTCCGGGAATCAGAAAATTGCGATTTTTGAGTTAGGCAATTTATGGACGGTCCCTAATAAATATTTTTAGAGTTTAACTTCAAATTCTCAATGAAATTGTCATGATTTTAATTCATAATGCGATCAGTTTTTCCTCATTTTCCCGTAATTTGAGCACATGGTAATTCTAAAAATTATATATTTACAACAAATTCTCTCAGAAATTAGTGGAGAACAAAAGTATGAAGTTTCAAAATATCAAGTTAAAAAAGTTATTTCAGATATACAGAGTTTTGAATTTTTCTCATTTCCACCTCATTTTAGTGAGTGGTGGAAAGCTAGAAAGGACCCTTTCCTCACTTTACCCTACTGCCTTGGTCAATTTAGTTTTTGCAAATTTCGACCCTGACTTCAATAATTATCCCAACGGAAATATCTCAGTAATGATTTCAAAGAAGTTCCGATGTGTGGTAAAATAAGTGTGTCAAATTACCTCATAACTGGACACACCAATCTCCTTTGTTCCTACCCCAATGTACGCTTGCTCTTGTCCACTAATTATTTTTCCAGGAATTAAGGAGTTGTTGTAGACGGCACGAGCAACGAAATTGTCCTTGTGCAAATATCCTGCATGGTAAGCGAACGTTGCAATTTCGCCGTGAGACCCTCGGACCCATTGTGGATTTAGGCGTAAGTTTCTTCTGGGAAAGGGAACTGCATCAGTAATTGGTTGAAATACTTGGAAGAGTTGATCATTAAACGGGTTGAGACGAGATTTCAAGGATGTGATGCGGCCTAAAAATTCAAAAAATTCACAATCTTGTGAGACAAAATTGTAATTATCCGTTATTCTAAATGCAATACCGACAAATAAATTAAGCTATCGGTTTTAGCATAGTATAAAAAACGCAGGATATTTTTTTCCTAAAACTAATAACATTGCACTAACTTGTACCGTCTAGTTAACCTGTAAATTGAGGTACGATAAAATTTATTTTCCCAACAGCATTATTCGCATCACCTTCTGATTGTTCCTGCTTGTCTGAATCCAAGTCTTCATCGAATGTGACTGGTCAAAAAAGTGTGAAATTTTTTTAGTTTAATATTTTTCAGAAAACTCTTACATAGCTTTAAAAAAATCACGATTAAAAAGAATGAATAGGTATAAACAAATTCGTAGTTTTGGCCACCTGTATATTTCTCTACTCGGAAACGTGAAGCTGCAAGAGATGTGTGAATGATGCACAAAATCAAGAAATACTTTGGAGATAATTGTCCCATTTTGTCACGACTAAAAGAATTCCGAGCTGTAACTTGTACTTGTTTCTGGTGGCACTTGAAGTGAGAGACTGATTCTTGTATTCAGGGTGACTGATGGAATATATTTAGTTCACTTTAGTTTTTATCAAGGTGAAATGTTTATTCAGTGACATAATCATAATGGATATGCTGAGTCAAGGAGAGAAGAAAGTTACGTGATCCTTTACCATTCTAAATTAAGTAAATATCATTTTACAAAAACTGGTTTTAAATTTATCACACAAAAAAGCCATAAAAATCATGAGGACGGCAGTTTCCTGATGCGTAGACAGTGAGTCATGTTAGTGTTTTGTAAAATATGCTGTTAAGAACATTGTAAGTAGTTCAAAGCGATAAGGCTCCAGCACGGATTCCACTCTTTACTTGGATGAGTCAGTTCAACATTTAGGATAAATAATTCCACTCAAGTTCATACGCCGTATGAACTGGAGTGACAGACAGGGTATGAATTATACCCTGTGTGTGTAGTAGAGTATGTAAAAATTGATCCGATACCTCTGATTATATATGAAAGCCAATTTTGTATATATGGCAGGAATTAAATTTGTCAGCGTAAAGCTAGTGGAAAGTTTCAAAATGTACAAAATTTGGATAAACTAGGCCTATGACAAGTACGTAAATACGTAGAAATGTATAACTTCTTTAAAAGTTTACAAATCTATATTTTGAAAATCTAACTATTCATTAAATTATGAGAAGACCCGTTGGTAATACTCCAACTACTTATTTTGACTTGCACATAACGTGTTTAGGCACTGAAGCTGTAAAATAAAAATATTTAGTGGGCATCTTTGTCGAATCCAAAAATTTCACATACATAGCTCACGTGTAACTCGTTTTGTGCATGGATAACTATGGCTTATATCATGTATATATAAGTTATTTGTGACAAGGGGACAGCAGTCATAATCAACTTGTGTTATGTACATTTACGTATATATTTATGAATAAATAAGGCAATAATAATATATTTGCCCCGCTTAAAGAAAATATCATGGAGATTGATCAAAACTATGTAAATAGACCCGATATCTGATAATCTATTAAATCCATCCACATAAGTTAGATTGCTATAACGGGACATTCCAGCTTTTATGCTTATGTATAACCTCTATTTTTGCATACTGTATGTATGTATGAGACAGGCGATGAACTGGAATGTATTATTTTTCCCAAATTTAGAGCTGACTCGATGCAACCCGATAAGATCTGAGACGGCAAAAAAAGCTTAAAATGTGAACCATAAGACAATACATCTTACAATTTGGATAACAAATACATTGTGGAATCAAGCATATCATGCTCCGTCGACGTGCCATTGTATCAAGAAACTCCCGTTATGCTTGTTTCACGTGACTTCACAGACCAAAGTCTGCTGAATAAATATTTTTACAAGAAAACAACTTTAATGTTTGAAGTATAGATATGTGTGTAAGTATGTTTATTGTCACGTAAGACTTACAAATGTGCTTGATCAGGTCTTCGGATTGCACTGGGCACTAATCCTAATCCGAAGTAAGAGACGAACCACTATGGAAAAATAGTGAGAACAAAGGAGCTGAAGATTCTTCCAGAATAAAATTACCACGTGTTTTCCTTCCATCTTTATCTTTACTGTCATTTCTGTAGTTCATTTAAATTTGATTTAGTTCAGTAGCGTCCCTTCCGGCATAGCGAACGACCGTAATATGCAACTTAATGAACTGATAGTACGACTTGTACGACTTAAGAAATCCTTAATTAAGGCATTCACATTTCCTGATTTGTAGAGTAAATGCATCTCTTTTGATAAACACTTCAAAATTTACGCAGATAAGACCAACTCTATTACATATTATTATGTATTATGGAACTGAACTAACAAAAAATTGACATTGTCATAAGTGGATAAAATAATAAATCGGATGTTTTGCATACTCCGGCTTCCTGAGATTTGAGAACTTCAATCTGTAAAAATACAATGGGCGTACTCACGACAAAGTTTTATTTATGTAAAATCCTAACTCATTTTGAAAATTTGCGAAGGTTGAACAATTGTTGTCGAGAGGAGACTCGCAAAATATAATTTCAGGAATTTCCCATGGTCGTACAGAAAAAGTTCTATCGAAAAAGTTACCCTAAGATATTCCTGTACAGTAAAGATTCACATTTTCTGTTATAATCAACGTAAATACTGAATATATATGAGCAATAATTATTACTTTGCATTGCTATTTTTCATAGGTTAGAATTACTCGATTTTATAATATTTCTTGGTAAAGTTAAATATTTGGAAACGTTGAATGTATCTATGCTTATTTAAAACTAACATACAATAATAATAAACATACATATTTATATTTCTGACATATTTCTGACATACTAGAATCCGTCCAATGGTTAAAAAATTAAATATGTAATCATACATATTTAAGCAAAACAGTTATAATAGCGAAGTAATTGAAATAATTTAACACAAAAGAAAAACCCGTGCTATATTTTGACCTTAAAAAATTATAAAATTCGTGCCCCTCAATCAAGTAATAAATAAATATGTAAAATCCCTATTGCATTCACACCGCTTTTGCATGTTAGCTGCGCTTCCTATTAGTAATAAATATTCACTTATGTACATATGAAGGTACATATGAACCCCAATTTTTAACTCCTAAAGACAATGTGCTGCTGGTCACACGCTTATATGACCCACACTCGTGACAAGGCACACGACCAAAGGTGATTCATCCTTTTCTTTATTGTTCCGTTCCATACGTCTTTGTTTTCCCCTCTCAACTAATATGCATACATACCGTTACCAGGTGCAAGCCTCATTTGCGTCATTGCTTAATTGTCGGAGGAGAAAGTCTCCACCTGTCCAACTCAGGAGGGGAGCTTGCGAGGTTGATAATAACAGATCTTGATGCCCTTTGGATATGTGGTAGGGTCCCATGAGTGAACTAAAACCCTGAAGTGGTTTGACTCCATGGCCCCATTTGCGCCCGCCACACCCACTCAAAAATGTCCAAAAAGCGCTTTCACTCCAGTTTTCACTCATTCAAATCCACGCCAAAAATCCAATTTTACTTGGATTTTGAAATTTCTTTCACCATTACACTCCCAGATAGTTGCTTTCTGCAATCCAATATCAAACTCAATTTTTTCGAAATTTTTAGTATTTTTAAAAATTGCAATTCGGAATGAGGATTGTTGTTGTAATCAACAACGCAAATTATGCCTGCGAAATAGTCATCAGCAAAATTGAGTTTGATATTGGATTGAAGAAAGCAACTATCTGGGAGTGTAATGGTGAAAGAAATTTCAAAATCCGAGTAAAATTGGATTTTTGGCGTGGATTTGAGTGAGTGAAAACTGGAGTGAAAGCGTTTTTTGGGCATTTTTGAGTGGGTGTGGCGGGCGCAGATGGGGCCATGGAGTCAAACCACTTCAGGGTTATAGTACACTCATGGGTCCCTACCACATATCCAAAGGGCATCAAGATCTGTTATTATCAACCTCGCAAGCTCCCCTCCTCAGACTCTGATGCCCCTTGGATGTATGTACGAAGTGAGTGTATTTAGGAAATGTGAAGAAGGATTAGATCCAATAGCGCCATTTTGCGCCTACCACACCCACTCAAAAAGATTAAAACCACAATATTCAACGCTCGTCAGAATTCAAGTTTGATGAGATTTTGGCATCAAACCGTTTCCCTGATCCTAGATTAATGGTTGCTTTATCACATAAGACACGATGTTGTATTTTTTAATATTTTTTTTAAATTTTCTGACTGTCTTGGAAAAAAATCAAATTCTTTAAATATATTGAATTTAATATTGAATGACACAAAAACTATCTGGGAGTACAAAAGTACAACGATTATCGGAATACAATCAAAATTGAATTTTTAGTGAAGGTTTCAAGTGGGAAAAGAAGGATTTTGTTTGTGTCTTTATCCTTTTGAGGGGGTGCGGTGGGCGCAAATCGGGCCATAGCATCAAATCCTCCTTTACCTCTCCTACATATTTATGCTCACCCATTACAACACAATGGCATATGCAAATGGCATCACAATCTGAGCTGGACAGGTAGAGACGTTCTCTCCCTTAGGATTTAGTCCCCTTAAAAATGCCACGTCGTCTTACACCAACTAACTCAAGCCAAGCTCGATATTTGATTAGTAGCTTTCTCCCACCCGACCAGCCTTAAATCCTCCCTCACAATTAATTGTAAGTAAGGATAAGTAATTACTAACAATGTCAGGCTTACCAGTGACCCCAACTACAAATAAAGCACAAATGCCACCCCGTACAAAATGTATCATCCCCAAGCGAAAAAAGAGACGGCTTTCTCACATCATAAACCGGTCGAATTATCAAAAATTGCTGTCCACATGTTGGGGAGCGTTCATCATAACTTTCATCTTATCAATTCGCTACTTTTACATCGATCCCGAGTCGAGCTACTTCGTTCGGGCGTCATGGCACCATTTCCGGGACACGGTCTTCATCTACACCGTAATCCCGGTAGTTTTCATGCACCTGTTGTATTACTTCTTCCCCGAAGTTGGTGGTGAGTTGAAATTTCTATTTAATTTTTTTTTACTTGAAATTTTTTATTTGTCGGAAATGTCATGTTTGTGAAGGATTCCGACAGCGAGAACTTGCTGAAAAGGTGATCATTCCGCTCGGACTGAGGGACAAGGTTCGCGTCGTTGATGTAAAATTGACCGTCCGCTGGAATGAGATTATGGATCAAATTGACTACTACCACGACTTAGATGAGCGAATCTTGATCGACTTCCCGACCGTGATGACAAACTTGGTGGAGGAATTGGAACAAGGAATGTATGCTGCGGGAGATGACATGGTGATGATATTAAGATTAATTGACTATTTAATTTTTCGTTTTTATTTGGAGTTTATTAATTTGTATTTACGCAGGCCTCGCCGGATCCTGGAATGCAAGTGTATCACATGGCTGCCCAGCTTTGGGCATCCGCCCCAATTTCTGAGGATATCGAGGTAGCAAGAAAGTGGGGTCAGTTGTTGGACCAGATGCAGAAGTTTTTAGAAAAAGGGCAAATATTTAGTTGAGATTTAATAATATTTACATTCAAATTTCACATTTCGCGTAGGTGATGATCATTTAATATAAAATACATTGGAATTTAAGCTTTGCAGAAGTATATAATTTGAAGAGGGCAGATAGTATAAACTCCACGAATTATCCTTCATTCTCTTTCTCATACGTATATTTGCATACATATGTAAATACATTATCCACACAGACCTAGTTTTGTTTGCAATGTAAGCCAGATTATGTAGCAGAATGTGTGAAGGTTTAATAAAATTAATATTAGTGGAAACGCTAGAATTTGTTCAGCTTGAAAACTAATCCTAAGATCCATTGTATAAATGCGTATTTATTTAGTAAGTTTGATCTACATAAATAATAATTTGGAAACTAGGAACTTATGTATTTGTACTTGTACATAGATCTAAATTGAAGTCTGAAAACAAAAATTTCATTCATTACATAAATTACTGAAATGATCATCTTAAGAATGTGCTGTACTGTAGTTCATATTTTTCGAGTTATTATCTTTCTATGTACATATTTACATATATCTAAACGAATTATTCCACTTGCATGCTTATTCATTTCATACATGGACCATGTAACATGGTTGGTAGACACATTTATGTAAATATATTTTTGTGCATATTATTTTTATTAAATACTAATAAATAAGCATCATCATTTACTTCGTTTGCGTGTTTAAATTTCTACTCTGTCATCTGTATCTGTATTGCATAAATGTATGTAAATTTGTACATATCCTGGGCGCACTCACGTCAAAATCTTATGCCCTATCGAAACTCATGTAGCAAATTTGCAAAGCTAAAAAACTTTGTGTCATGAGGGGATTTGCAAAAATATGAAAACTGTAAAACCAAACAAATTGTGTCCAACTTTGTTTTTTACTTAAATCAGAATTTACTCCGTCCCGTTGTATTTAATAAGTACATATCTATGAGTGTATTTAAATGCATGCATATTTATTAATCGGATGGCATTATTTATAAGTAATACGTACGTACGTATGGAAATTTGTATTTACATACTTACAAAGGAAATGTAAAATCCAATAATGATGAAAATTGTCGTATGTACAATTTTTCCGTTATATGCATTATGACGCCATTTTCATATGACAATGAAACCAAGATGTGCATATATAGGTACACATACGTATTGATGGCAATACTTTTGATCCCATCACAATTTTAATAATGAAGGTATTAAATTAACTTTAAATTGAGGCAATTGCATGACTTGTAAAATGCGCAAGTTTTGTAAAATAAATTTACAAACTTTTACAAACTAAAAAGACGTCTTTGATCTGAGCAATTTGACAAAAATTTATAAGCTAATTTTCCTTCTAAAGGTTTATAAAATTTTGTACAAGTTTCTAAGTTTGCAGAATTTATGGATTTTACGATGTAACCAATTTCCTCATTAATTGTGCCATCGTATTACAGACTAATAAGGGATAAATTGTTGAATTGAAAGAAAAATATTTATAAAATAAATATATATGCATATTTCTACAATTTACTTATCTTGCATGAAAATATGTGTTCGAAGTCGCATCATGAAATAGCCGTGATTAAGACTGATTTTTGAAATTAACTCCTTACAACAACAATTTTTTAAATGATGACCAGATTAAAAATGATTTTATTCGTCTCCAAAAATCACGCCGCTTTATAATGCACAGTTTTCAACCAATAAATATTTTTTATAATTTTGCCAATTGATTAAATAATAATAATAAATAAAGCCAATTATTAACACACTTTCCTTCCAGCGCATCTAGATGACATGTTCTTTTGGTACTACATCGTCATGCACAATCGTCACCGTTGTCTTCGCCATGTTCGGCACCTGTTGAACCAACTTGTCCAAATCAGCCTGGCTCAGATCGTCACTTGGTCGTCTGTCGAATGGCCAACCCATCGGTCGAACGTCCGGATACTCGCGATTACCATCCAGCCGGGAGCAGTGCATGTAAGATGAGGCGCAGAGGTCGGTTGGCTGTCCATTGTAGTCGGCCCCATCCGTCACCAAGGCGACGAGGTCGTACACGCCCAAATTGTCATCGGAGCCCTTGGGAAGAAGAAGATGGTGGGGATACCCGCATGGACACGTCTTTCCTATATTTTCCAGTGAAGACCTGGGTGGAAGTTCAGACGTCAATGTAAACCAGGGATTGGTAACGGTTGAGTCCTGCGACTTTCGGTGAATTGTGTTGACTCCGGGGGTCACTAAAAGGCAATAAAACAATTTTTTAGGAAACTATAGGAGTTTAAAATATGAAATTTCTAAAATTTCACGTACGCATGATCGGGAAGGCATCCATGGTAAAGAAGAGCCGGTATTGTTCGGTCAAATTGAACCTTTTCCGGTCCAGGTTGTATCTCGGAGCCATGTAAAGCCGGACAAAAACGCGGCGATCTTTCGTACCTTGGTTTTCCTGAAGATTATAACAAATACAAATAATAATTGTAACATATTTTTTTCGAAATTATTTAAAATTTCTTACCAATTCAATAGTATAGGTGAACTCTTCATGGTCTAAATGCTTTAGGCAGACCGAGAGATGAAGTTCATGACCGGGTTTATTTGGCTTAATGTCCAGCCCTCCGTTGAGCACCATGTCTTTATTGCGCCACAGAGTTGTCAAGTTATTCACGTGATGATAAGTGTCGCCTTGAACTTGGATGGATTTGGTCACGATGCCCGGAACGACGAAGGGATAATCGCCCTGAAATTCATTCAAATTTTACATGAAATTTAGATTAAAATTTACGAAAAAGTATTTTTATTTATTTTACCTGGGTTAATTCGTACGGCTTCAGAATCTTGTCCTTGTACCGCATAAACATATTGTTCACTTCGTTATGAATCCGATAGAAGTAAATGTCACGAACCGCGGTGGCAACGTCGGATAAAACTCCCCATTCCTGTACAAAATAAAAAAAATCTATTATTTTAAAAATTTCAAATAAAATAAATCACCAGAAAATCGAACTACTGAACTTACATCTCTCTTCTCCTGATCCTTCTCCATTAAGACGCTGCCCAAAATGTCATGTGCGGTGTTGTGCCAGCCCTCATCTCCGTAGAAATAGCTGTTAATTGACCACTCCGACGCTTCGAATAATTCCCCGATCGTGTTAATTCCGTCCGGTTTTGGCATGAGGGGAACCGTGTCGTTGTTACCCTAAAAATTATAAAAAGTATTTTTTTAGAATTAGCAAAGTTATCAAATTATGAATCATTTACATCGAGAACTTTGTCCGTTTGCGTGATTTCGTTGACGCGACGCCATAGAATAATGTGCTTTTCCAGCTTTTTATACAAATCTGCCGGAAGAGAGGTTTTATTCAGGAATGTTGAATTAACCCGATTGACCCAGTTTAAATTGGACACTCCATCCCTCAGGTTGGAGTCAAAGCCCTGCTTTAACTCGTAATTCACGATGGGCTTGATCCCCTCGACGAAGTAGTCCTTGAATCCGTTGGCCATCCGTTCCGAGGCGTAACGCGCCATGAGGTCGTGGTGGAAAAAGTAGAAGAGTTCTCCCCGTCGGGGGATCGGGCTGGGGAGTGGGTGGGGTGAAATTGATGCCAATTCCAATGGTGCGAATTGAGTTGGAGATCTTCTCTGAAGTACCAAAGCCGATTTTCAATCCCATTCGTTTTGGTCGATCCCCATCGCTCGTTCACCTTGACGCAGGTCTGCGGAAATAAAAAAAAATGAGGAAATTAGGCATGAAATAAAATATCGTAAAACGAAATAAGTCATGCAATGGTGTAACATTAAGAGTTGGACATATCGGGTTAAACATAAAATTAGAAGACTCACGCCAAAAAATAATATTGAGACAATTCGCTCAGTCTTTGGTAACTTTGTAAATTCCATAAATTGTGCAAAATCATTTTACAAACTTTTATAAAAGAAAATGATGTCGTAAGTAAATTTAAAAAAATTAAAATTTGCGAATTTCGCGGATTTTACAAAATTACCAAGAACTTGCCTGATTGACTTTCAAAATTAAAACAGCCTTTTAAAATGAATATCTATAATTGTTACTAAATATGCAATTTGTTGATAACATTTTGATCAAAAACTAAGCAAATTTTAACAGGAAGTTTGAAATTCTCTAAAATTTTATTAAAAGATAAGTTGCCAAATTATGCACGTACTTTATTAGATCCTCGCAATGACTGTTCTGCTGGTCTAATTCCTGGCACTTGAACCAAATTAGGCATAAATCTCGAGGGGAACATTTCCACGAGGGGTGGCGTCGGTTCCCCGATCAAGCTGGACCCCGTAGCCACAAGCGCCGAGGGCAGCGCGTTCACAAAAAGTTGGGGATGGATGTCCCCACGTTGCTTGATGTAGTAGAAAAATTCGATCGCTTTACTGTTGGAGGGGTCGGTCGTGTCGATATTTTCAATCAGGATGTCCGCCATTTCGCCCACCGCTTTGGCGTGAGGTCCATGGAAGGAGGCGAACATTTGAGTGGGTCCGATTTTCGACGTGATGCTGTCAAACACGGTTTGGTACTGATCATTCCAGCATTTGTAGAGCGGGTTGATTACCAACACGGGCGTGGGTCTGTACGGCTTCTGGGTGAAGAGATGGTAATATCGCTCTCGGTTTATGTTCGTGATGTCCGCCATAATTTGTCCTGCAAAATTTCAAGAGACAAATATTTAATATTTTATTTATAATAATACTTTTCAATCTAGAATTTGTAATTAGCTTAAATGGAATTTTAGTGGAAAAATGAAGAAAAGTTGACTTTATTTGGCAATATTTCGAATGCTATCTTCCATTCATTATCAATACATGGATAGAAAAATGCGAAAAATTTGTCATAAAGATTTTTGGAAAAATTAGTTTTTGGAAATTCAGAATAATTTTTGTCATACTTATAGCTTTGGATACTGGGGTCAAATTTTGAAGATAAAAATGTAAAGGGATTTTCGAAAAATTTGAAACAGTTATTTTTAATTTTAGAGAATAGTAGATGTGTTTATGAAATGTGCACATACCTCTCATTCCTCCATACTGCTCGAAACAACTGCAAAATAATAGGTCAAAATTAGCTAAAAATCACTTATTCGTGGTATTAGACATGGTTCAATTAAGCATAATTTTATTCTGATTTGGAACTTACTCGAGTTGTGTGGGACCGTGTAGACCTGGAGTTGGACCACGCCCCCCGCCATCACGATAGGGAGGCTGAGCCCCTCGCAAAATGGCCAAGATGGCCGGGACCAGAAATGCGTCTAGAAAACCGTGCATCATGCAGTTTTCAAAATTGATTCCTGTAAAGAAAAGAATAAAATACGGATTGAGAATTAAAACGGTTTAGGAAGGTTAAATCGTCCATTTAAATAAGTAAAAAAAATTACCTAAGAGTCCAGGAATTTATTTCGAAATTATTATTTAAAAAAAATTAAGTTCGACTTGATTAAAAGTCTCAGCTTCAATGTTTCAATTGCGCCTAGCGTCCTTCTTTTTATACCACTGCCAAGGAAGAATTGTGCATCTTGGAGTGATTGAACTTTAATAAATACATTTTATTTATTTATTACAAATTTTGCTTAGTTTCAAAAATAATTAAAACTCACATGCCTGCATCCAGTTCCGACTTGGTTTGGCATCGCGACAATAATTGTATTCATGAGGCAAATTGCAATTAATTGGAAATCTTCGATAAGCAAAAGCACATGTAGACCAAATTTATTGGAAAGGAACGATATCTAAGAAGTATGTATGTACATATCATGATAAAGTGACGATTCTGCAAAATATGTACATTTACAATCTTACTTATTTACCTAAGGACCTTTCGTTAAGTATGTGACTGATTTGAAGAGCAGCATCTCATCCTTTTAATGCTGATTGTAACATGATACGAATTGAAGGGTGAAAATTCTATCATATTCGTGTCCATCACGAAATTCTATCAAATACTTTATGCACGGACCTTAACGTGAAGAAGAAGAGTTACTAATCTTTTTAAGTTGAATGCAGTCTTTTCCGTGGTCTGACCAGATTATGGGAAAGCTCAGCATTATTAAAATCCAGTCGGTGCATGCATAATATCGAGGGAAGAAAAACAACTCCTCTTTTGTACACTTTGCAACAATTTGTCTCAAAAATTGAGCTGCAGAAATATTTTGCATGAAGAAGTCATTGTCCACACTTTTATACTTTGCATATCAGACTTGCCCATAATTAGCTGAGCAGTGAAATCAGAATTTAAATAATTTATGTAAGTAAATATGTAAAACTATGGTTATGCAGTTTTATTAAAATGATTGATTAATTTCTGCCGTGGTGCAATTTCCGTATCATTCAAGTTAAAGTTTAGTGATCTCAGATCACTGATCTCCAAGTGCAAGGGGATTGGATAGCAATAAATAATTACGCTGGACAGGTTACAATTGTAATGCTTAGAGCGTGATGACATTGAAAGAATGATGCGATGCAATTGGATTACTTTGTTATGATTGTATATTTCTGATTTTATATGTATGTACCAAATTTTTATTGTTTTACATATGTATGTATGAGGTATGTATAAATATGTGCGTAAATATTTATATTATTTTAACAATTGTAAACCTACATACATAGATATATACATGCGGAACCGTGGAGCTGGTGGGGCAACGTGGGGGCAAACATTTTGAGAAATAGGTTAATAAGTAAGTAACATTGTTAATTGTGAAGGTGCTAGGAAAATCCGAGATTTCTGTGGGAATTGTACCCAAGCTTCTGCGGCTCCTGACAAACATAAAATATTTTTAAGAATAAGGTTTATATACATCTGTAGATTACATACATGTTTCAAATTTGCACATGTGCATCAACTTGAATTTATAGCTTTTTAAAACTTGCGGTGCAGTCGTGCATCAAATATACATATGTATGCATTTATTTAGGTATGTACATACATATATATTTATATCTAAAATGACATAACATTTTTGTTTCAATGCTATTTTTTAAAACCTAAATATTGTTATTAGAAGACAATTGGTGACCCACTCAGGTTTATTAAATCGACAGGAAAGAATTACACGTGAAATATGTACATGTACATTCAGAAGTATGATATAAGTAATATAATTGACGCAGGATAATGAAGCCATTTTTTGTAAAATTTTATCCACAGGAATTATATTTATGATCCTAGATTACCGCAAGTCTGTGCCGTTAATATTTAATGTACTTATTCTGCAATAAGGAAAGGACGGAAAGCTTTCTATCAGTCTGCAAATGGTGCACGATTGTTGACGTATTTTAGTTTTTAATATAAACTAAATAATTAAAATTAAATATGTGGACATACTTAGTATGTCATACTATGTAGGCACGCAAATATGTTCTTTATCGGGATTTGTAAAATTCATTCACTCTTAATTCTACAATATCCATCCAAACTCAGTTTCTGGGGTAAATTTTACTCTAGTTACTAGTTTGGGCCATTGAAAATTTAAGAAAAAATATAATCATGCATGGGCCAAATAATTATCACTGGATTTTGTAATTATGATGCCAACTACAAAGGGCAATACATTTAAATTTTAATACTCAATCATAGTTACACGTTTCTGGAAAGAAAATTTGAGAACAAAGTGGCTAACGATTAATATCCAACATCTGCAATTTATCAGTATGACAGACAACGTATTTATAATACATTTGGAGAAGCATTTTAAATACATACGTCGGTCAATCCCATGATCCCATAGCAACAAAGTATTTGTTTGTTGCATGAAAAACTTAACGCATGGGTCATCCAGATATGACGGTGCTGTAACTGTGCACAATTTACTTGGCACTTTATGTCCTTCAAGGGAAAGGAGGGCAAATTTCTGAAACCGATTTCATACTAATTCCTTCCATAATATTGGAACAACCCTTAGCAAAATGAAGGAGGAAAAACGTTTTCAAGCTTGTAAGGGCTGTTCTGTATCTACGCTATCATAAAATATACATTATGCATTTCTTTAAAAAATCAATTTTTGTTACATTGATGCGTTAAATAGGATGACGATTTGATGTATTTATGTATGTATGTAGCATAGATTTTTAATCTGACTCTGCCCTTATTCAATGTTTTTACATAAAAATTTCTAAAATAGCATCAATTTCACGACTTCATGCAACATGTAATTTTCGATACTTTAATGTAAAATTAATTTTTCCGCTGCCTCTGAATTTGGGCACTACAAAACCACCGATTAAAAAAAATTGCTACTTAATTTTCGAGAAAATTCCTTGTGAAAATATGACAAATGACTTGAATTGGCAATGTAATTCATTCATATCGACAGTTTTGCAGGTTAAAAATTAACTTTAGCAGTATCAAACTAGCATTCTGAAAATGCAAGAAATTGATCTCACTTTAGAAATTTGCATTTAAAGGCATTGAATAATGGTAGAGTAAGATAAAAAAAAATCTATGGCAAAGTTATTCCATGAAGGGTGTGGTCCAAACCTAAAACCGACAGACCAAAATTCTTAACTTTATTAATGAACAGCCCCTGACATATGCCGCATATTTTCATTCAAAGTTTAAACAACTTTGAGCATGCAGGCAATTTCTCTCATCTGTTTTGTGAGTCATTCAAAATAAAAATAAAATAAATGCCGTTGTATCTTCAAAGTTTATTAATTTGTGTTTCTAATTTTAATTATCCGGTTGAACCCTTAATTCTACCGGATGATTGACCAGTTACCCATAATTAAGTTGGAGAATCAAAGGTATTCTTTATATAGTGTACTAAATTTAATTTAGTAAATTATGAATAATTAAAAAACACCGAATTCTTACATGGATTATAAATAATTGTTTACATTTTACAAATTTATTTAGACAAAATTGTTTCTATAAAACAACAATGCACAATAATAAGTTATCATTAAATTGATAAGGACTAATCAAGCGAGTAAGTTTTTGATAAACCTAATACATTTGAATCAATTAATCCATTGTAAATTAAATTGTGTGTCCTTCATTTAATGATTTAGACTAAGAAGACTATAATCGACATGTCTTCAAAATCGACATCCCGGCGACGTCGCCATTCCTCCTCGTCCTCCACGTCGTCAACTTCAGAGGTTTCAAACATTTTAGAATGTTGCATCTGCCTTGATATGTGCTCAGTACCGATCCTTCAATGTGTAAATGGCCACAATATTTGCGCATCGCACGTCCCCCGACTCCTTTCTTGTCCGACGTGTCGAACCTCGTACTTTTCAGGAACGGGAAGGAACCGATTGGCAGAGAAGTTGGTGGAGCAGAAGAACAAGAAACGAAAACTGACCCCTACCAATCAAGACCCCCCTGTGGATCCCGACTTAATCTTGGCATCCCTCCGAAACCACGAATATACAAACCAAAATACGTTGCAATACAGCGAAGACGAAATCGACTACTATTCTCAGATTGCAGATTTCGATAGTGGAGACGATTCAGACGTCTATGTCTCCGACGATGGTACCGTCGACACAAACCGGATGCTCCAAGCGGATTCTAGTGATGATAGCAATGACGCTGATTATGGTGAATAACAGTACTAATTAGTAATTTCCGTATTAGGTTTCATTAAATTATTCTGCAATTAATTAACCAGGCCCAGACTTTGCTAATAACTTTAGTCCAGACAGTAACGTTGGTCAGAGGAATCCCAGTTCCGTGCATGACAACCAAAACGATGATGGGTCGGACACGACTGATGCCTATTGGGACGTTGGACCTTGGTAGTTGGCAGTAATTAATTAATTGTGTGTATTTATCCCATGCATTAATCAACCAATGATATTTTTCAGGAATGTTAGCCAGGACCTGGGCCCCAGTGATGACGATAGTGATGATTGCCCTATAACCTATGTAAATCGTAGGGCTCGACCTATTCCAGACGATAGTGACGACGACGACGACGGAGCCCAAGAAGAAGAACAGGACCACGACGATGCTGCAAATACGAATTCTAATTCCGACCAAGAACTTGATAACAACGATGAAAATAACTATGACGACGACGACAGAGTTACTTACGACCAGGATAATATCAATCATTTCGAAGGGGAAGAATCAGATCAGAGTGATGATGACCAGAGTGGTGGAGAGGTAAATAATGACACGGATATTAGTGTCCTTTCTGATGGCGACAGCGATGCAAATGATGATGAGGAAGACTTTATCACGGAGGAAAATGATCGCGTCGATGCGTCGGATGAAAATGATGATATGTACGGCAACAATGATACAGATGACTATGATGAATGGGTGTGAAAAGTTGGAAAAACCCAGACACAACATTGTTCACATGGAGTATTGAATGGGAAATTAGTACATAATTAATCTATTGGTTGAATGGATTCCAAATTTTATGTAATTCCGGACATTTCTATGCATACATACATATGTACGTACATACCAGGCCAATGGCAAATTTGAGGTGCATAAATATGTATGTACATTAATTAATCAAACTTATCATTTCTGGAAAATATTTAATTGTATGTAGATCAATATCAACAATGTATTTCCCTCGTCATGTTAAATGTTATAAAATTATATACATAATCATCAGCTTCTGCCTTGCAAATTAAGACTGACTTCTTGTTGTCAATCCACCAGTAATTATTTTGTAATAAAATAAAATCTACGGACAAATTTTCTGAAAATTAATTAACCAATTTTTTCCTATTTTATTTTCGTAATTTGGTCACTAAACATGTACTTACATATATATGAGCGTATTTAGTTGTATTTACAAACTCATGAAACCCTCCTTTAATTTCATATAAACATACATTTTTCTAACAGTTTGAAATATTTACCAAAATTACTATAATAAATGTGCAAAAATTTTATATATTTATTTCAGTATTCGTTTAAACTTTGCAGTTACAAATAATTTGCATCCCAAAAAAATTCTCTTCAAGCAAACTTAAACCCCTTGTACCCCTCCGCCTTGCAGTCCTCTAACGCTTTTAAGTAGACGGGAATACCCCCCGCAAAATTCAGCGGTTCCTTCTTCTTCCCCGGAATATTGGCCCCTTGATACCACGAATCTGCTTTGCAAAATAGGCTAATGTCCCAAATCTGCTTAACTTGCCCGACCCAAGCGTCCTCAGCGTCCTTATCTGCTTCCACCCTCGTCCTCCCATCCGCCCTCATGCTCACCATCAATTCAGTTATCCACCCCATCTGAACCTCAATGCAACTCGGCCCGTTCGAAAATGCTGTCGGAGCTTGAGGTCCATACATAAAATACATGTTTGGAAATCCGTGGAGGGCCAGTCCAAAAAAAGTGGACGTCCCCTCAGCCCACTTTTCATTGAGGGAAAGTCCCACCCCATTTTTAATCGAGATGTCCAACATTCCTCCCGTGTGAGCATCAAATCCTGTCGCGAGCACGATAACGTCCGCTTCAATGTGCCCCCCGTCCTCAGTTTTTATTCCGGTCGGGGTAATTTCAACGATGGGCGACTCCTTAACGTTGATGATGTCGACGTTGTCTTGATTGCAAACTTCGTAGTAAGATTGCTCCAGAGAAGGCCGTTTCGTTCCGAATGGGTGTGGTTGCACGAGGGGAGCGAGTAAGTCTCGTTTTGTCTCGCTTGTTATTCTTCCTCTCACTTTTTCAGCCCAGAACGCATAGACTTCGTCGTTGGCTTTCTGGTCGAAGAATATTTCGACAAAATTCGCCAACCAGAAGTTGAATCCACCAAGTTGAAAGCGATTCTCGTACAATTCCCTTCTTTCTTCGGGGGTCGTGTAGTCAAACTTTTTGGGATAAAGTCAATGTGCATCCCGCTAAACGTTGTGCGCATCCTTTTAAGCAAGTCGCCATACTGGGACCTTTGTGCGAAGAGAGCATCGCGGGATTTAGTCTGTTGCATTGGCAATGCGAGGTTTGGGGTGCGCTGATATACGGTGAGATGATCAACGATGGGTCCGACCTCTTGAATAATTTGTACCCCAGAGGCACCCGTCCCCACGACGGAGACATGTTTTCCCTTGAAATCAACGGGGTTTTCAGGCCAGTCGGCTGAGTGGTAGATTTGTCCTTTAAATTTGTCCAGCCCGGGAAAATTCGGAGTATACTTTCGAGCGGAAAATCCTATACATAAAATCAAATGGGTTGCCAGAGTTGTATTTCCGGTAGATGTTTTAACTTCCCAGAGATGGCGAGATTCGTCAAAGGTGGCCGAAACGACGTGGGAGTTGAACTCGATGTCCTTCTTCAAATCAAGGGTTTCCACAAAATGATGGAAATACGATAAAATTTCGTCTCTTTTTGGGAAGCGTTCACTCCACTCGAAACTTGACCAGACTTTTTCGACGGGAAGTTGATACATTGGCATGTCGCTGTCCACTCTGGCTCCCGGATAGCGGTTCCAATACCACGTTCCCCCCACGTCGGGACCCATTTCTAAGATTTTCGTGGAAAAACCGAGCTCCTTCAGTTTCCATAGTGTGTGCAGACCGGCAAACCCTGCGCCAATGATTACGCTGTCCAAAACCGGAAGTGGCACCATCGTTACACGGTTTGATAAAAATATTCTGTAAAAAACATAAATAGTTGTGATCATAATTTTTGAGATATCGATTTTTTCTAGGATGTTCAAGAAAGGTGTTGAAACCTAAGCTAAAATCCCAGAATATGAAAATGCCTCGAACTTGTGATAATTGTGACTAGAGTTTCATTTTTATTGATATTTTTGGTAATTTTTCGCACTATACATTACTTTGATACACAAATTAATTAAGATCCCTCTTTTTCTATACAACTTGCATTAAAATTGTTCTTACATTTCATACAGTGCAGTTGGATGGATAAGTAGTCGGATTTATCCGTTTGGCAGAGTGTGGTACGTGGCTAAATCAAGACGAGACTGAACTCGAATATCTTTGAAGTGGGGGTCTAATACTTCAGAGAACACTGTCAAAGGGACAAATGGATAAAATATTTATTCAGCTAATGTGTTATTTTTATACTTATACACTTTACTTAAAATCTACACCGTGTTTTATATGTACATGCATAAATATTCTTGACCATTTATGTGGATAAGTTGAGACCAAGTCGTTTGTAAATAAGTATAAATATGTATGTATATGTTGTAGATATGCATGTAGGTATACATAAGCGTCCACAGAACAACGTATGTATGTACCACTACATATGTACATATGTATATGTGCATATTTACGTATATACATACTTATACGTAAATACACATACATACATATCTCCTGTAGATAATCTACTTATGTATGTATGTATGTATGTATGTATATATTGTTTATGAACTCAATGCGGGTTCGGTGTGTGACCGGCATGGGCAAGTTATGCATGCTGTAGTAATAACATTCTTAATACCACAATTAATGTTTATACATTCTTATATTGTCATTTTTATATTGTAATCTGTAAATCGTGAAAAAGTGTCCCTGGTTACATCGTTAAGAAACCAGTTTCTTTTTAGAGCACTTTTTATCCTTACCTCGACGCCAAGATATCCTGTCTTCATCTCCAGCATTGACCAGTACTTACATAGATATTGGCACTTAGACAATTAAGTGATCACTTTTAACTTATTTAAGAAGGTTACTTTCTGTGTACGTGCACCAATTGAATTCGTAAAAATGGTGAAGGCGAACTGCACATGGGTACATATATTCATTCTTACAAAATTTAGTAAAAAAAAGTTACTGAATTATTCATGTAGGGCTAACTTGGTAAACAAAATGATAGATATAATTGAGTTGTTTTGAGATCTTGAGTGACAAATCCACTTATTTCGGTACTTAAGCACACAAAAAAAACGTAACAGGATTCCGCCGGCAAGATTACCGGCACCAGTTCATAGCTCAAGAATCCCTGAATCAATTTTAAAAATTCAGCACAAACGAGAGACACAAAGCTTGTATTCACATTATCTTATTATCTTATCTTGTTTTTTATTACCTTGTATTTTTGCTAAATATTCTAAAACATTTAATTGGGAGATCTTGCGAGATAAAAATTTTATTATGTACAGCCAGTTGGTAGAATTGATTATTCAGGCACGGAAAATTTTGAAGTTGCATTAAATACATTGTCACTTCCACGGCCGTCAACAATTTTACGATTGTCTAGTCTTTCCAAACTAATCTTGCCTTATCATTTGTAAACTTGAACCATTGCCTTGAGCGAGGTATGTATGGACTTTTGTGTGTATAAGATGCACATAATTAGACAGCAAATCCTGACACAGATCCTGTCATTAATGATTGATATGCTTTTGCAAATTCCAAGTTGGACATAACGCAAGCATACTATTGGTAAAAGTATTTCTAAATAAATACTTATGTATTTGCACATATATGCATACAGCTATGTACTACATAGATGTGCTGTATGTACATACATAGCTATGTATGAATGTACATATGGGTAGAAATCCAATCTGAATTTAATATATCTGGCTTCAGAGAGAGAGAAAGAGGAAATTAACACATATGCACAAATGTACATAAGATACTTACAGAAATGCAAATGCATGTATTTAGTTACATATGCCAGTAAAGTGCTAAATACGAACATTCTCATATTTTTTTATTAGTAAATATAATTGGATGGGTACGAATGACATGCATGCATTGTTTGTAAATATAAGAAGCTGTATGAGAGTGAGAGAATATCTTGATTAGGTGGATACAGAAACTGTCAAAATCGGTCACATATATGTTTAATGATTCCGTCTTTTTGATTCACACTCGCATAAATACCACGGCTTTGTGTCAACATAAATGCTAACATCTTAGCAGAAATATGAAATTATGAGAAAGACCGTGAATTCATATATATGAATTGATTATAAAAGTATTCATCATAACATAAGGTCTCATCTTAAAACCAAGGACTTTATTGACTATCCCTCCCACCTTGTAAAATTTGCGTGCATAATATACAGATATTTTGCATTGTGTACCCCAAATTATGTTCATGCATACATATGTACACACATGTACATATTTACTTTCCCCAGTTCATAAGAAATCCGTTGTACAATTATGATAATTATTTATTCTTCTTGAACTTTTGCCCAATTGCGAAATTTGTAGAAGAGTAGGATTACGTGGAATAATCTAACGTTATGTACAAAATACAGATAATTATACAAATTATATCTGTGTATCCAGTTCTGCCATTTCGATCAATTAGTTTATGAAACCCCACGTAGCAATCTGACGCCAATCTGGTGACAACCTTTGTCAGAGCGATATTTGTTTATTTCTTAATTCACAAATGAAATCAAACCATTACATAAAACTGTTTAATAATTAATTAATTTTAAAGTTAACCACAAACATAAATGTCAGTTTACATCTGCAAAACAAGTTAATCCCATCCGAAAATAGAAGCTCACACTTATAATGCATCGGAAAATTTATATTTACTCAATCATTTCCATATTAACACCTGCTTCAATAAGCTCACCAATATGTCGTATCGAAAAAGTCTCCTGGATAAGTTCAGTTTCATTCCTAGCCCAAAAGGTCTCATTTTATTCATCAACAGTTACCTGGGAAGACTCATCGTCACCATGTCTTGCCCATATTTTGGTATCCCTCAACCAAAAATACATCACACTTACTTCACACCAAGCAGATTTCAAAATTCCAAGGAAATTTACCAAAAAATCTGCAGTGCATCACATAGTGATTTTCTCGTCTCAATTATGGCTCAAAAAGTTCCTATCTCATATGACCCGATACTCAACACTCATCGTAACATTGGACACTCTCTTATCCATAAATCTGTCTCGAAATTCTCCATCTGACGTATCCATCTATGGCGATCTTCGCTTTGTCCTCGAATTAAATTGGAACAACGAACAGCACTTTACTTTAAATTATCTTTGTCGAAATTGTCACCTCTCCAAATTTTATACCCCACTTTGGAAACCTTATCAAAATTCGCAACATTTTTATAAAAATCTCGACAATTTTCAAGGCCAGGAATTCCTCACGTGGGACATTGAATTAACCGGGCAACCCAACACTTTCTACCTGGTCAAATATCAATTCGCCCAAAGGGACGCTAATCGTTTCATATTCCCCCAGTTGCTAGCGCTATTCCACTTCTCGGAGAAAGTTAACGGGACATTTCACTCCTGTCCAGGACATCCTTTATCACCCACAGTTAAACCAACACCAAACTGTTTGGCGGGGAAGATGAATTTCTTCTTTAGTACGAGCGATTATGATGAATCGTTTAGAAATAACCATCACCGATTTTACACCGATGGTAGATTTGAAATTTCCTTCCTTACGTACAACTATTTGCACCCGGGAAGTTTTGTATTTACCGCGTTAATAGGGCCCATCGGGTTTGAACCTTTACTAGTCACGATCGCCCTTCTACTTGGAATTTCGACATTGTGCCACCTCTTATTTGCACATGAGAAGCTATCCCACCCAAATTTCGTCCTCCTTTTTGCAAGTCCACTTCTCAGCCAGGAAGTAAAAATGAACTCTGCTCTAAATACTCCCGCCAGTCTTAAGGGTTTCGCACTAAAGTTCGTTTTCACAACTTGGCTCGTGTATTGCCTAATTGTCACAGAAATTTACCGGGGTAACGTGTACAAATATTTATTCCTCCCCTCGTACACCGCACCCCCACAAAATTTCGACCAGCTGATTAATTCCTTGGACTATTCGGTAACCACGACGCCTGCCAAGTTCAAATCCATCACTTCTCCGGGCTCTGAGCACGCCGCAATTTTTGCCAGCATGCTGGAAAAGTTTGAGCCGAAATCCTTTATCATGTGCTGCCCTGGGCGTACGTCGGACATTCTCGACTTATTCGTAAACCTGACCACAAAACCCGTCGCGTTTGTCGGGGCGACGGAGTACGTCCAAATATTGGAAGTTCTTTTCCGCCAAGTCGTTGGTCCGGGGAGTTCCAGCACATCGTCGGACGTCGTCATGGGGAACAAGGTTTGGATCTTGTACGATCGACCGGGGCTGGTCGAAGCATCCGATGTCTTTAAGGGTTTGGTTGTCTCCGGAATTTTGGAGAGGTCGAGGAAGCGTTTGTACGGGACGTGGGCCGAGATTTATGTGAGAATGTCGTTTCACTGGTCGGCCACGATGCAACGTTTTTCTGAAATGTTTGGGTCCGGAAGGGGAAGCGAGCGTGGAGATAGGCGGGATGTGCACGTGAAGGTGTTAAGGTTCAGGAATGTGCAAGGATTCTTTATCATTTTATTGATTGGGGTAGGGTTCAGTTTGGGAGTGTTTATAGGTGAGATTTTATGGGGGAAGGGGAGAAATAGGGTGGTTCGGTTTAATCAATCGTTATAACTTTGACCTCCCTGAGGAACACGCTAATTAAAGCTTAAAGGCTTTGAGTATGATAAGTTTTGAGGGCAATTATCTGCCACGAACCACGAATTACTAAGCGAACAACGATCGACCATTACATAGATAAATATAATTGTAGAAATTGTAAGTTAAAATTCTTATGATAAAGAATTCATTTCTCAATTTTTTGAAAAATTGTAATTAGGGTGACCATATTTGTCCTGACTAAAACCGGGACATTTTTGGCCAAAAAAATTTTCCATAATATCTAGTGCTTGGCGAAAAAATTTTTCCATAATATCTAGTGCTTGGCGAAAAAATTTTCCATAATATCTAGTGCTTGGCGATCCAGAATTTTGAGAATGAGCCAGGAAAGGAAATTAAGTAAATATTAAATGCCTGTTACTAGTATTTATGTACTAAAATATACTTTTTCATCAATATTTTGGCGAAAAAGTGAAATAATTAAATTTTTCCCGACGATTTAAAAAACCGGGACACTTTATCAAAACCGGGACATTTTCGGGACGCCGGGACAGGGTTTGAAAAGCGGGACATGTCCAGGCTAAACCGGGACGGATGGTCACCCTAATTGTAATCATGTTAGTTCGTCATTGTGTACTAATTTTCAATTTTGAATATGGCATTTCATGCACATGGTACAGTATAAGGAAAAACATTGTGACCCAAATTTTTGAAAATAACAAGTTCATACCAAATGTTTTTTTTTCTAAAATTGTTTTTATAACAAAAACTTGTTTATTTGCAACCAATAAATTTTTAGCTGCATGTCATCGATCATGATAACTTCACATTTAAAAACGTATTCACATTTATATTTAACCAGCAACAATATTTCGAGCAAAATAAATTATTAATTTACACGACAGCCTTAAAGTCTAACTTTACTCGGAGACAACTCCTCGCTATGGGGCCAAAGGGTCCGTGATTTTCCAAGGTCTCACACTTACTACCCACCCCGGTAATTCTGTACCCGTTGACGACGTCCTCCTCCATCGTGACCTCGGGTACTCCTGCCCAGTCGTAGCTCACCTCATTAGCAAACTCAGACCCTCGGATGTCGAAACTGGCCACGAGCCTTTTCTCCCCCCGCTTTTCCAGCTCTAAATTGTGACCAAGTCTGCATTTCTTGAAAACCTGAGAAAAATTGTGATTTACTGAACAATTGAGTATTTAATTATCCAAGATTGACCTTACGTCTCCATTTTCCCCGATCAGTTTCCTCCGACAGAGTTGCCCACCGATATAATCCGTCGCTGCAGGTTCGTGATCCATTGCGGGGTACCAAATCGACAAGTATGGCGTAATGCGATCGAGTTTCACGTAGCGTTGCTTACAACCTGAAAGCATAAAAAAGTGACGGATTGAAATTCAAAATTTTAGTTATTTTCGTCACAGTTTTGTAATTTATTTTTAAGATTATTTAACCATTTTTGATTCAATTTTTTAACTGTAAGGCTTGCATTTAGATATTTGGTTTGATTAAACTCTGATTTTAAATATACAAAATTCAATTCGAAAGTCCAGCTATGTTTACAATTTTGTCGCACAAATTATTAATTTTTCAAGTTATACATATGACAAACCTTGCGAGCTTCCGTAGGCAAGTCTCGGATCATTCCATGATAACGAGTAAGTAACTTGGACCGGAAGTGTATCCATTACACTGATATCCCAACCTTTCTCAACCTTAACGCTGACAAATACTGACACGTGCGTTGTCGTGAAATTTGCCTCCGTTGGATACATATCAGAATCATAGAAGAAATCCGAAATGGAATTCCTACAGTTAGCGTCGAGCTGGAGTGTCTTCGGTGCGGCATAAGCCGTATAAGCATTGGTAGCACTTATCATTAACACGGAGATCATGAGAATAGTGGCGAAAATGAATTTAATCGACATGCTTATTTGTTTAGTGTCAAATCAGTTTTTGATAAAAACCTGTGTTAAAAAATTACGAAATTTGTACTGCTGCTAACATGTGTGGACTTGAGGAACTTGGAAACGACTGTGACCAGTGGGATACACATTCCTTGTTAGACAGGATTTGTGGTGATGGTACATTTCTTTAAAGAAATATGAAGTAAATACATTTTTTGTACAAATGAATGTCTTTAGCTTGTCATACCTTGATAAAAATAACAACTCTCCATGCCCATTTCTTGGAAGGTCCATCTCCCATTTCTTGCCCAAGTATAAGGTGAACGTACTTACCTACGTGTATATCGCATTTTTCTATAACATTTACATGCATATTTATAGAATAAAATTCATATGAGAAGGGAATTAAGAGAATTAAAGCATGTAGACTTGTCTGGAAAATCGTTTCCGCTGTTTATGAATTATTTCGTTTCTTATTATGGGTTCTTGAATTTCATATAAATTACGGATAATGTATAACCTTTTCATGTAGAGAAACTTCCCATTTTGCCTCTCCAGGCACACATACATATTGAAAATTTGAAGCTACCAACGTTTTTGAAAGAATTTTTGAAAGTTCAAAGTTAAACATGCACACATACATACATACATGCATACGTTGAAAAAGGTAGAAAAGGAGGAAGTAAAGTATAAAAAAGAATAAGAAGTTTTACCAAATTTTGCCTTCAATACAGATAATTAGTTTAATTATCTTAAAACTACTACCTGGTTAGTTCATGGAGTTCCGTGTTCACTTGGATATCGCAAAAGTTAGAAATGGGATAATTCATAATAATTCACAAGCTCTCATTATTGCGATTACTAATTTTGCAGTGCAATTATTGTGTAAAACGAGACATGTTGTGTGAAAACTCTGGTATGTTATTAATCGTGAACTGCTACTGCCAAAATGTAGATAATCTTCCCTGCAGATACTTCGTAATTGGACTATTAGCAACTTTTCGCTGAGCTTTTACTAGCATAGCAAAGAATAAACCTTTACCCGTTATAAAAACACCGAAATGTTCATCACCCGATAATTGCATGACATGCACAATAAAGATAAGAATGTACAGAAAGGAACCAATTACCAGTGGCTTGGAATATTATCAATACATAAAATAAACCGTTTCCTTATTTCCATTTTTTTTAGGAAAAACTAATATTTCGGTAATTCGAAATTTGAATAACATACACATGCACTTGCTAAATTAAATTGTTCCATAAGTACATTACATATAAAGAAGTAAAATCACTTTCCGTTAAAAAATGTGGTTTCAATTGGCACCCACAGAGGCTAAAAACCTGACCCTAATCAATAAATCTCTTCAGCAATCATTTTTGCTCACTGTGACCATTTTGCTATCATTTGTCTCACCAATATCCTCAGCATTTTCCAACATTACACCGATATCATCGACATTGTGGAATCAAAATTCACACTCATTCCTTGCAAGACATCTTGATTCTAGCTCATTTCTAATAACATTGGAAAATTCTCACTTTTCCCACGACAAGGAACTCCTCATAATCAACATTATCAACAAAGTCTACAAACCTGTGACTCTCTACACTTATTCAAACCTTGGAAAATTTCAGAATTTCTCCTCGGCCCCAATCTGTAATAAATACAGCCAGCTTTTGAGGAACCAAAATATTATACTTTTCTCCACAAAAGAATGGCTACGAGATACAATTCGAAACATTTCATCGAGCAATCCCCTCTTCAAAATCGCTAAACTTCTCGCCGTTAATCTTAACCTCAACAGTTCCAAGTCTCCAACTGATCCAACAATCTACTCGGACATCAGATACGTCACTGAAATCAATTTCCTCCAAAAAACCGCTTTCTTTCTCTGTCGTTCATGTACTCCCACGTTTTATAAAGCCACGTGGGAACGACGATTTCGACAAAATCGGCATTTCACCGACTTCAAGAAACATCTCCTCCTTGCTTGGAATTCTGAACAGACAATCTCAATCCCAAACACGTTTCCCACTGTGCAGAAGCTGTTTCAAGATCGCTCCCTCCGTCGTTTCATGTCACCCCAGCTGCTAGCTTTGTTCCATCTCGCGGAAAATTTGAACGCTACATTTATCAGTTGTCCTGGTCAACCCTTGTTCACCTCGATCAATTCGCCTAACAAGAAAGAATGCGATTCTTCCGTTACAGACAAAACAACGAGTTTCTTCTTCGGTACGAATGACTATCTGTATCCGGACACAGTTCAAGGCTCGTCAACCCTTCTGAGGCATCACGTTTCGCAACGATTCTACACAGATGACCAATTTGAGATTGGTTTCCTCACCTACAATTTTCTACAACCAACCCAGCACGCTTTAGCCCTTCTTGTGAATCCTATTGGGATCAAGTGTGTTCTTATAACGGTCCTTTTAATCTTAATTTTGTCGATATTCTGCCATTTCGTTTACCCTCCTAACCACAATTCTCTCCCGCTGTCTCACTTTCCCCTAATATTTTTACAAACACTGTTCGCCCAGCAGGATCACGCCGTTTACAAGAGGTACAAATTTGACCGAAATTTCATTCTAACCTCTTGGATTCTGTATAGTTTCATACTAACGGAAACGTATCGAGGAAATGTGTACAAGTTTCTCTTTTCCCCAACGTTTGTAGTACCTCCAGCAAATTTTGCACGATTAGTGGAATCCCCCGAATACAGTAGTGTTACAGCATCTGACGACTTTAAATCTATACTTTTTTCGAAATCAGAGTACTCCTCACTATTTAACCGGACCCACAACAAGTTTTCGTACGGATCCCTTCAACCTGTCTCGCTCGGTCTTGGGGAAGGTTTGATTTCCTTGTTGAAAAACATGACAACGACGCCAACTGCTTTTATCGCCGCGAAAGAATATATTCAAATCTGTCAAGAGTTTTTCAATCTGGCGGGCAAAGGGTTGAACGAATTTACAATGTCGTCCGACGTAATAAGAGGGAAAAAGGTGTGGATCTTGTATGACCAGCCGGGCGTTGAAGAATCGAGGGAAGTGTTTAATCGTCTGTTGGTATCAGGGTTGTTGACCAGAGCAAAAGATCAGTTGAGTGGATCCTGGGCAAAAGCGTTTCTGAAAATTATTGTTAACGCGTCGGAAACGTTGCAGAAGTTTGTGGCGGGTAAAAATCATCAGAATGGTAATAGTCATGAGAAGATTCAAGTTCTTCGAATGGAACACGTGCACGGATTTTTTATCCTGCTTGGAATTGGAGCAGGAATAAGTTTCGTGGTGTTTGTACTTGAGAAGGTGACCAGTACTAGAATTCGACCGGGAAGAGTTGTTCCTTTTAGAAGGCCAATCTCCAGGAGTAAGATACCCCTGATCGTAATCGACTTTATAAATTAGACTTTTGCAAAAAAATTGCAGGAATATTTGTATGTTAAAAAAGCTCATTACTAACTTTGTATGCAATTTTCACATTGAAATTATGGTACATACAGATTATATCCTCATTGGCTTTAGCAGCTCTCTCCAGACTTACTACGTATTTACATAAAGTCACTAATAATTCTTTTGTGCTAACTTAAGTAATTTGTATGATATGCATGATACAATTCGATAATGTGTAAATGTCACATGCACTTTCTTTTGGTACAATTTGCAAAGGTTACTTTCACAGTTTGTATGAAATCGCACATGTTGCGTAATAACAACTTGGTTTCTAATAAAATATTCGTCTCATTTAGATCTAGTTGAGAGCACTCGTCTTCCTCGAATTTCTTTGTATTCACCGAGTACGCCTTGAAAACGGGAAACATTTATCTATCGACTATATTGATTTGTAATCATACTTTTCCTTGTGTTTTTTATGTAGCATTTAACAATATAATATTACACAGTACGTTTAAGTATGTATGTAAAATATCTGCATTTTTATTGTAATTTTTGCGTATTGGAAAAGTTTATATAATCAAAAGGCCTCGCTAAAAATCCTCCCATTTCAATATTGGAATTGAAATGACTCCAAAATGCATATCTGTGCAATTCTTTCTGCTTGCATATCTTGCCCATAACTGTGACACGCTGCTAAATCAATTTGAAAATTACGTGATCGTCGCAGGGTGCCATGATAATAGTGACATGTCGATTCCCGAGCTTATCACTCCGTTCCCTAAAATAATAATTCGTTGCCGCAGTAACTATTACGTGTCAATGAGTAAGTTTACTTTAAATAAATCCGGAAATTTGCCGTAATTATTAAATGGACGCAAAGAATGATAATGGTATACATATACGTTGCCACCTGGGAAAAATTAAGATTAGTAGTGACTAAATCTAGCTCCATACGAATTTTTTGTGGAGCTAGATTTAGTTACTCGTCAATTTGACCTGCATTAGAAAGTTTCAAATTATAACTACTTTCAGATCCCCCCGACCAACCCCGTCAACACATCCGCCACGGTGCACAACGGTTCACCCACATTTTCCACAATATCCACCACGCTTACGAAATCCACCCATGGAAAGAAATCTATGGTCGCTTAACCCTCACCCAGTACAAACTGGACTTTTTCACCTATTCCACCGATTTCTACACGAAATACCCACACTACAACCCCACCATCCTACTCGAAGACTACTGGCGATCCCAGTGGAATCAGGACAAATTCGTCATCAAATCCTCCTCAAGTCAATACCTAATTTTTGAATCTTTAATGCAATACGACCAACTGCCCACCTCTCTGCAAAAGGAGACCAATCACCCACCATCCATTCACGAATTCGCGGTCCTTTTCTACTCCACGCTGAGTGGGTGGGGTGGCTCGCGCTGCAACTTTTACACCTTTGACGAACAGCTGTACGAGTTAACCTTAACCTACAACGCGTTCGACATGATGTTTTGCGACGTCTTTAAATACTACAATCTCACTTTTATCCCGTATTATAATTTTGGCGAATTTCTTTACGTTCGCCCATTCCTGATTAGGGACGATTTGATCTCATCGTTCCCTTCGGATCCTAACGCGCTGTTTTACGAGTCACCCGGGATAACTTTCATCATTTTAAAAGAGGCGCCACTAGTCTGGGGGAATATTGCGAGACCGTTCGAAGTCAGGATTTGGATAGGTGTCGCTTTCTGTGGGGTTGTCATCCCGCTGTTT